CTTCTTCGGGCAACTTCTGATATTATTTTAGTCCTCCATTTTTCCTACCCCCTTTGATCTAAGGTTGAGAAAAGCCCGCCCCCCCCCCCCCCCAGAAATTTGTCTCGAGGAAGAAATGTCCATGGGTGGCGTTTCACTATGCTTTCCCCCCTTCTATTTGCGGAGATTATTGCGACCACGGGTTCTGGCGTTAGGAGAAGCTGGGTGTCTGGCTTTGTTTATGTGTTGTGTTGTGGTTGTGTTATGGTTCTGTGTTGTGTTGAGATAGACTTGACTTAACTTAACTCTAGTATGCCGATATATATTCATTCGATGAAGTTACGCGGATTATTAGCGAGAAATTTGAACGCTGATTCGCGTGATTCAACTTAATTTGCTCATCAATTATTTGCGTCTCTCACCTCTTCTGATTGTATTGTGTTGTTGGAATTGATATGGTGTGATTTGATTTGATATGAATAAGTAGACGATATGGGTGTGAGGTTTTGATTTTAATGAACGGCTCGTTTTCTTTGTGTGTTTATTTATCTGATGTGGGTGTAAAGGGTATCTTTCTAACTAGGGACTTATAAACTGTGGTCTCTTTCACACACGCACACACACACACACACACACACACACACACATATATATATATATATTATCCTATTACCGCTTTGCTTCTGCTATTTCTCATTTGTGCAGGGATCTTGGGAATCTATCTGGACAAAACTTGTGTGCAGTGTATATATGTAGGTATGTACATTTGTTCTATATACAGTGGCATGATATACATCTGTATATATGCATGTTTCATTCATTCATTAATCATTCACCCATCCCACTGGGCCTTTTGGTTGTTTATATACCTTTTCGAGTAAAGCAAAGTAAAGTAAAGCCTCACCTAATCCGAGTCATATTCTACCAGCGCAGACGTAGACGTAGACATAGACCTAGATTTCTCGGGCCCTGAAAGTTGTCCGCTTCCGCCCCCGCTGGGTCGATGAGTAGTCTCGTCATTAGTAGTTGGAATCTCCATCTTTTGTCTTTCGCGCGCTGTTTCTCCTGCTTCTCTACTTCTTTTCCCCAGGGCCACCGTTGACGAAAATGAAGACGGAGATGACGGGTGTGAGTTAGGGGGATTGGAATGAGGGTGGTTATCGGCCCGCTTCCGCTTTATCCCTTGGATTCTCGACGGCGTCGGGGTGGATTTTGTTGTCGTAGAAGTAGAAATAGAAGTAGAAGATTCGCCGCCTCGGGGCCGCGGAATAAATGGTAGTATGAATGGGTCTTGCGATGCGCGCGTGTTGCGCGTGAGCGAGGATACGAGGGAGTCGCGAGTTGAAGAAGCCTTGATTTCGGATTTTAGACGCTTTTTGCCCTTTTGCGAGTCGGGTTTTGAGATACCGTCTTTTGTTTTCTGAGAATCGCCATGTTGGGTACTGCTCGGTGCTGAATGTGTACCAAAGAGTGGCTTCGTGAGTGCCGCGTCATGTATCCTCGCCTTATTGTTCATTTCGCCGTGGAGGGCTTCATCTTGCTCGGAGCTGGCGCCAATGCCGAAATCCACGAGCGCTGCGCGTCGTGCGTCTTCTTCTGTCGCTGGTACGAGGTCGATGCCTAAACTCATGCGCTCTTGTAAATCCTCTGTGCTCGCGGCTTCTTTTTCGCGGGCCTTGCGCCCGGCGCGAAAAGCGGCTCTTAGACGGCGATTCTGAGTGTACGGGTCTTCCCAAGCACGATGGCTCGCATCTTCGAGCTCCGCAATTCGATGTGATCTCTCGATCAGCACGGCGCGGTCCTCGATGGTCTTTTCCAATGTCGCAAAAGCATTATTACGAAGAGCATCCTTCTCTTTCCCGGTCAGGATCTCTCCCACGCCCCCAACCAAGGCGCTGGAAGACACTAGGCTATCGTCTTTATCGTCCCCTGTGTCGCGCCGAGTTCCCCCTTCGGTTACCACGTACTCGGAATTGGCGGGGTCGGTCCGAATCTCGATGACGCCGCCGCAGTCTGCGTGGCGCATCCGGAAGCTCCATATGGGCGTGCTGTGGTAGGCGCCGACTTTCTTCTTCTCAGCGTTGAAGCGCACACCTTGGCCGATGATGGTCGGTTTCGTGCAAGTTCCACACCAGACTCCGAAGGGCATCTCGAAGCGCACCGTCAGGATGCCTTCGGTGCGCAACTTCGAGGCGCGCGAGCCTAGGGCGTGTTTCCTGTTCAGCGCATTGCCTGAGATGGTCCCCTCAACGTCCGGCGGGACGTACCGCCCCATGTTGAAACCCTGCATGGTGGCGGCTAGTTCGTCGTGACGTGTGTTTGAGGAGTAAGTAGCGCGGCAAGGTTAGATCGAAGAGGTCGTCGATGTGACTGTGCGCATTCGAAAGGTCGCTGTGAGGGAGTTGTAGTTTGAATTTGCGACGGTCCAGGGTGTAGTGTTTGAAACGCGGAGAACCGTCGAAAGCTTAGCTCAAGGGTAGGGCTTTTGGATCAGATGGCTCTGTGCCTGTGAGCCAACAGGTAATGAGATCATTTCATTTGATCTGAGGCGAGAATGGGGAAGGAAAGCGGGCTAAACGGTAAACTTGTCGGTGTGAGTTACCGGTACTTCCAATCCGTCTGTCTATACCTAGTATGGCGTATGCGTGTATAACGCTGCGCGAGAAGACTTGATTGCATATGTAGACAGGATTACGAGCCAGAGCTGCGATGAGGAAGCTGGATGAGAGACGAGGCTCTTTTAAGCCCCGCAGGAAGGACGAGTGGATCTACAGAACCCTGAGCTCCGCTAAAAGTTGAAGTTACAGGAGAGCTGTGCAGGGATGTGAATCATCATCATCATCATCATCATCATCAGGGCCATCGCAAGACCAAGCTTAAGTTGTGAAAGTACATCAAAGATAGATTGTAGGTACATAGTACATAAATAAATACTATCCCAAGATATTACAACAATTTAACACAGAACCGTAACCAATTGGAAGAGCAAGAAGTCCTGCGAGTATCCGATATCCAGTCAAAACCTGTTCCTTGCGCCTTGCGTCCTATCCATGTGCCCGTTGAATTTACATATTAATACCCCGTATATCCGTGTACAAATGGTACATCGTGTATTACACTACACGGCATAAAGTTGTCTGGGCTTGCCCCCAGCACAAGAGGCAAACTTCCACCATCGGTTGTGGTAGGCACCGCCAATGTTGACTAGACCCCATTTGATCGGGGCTGGGATAGGTGGCCAGTTCGCCCACATGCCATCCTCGACTGTGCCGTCCAGGTTAAGCAGGAAGAAGGGGACAACGTCGAGGGTGCCGGCCTTCGTCACTGTGCTCTTACCCCACGTCTTGAACGTCAGGGACGCGTTGGCCTCTTCCTGGGAGCCGGCCTTGGGTGCGTTGGGGTGGTCCGCGAGCTTTGCAATGGTCGAGATCTCACTGTGGAAGTGCGTCTCGAATGGTTCCTGGAATGAAGACATGATCCGTTGTAACTCGGTGCCCGAGAAGTCCTTGGCCGATCTCAGCGAGGCAAGGTACTTCTCAAACTCGGCCAGACCAGGCAAGAAAGCCTCTGCAAGCCAACTATTAGTATGAGGGTATTCACCAAGGAAACTGCTTGACAGGGGGGAATTGTAGGATAGAGAATTGTTGTCATACCGTGCTCCTTGTGTGTCTCGGCCCAGATGGTCTTGTCATCCAAGACCTCCTCTACCTTGGTGAACAGAGACACCTCCTCGTCATCATGATGTGACTTGACAAACTTGTACCACGTCAGAGAATACCCGATGAAGTCGGGCTTGTCGACATCCTTGACGTTGGGGGCTTGCTGGAAGATGGAATTGTAGCCGCGGAATATCGAGTTGTGCAAGAGGGCCATGTGCGTGGCGCCTGTCGCGAAGATGTCCGTCTAAACCGGCGTCTTGCAGTTAGTGATGACAATGTTCTCATAGGGAGGGACTCGATTGAGGGGCTCTAGCTAGCTTTGCTTACCCTGCCCGTCTCGAATTGGGGCGTCGTGATGAGCTTCAGCGGCGCATCGGCCCACGGCTTGGTGGGCTCGGGGGTCGTCGAAGTCATGAGGAGCGGCGATCGCGTGATGAAGAGTCCGATGAGAATGGGGATGGCTAGCAGGATGGGCCGGTTGAGGAGTCGGCGTCGTTCTGCGTTCATGGCGGCAGCGAGGCAGGCAGGCAGGCGGGATGAGCACAGGTCGAGGTCCGGGCGGCAACGGCGTTTTAATGGATTCGGGTGTTCGGGGGTTATGTCAAGCTGCGTCAATGTGCGTCAAGGTGCGGTTGTGTTCAAGGTTGCGTGGAGTGGTGTGCTACCTTGCTCTCCTTCTTTTCCATTCGATGATTGGAAAGACAAGCTACCATCATGCCACCGTACCAGATCGATCATGCCACTCAATACTTAAGGTATACACACGGACCAACCTAGCCAGAGGGCCAGGAGCCGTGACTACCCATTATAAGCTACCCTGCAATAAGTAATAACCGCGATATATAAAGCTAAACAGAAATACTTTCTGGATAACCTAAATTTATAGGGCAGAAGAGGTCACTTATTTTTTTTTACGAGTTGTTGGCGTATTTGCTAATCGTTGAACCCCCCTCCCTAAATTAGACCCACCAAGTACTCTGCCCATGGCAGCATTTGGATCATATAGAGAACATCTCGAGACTTACAAGGCAGCGAGACCTTGTATTGAAAATTAGTTAGCATTCCCAATCAATGCAGCAAATAGCTAATTAAGGCAACCTCTGAAGAATCCAAGATCCATCATCTTCCCTGCTACATATGCGCGTTCCCTTTGTTTGTTCTTGCCCGTCATCATACGTCATCATACCGTACTAAGCATTTTCCGCAAGGCTGCTTCTCTCGTTTCACCTATGCACCGATAGCCTGCCTTAGGGGCTAGGCACCCACGCGCTGCTTGCTGAGGATATCAAGCATGAGCTGCGAAGGCCGGTTGTCCTTGTAAACAGACTGGCTGTCCTTATAGGACTGGACGGCTCGCATGTAATTGTCAAACAAATAAACAGAGTCTTCAGGTCCTCCCTTGGCTTCTGGATGAAACTTGAGGAATGTCAGCGCGGATCCATCCTTCATTGAGTGGCAAAGGCCTTCCACGTACCTGGAGAGAGAAGATGGGTCGATACTTGTGTATCAGTCCTGTTGCGCAGTTAGAAACTACGCAAAAAAGTGGATCAGCAAAGAAATAGGTCCCTACCCTCATTACTGCCATCGTTCAAGTTGATGAAATACGGCCTGAAATCGCTGGGCAAGGTGCTCGCATCGACTGCATAACCATGGTTCTGACTCGTAATGATTGCAGCGCCTGTTGTAAGGTCTAAAGCCGGGATATTGTGCCCTCTGTTGCCGTATGGTAGTTTTATGGTACGAGCGCCAGCAGCGAGCGCGATGACTTGATGCCCCATACATACTTGGTCTGTTAGTTATTTTTTTGCTGTGGTGGGGAGGGTGAACTCAAATGTACCGCCCATGATTGGTATGTTGGATGTGTCCATAAGGCGCCGCAGGTTTTGGACAGTGGTCGTCAGATGCAACGGATCGCCTGGGCCGTTCGAGATGAAAACGCCGTCGAAATGCTGGGCAACTTTATGGATCGGATAGTCGTACGGGAAAACGGTCACGGAGGTGCCTCGGGCGACGAGACTTCGTAGAATGTTCTCCTTGACACCACAGTCTAAAAGGGCAATATGCAAAGATGCGCCCTTCGATTCCACCAGAAACGGGGCCTTCGTACTTACATGCGAGACGAGATGCTGCTGTTCGGGATCCGTATAGCCAGCGTCCTCATCCTCGTCGTAGCTTCCCCCCATGGAGATCCTGGCAAGGGAGGAGCCCTCCTCGCGGAGCAAGGTGACGATGGCCCGGGTATCAACGCCAGAAATGATCGGAACGCCCTCGCGAGCACACCACTTGCTCAAGCTCTCTACAGCCGTCCAGTGGCTATATTGGGCGGCGATATCGGCGACGACCACTCCCGCGCACTGGATGTGAGGGGATTCGAAGTACTTCAGTAGGCCGTACTGATCCCGCTCGTTCGATGGAACGCCGTAGTTACCGATGAGCGGAGTGGTGAAGACCAGTATCTGGCCCCGGTAGGAAGGATCGGTCATGCTCTCCGGATAGGCAACGAGCGAGGTCGTGAACACGGCTTCTCCGCTCACGTTGGCATTGGCGCCGAACGCTGTGCCTTGAAAGACGGGCCCTCCCTATATCCGCAGTTAGTTAAGGGTTAGGACGTCGTAATGGCCTGTAGGCTATAACCCACCTGGATTGTGAAAGTAGCAGGCATCTCGGATGCCTCCGCTGTTTCGCGACGGGGATCAACGGGCATTTTCCTGCCCGTGGTGCCTGTGGGAATAGCCCTCTCGGAGAGGAACCTGGCTTGGAAGGCCACCCTGGCAGGGGCCACGGCGAAGAGCTTACGAACTGGCCTGGCAGCATTGAGCGTAAGTCGGGGAAGCATGGTTGGAGGTTGTGCAAAGAGCAAATATGGTTCAGTAGAATCTCAGAAGGCTCTCAGAAGGCTCTCAGAATGCTAGAGACCTCCACAAGTGGTCTGTAAGCCGATGAAGGTTAGCAGATGCGACGTCATGGGCTGGATTCGAAGGGGTGATTCGGAGCGGTGAGTCAGTGCGGTCCGGGTGTATCGTACCAGACAGATAATCCTATTGGCAACAATGTCAGCCCGATAACCTCAATTGAATGAAATGAGGACAGAGTAGATGCGTGTCAAGCCGAAGCAGGGCAGCGAAAAGGCACAGTTGACATGGACTGTTGCCAAAAGCTGAGGAATCCCCCCTTTGATAGTGGGGGAAAATGATGTCCCCGATTCATGCTCACGCTAGACGTGCCACAGAAAAAAAGCACAACGTACCTGGGACGTGAAGACTGACGGGCGACCGATCATAAGGACGATTTCGCTGGAATTGCTACTAGAGGGATGTGTGGCAGTCGATTGAGGGGTAGTATAGACGGGCGATGGACGATACGAACTTGTTTGTAGGTGGGTGGCCGGATCGGTTGGAGAGAGAGAGAAAAAAAAACAAGCCTAGGTGTTCGGTGACAAAGACGTCTTTTTTATTCGTCAATTGGTGGGCCCTTTTCTTCCCTTATCCCCGCTACCTAAGCTTGTCCGCAATCGCTGCCCAGGCTCGCCAGGCACCACGCTACCGCTTTTCCCACGTAGTGGGTCATACTACATACCTAGGTAGTCTTATCGGCCAGCTCGAGCGCCGATAGAGGTCCGATGCGACGGGTCACACTACTTACGCAGTCACACAATTGAGAAGCATTGGACGACAAGAATGCCGAAAGCTATTGCGGGATGGTATACCTATGCTGCATGTACGATTCATAGCCTCTCACGTGGTCACGTGCGTATAGGTTTAGTGGGAAATAGGTAGATTAGCTAATATACATACCTCTTACCACGTTGTTAAATATCATTATGCCTCGACGGTTTTCGTCTCGGACGCTTCAACATCTAAAATACTTTGATCGTTAGATTCTCGGGTAGAAAAACCACAAGAATTATGCCACTTCAGAAGCCATACCAAGAGCCCAACGTAGCATCAAAGGTCAAGAGAATATCCATTCAGCCTTCTAAGGCGTAATCGCCGCAGGCATGAAGAGAATGTTGAGGACACTACAATTTTAGCGCATAAATGCAAGAAAGTCCTACCAAACATACATCTTCAACACACCTACACGTTGAAGACATGGATGTATCTATATAGATTGCCATGTGGAATCATTTATACTACTTTCTATACTACTTTCTATCCTCCAACCCCGAAACAAATCCCAATCTCACCGCATCAGAAGTATTTTGCTTATTTCCAAGCTTGGTCCTCTAGTGTCGGAGTTTCCCGAATACTATCTCCCAGGTTTGGATATCGTGATTCCTATGCATACAGGTGTGCTCTGCATATTGAGGCGTGCTAAGACATGCAGTTGGGAGGGGTTGACACGACGTTGTCAGTGATGGCGAATATGACAACGGAGATGAACTTGGATGCTGTGGTTTTACCTTTCACAGGGTGTATTTAGATTGGATAGACACCATTGGGCGGCGGGGATAAATGAATTAGAGTGTGCTTCGGACCGGGACTCTGAATATCTATTTCAATACGACACGTACGTTACTGATTCCAAAGCACTACCGGTACTGCTCAGTCTGTCTGAGATGGAGTACTACGTAAACGAGGGGAAACGGACTAGAGTTTCTTTTCCTGAGACCAGTCTGCATGCAAAGCTGCCAAGGTGCGGGGAAGATGCCGCCCCTGGAGCTGATCAATGGCGCCCGTCTATACTGCATAGTCGAGAGTATCTGCTGGATCTCTAGACATGTATAATCTAGGTTGCCTAGTAGAGTAAGTAGGTAGTCTAGCTGACGCATTACGATAAGTAAGTAAATGACCTTGGAAGTAAGTTATTTCCTAACCCTCCGCGGGCTTCGAATCACATAAGCAGGTCAAATGTCGAATTGAAGGGCGTGAGCTTGACAACTGCCGCAATTCGCGCCAGATCGTACGTTGTTAGATGGATGGATGGAATAGCCTAACCATGCTGTATCACCGCGAATCCCGAGGAGATTGGCTCGGCGAATGACTCGTCCGTGAGTAGATAGTGTCTTCGATTTCGGTGTGCATACACGTTCCATATGATGCTGGTATGTAGATGCTGTAGCGAGCTGAAAGGGCGGGTCGTCTGCGAGCCGAGATCTTGCAGGAAAATGGAACCCTACGAGGATCTGGATGGTGGGGTTGGGTTTTGTTATAAAGAGCAGCTTGAGGCGCATTCGTCACTGTGGAATTCGTTCTGATTTTCCGTCACCAAGCCAGAAATCGAATTTCGTGCAAGTATTGACCTTTTTATTTAACTATCTGTTTATATAACCTCGCCTACGTATTACTTAGCCTTTCATCAAAATGCCTGAGGGAGGATGCTTCTGCGGTAAGGTCAGGTACTCCATTGAGGGAGAACCGTTGGGCAAGGTCAGTTTGAATCTGTTATACTTGACACTGATTTGTTTCCGTTGGGTTTTCATATAAGTTCATCCTACTCGACCTTGATTTAAGTCCTTACAAGAGAAAAGAAAAAGTGAGAAAGTCATATATTAACGCCCGGAAATCTAGGCTATATGCCACTGTCTCGACTGCCGCAAGATCACAGGCAGCACGTACAGCACCAACATCATCGTCGCGGGCCCCAACTTCAAGCTTCTCTCGGGGACCCCCAAGAGCATCGCCAAGACGGCCGACTCGGGCAAGGAGATCGTGTCGCACTTCTGCGGCGACTGCGGCAGCACCCTATTCCGCGACGGCGTGTCCTTTGGCGACGGCAAGGTCATTAAAGCCGGCACCCTCGACGACATCAATGCACTTGATGATGCCAAGCCCGCAGTTGAATTGTTTGCTGCTCATCGCGCCGGTTGGGTTGTCGAAGTCCCGGGCGCAGCGCAGAAGGCGGCTATGATGTAGATATTTGGGTTCTGCGGGTTGCGATTTGGCGCGGGGAAGTGCTTTGTCTGTGATGGGGTTTGATGTGAAAAGATTCTGAGTGTTCGGGGTGTGTTGGTTGGAATATACGGTATAGGGATGATACGGATGTAGGTAGCTTTAAAGGAGAGAAAAAAAGGGGTACGATCTCATCCTACCCGTAAACATCTCGTCAAGACATCTTTTCCCTAGATGTGCTATATTGGCGTTTTATGATGAGAGTGGTCTTGATTATATCCTTCCTTGGAGCGGGAGAACAGGAAAATTGAAATCAATACTCAAAGTGAATTCTGTTCGTCCTGTTAGGTATGATCATAGATATGCCCTCGTGTATTCAATCCTATCACACACTCGTATTAGAGCTGGAAAGTGTGAGCTTGACTAGGTAACTATGGGATCAAGGATCGACATTTTAAGTCTTGCCGTCCTTGCAATTAATTTTGATGCTGCTATAGGGAGTATAAAGTTGACATGGGCATCGCCTGTGATATGTGAGGTAGCATCTATAATCCCTAATCTTGCATACCCGCGACACTGGGTGCAGTGCTTTGGTCTGTGCAGACCTGTGCTCGTGGAATGTAGCATCAAAGCTGGTCAGATTAACTTTTGTGATGAACGCTCCAGATATGCACCCCCAATACCTATGTAGATGGAAGATATGCAAGTTGGATCCGAACCAAAAGTAAGTATGCAATTGCTCGGGCCGCTAAGTCAAAGCTAGATCAGATCAGCACGATATTAAGCCCAGAGCAGACCCAGAGCTAAAACTTGTTGTCGCAATGAGATCGCAGAGATCTCGAAATGCTAACTAAGTATTCTTGGCTGCATAGGTCGTCCCGTCTCCCGCCTCGTGGTCGCCGATCGCGTGTTGTCCTGTGCTTTGCTTTGCTTTGCCTTGGTGTGATGAGATTGTGATGTAATTACCCCACGGAAATAGCAACGGCCTTCATTTCTTGTTGTACAAAGGTGTAAGAAATGGGGGGGATATGACTTCGTAGCGTATCATAGAAAGAAATCCCGAATACGGTACCTAGATTAAACGAATGACTGAAAACACGAGAAAACGGCGAGGAAATAAATCAAAAGATTCTCTCTCGTCTCTCTTACACACCTCGACACCCCACCAACTTGGTTCGTTTAGTTCCTGTTTGGACTGTTCCACATGCCGAATTCCTAGTTCTCTATCGAGTACAGATCTGCGGGCTGTGAGCTATGGCAATGACTTCATCATTTGACTCGCGTCCAATGGGATAGTGTTGTGATTGTTTCGTTGGGGCTACCAGAGACACTCGACACATAACCCGCAGGTTTCTGCACGGATTTCCAGGCGGGTTCTACACGGATATCGGGAAGAGACGCGTGGTGCAGAGCGATGCAGAGCGATGCAGAGCGGTGCAGACAGAGAGAGGTTTGATTTGAAGTTGCAAATGGCAAATAATGGATTCCCGGGGGCAACACTGCCACACCTCAGCTTCGTATCAGGTTGTTTCCGAGATGTTTCCGACTCGGCTCCGTTCCCTACAGTACATGTAGCATCGTATCTTTACTGTACAGTCCTGACAATCCTGACATCCTAATTGTCTGTACGTGTAGAGAACAGTAACCTACTTAACCTCACCGAAATATACATCTAATTCTTCGTATAGGTATATCGAGTAATTACACCAGGCTCTTCCTATTGTTCAATAGTAGTTAGTTACGGTAGTTCTTCCCCTAAAGAAGGCGAGCCGAGAACCCAGCTCAGACCAGCTGTACGAGCGCAGGCAGCTTTAGCGCTTCGCCCGTTATTTTTAGCTCGTCCAGACTCGTCTTCATATAATTTTTTAATTGGGGCCATCATGCCCTGATACCTATGCTCAAAACGGTAGGTACCATTATTACAATTATTACCTAAGTAGGTACCTAACATGCCTACCCTGCAGTGTAGGTAGACAGACCGTAGACAGACCTACGCGACACGCGCATGTCCGAGGCCTGATGCAGTGTATCTCTTACTCTTATGTAGACCTTGAATACCTCTGCATGCTGGATTACATAGTCCCTATGACTGTACCTAAAGATAAGTAAGTATTTTATTTCACAAAAACGGGCAGTCTGTTATAACTTATACATAGGTAGTACCTAGATAGGTAAGTACTGTAATTAAGTAGGTACAGTGGGACACCACCCTGAATCTGGCAAGGTAGGCCCGGGGTCCACAGGCCGTATCAGCGGTACGTCAGCCCGCTAGAGCAGCTGTACGTAGTAAAGGCAACTGTTAAGGCAGCTGTTAAGGCGCTATTGAGGCGCTGTTCAGGGGCTTGGCGGTCGTACAGAGAAAAGCTTGGCTCTTTAAAGCCTGCGTCAGCCCAGCTTCCAGAATCCCCAGAACAGACAGACCACCATCACCCTCCCTCCCCTTTTTCGTGACACGCGCTCGCTCTTCTCTTGTCATTGTCTCCCGTCTTCTCTTCACCACCAAATAATACTGTACAGCCAACATAACATCATCATCATACCCCAAAACATTCTTTGACAAGCCTAGTGAGGCCTGTGTGTCCTTGGCTAAAAGACACGCCGCTCACAGTAGACTATTCGCTCGTTCTGATCTTTTCGCTTTTCGCTTTTCTTTTCGCGCATCCACATCCACATCCCATCCACAGAGTCGAGTAACCGAGTCGAGCGAATTGACTTCGTTCATGTCGCCTTGGCTCCTGCATTGCGCATTGCATTAATTATCTTACGCTTATCGACTTGCAGCCCAACATCACCATACTAATTCGGCATCTGTATATTTCCATCCAATACACATCGCTGTCGCTGTCGCTGTCGCTGTCGCTGTCACCATGAAATTGTTGTCTGTCCTCGGCGCTGCCGCCCTATCCGGCGTCGCCTATGCTGCCAGCTACGACACTATCCCTGCCATCGAGGCCTTCGGTCAACACTTCTTCTACACCAACAATGGCTCTCAATTGTAAGACAAACCTTCGTGTCGCTACTTGCAACCATCCCCCTCATCTAAATACTGACGTGTCTTGATCACAGCTACATGAAGGGTGTCGCCTACCAAGAGAACTTCTCTCCCAACGGTTCCACTAGCTCCAATGTCGAGTACACCGACCCTCTTGCCGACAAGGCCAAGTGCGCGCGCGATATCCCCTTCATGAAAAAGATCTTCACCAACGTCATTCGTGTCTACGCCATCGACCCCACCAAAAACCACGACGACTGTTTTGAACTCTTGGCTGCCAACGACATCTACGTCGTCGCCGATCTCAGCGAGCCCAAGACCTCCATCAACAGCAACGACCCCGAGTGGACCGTCCCGCTATATGAACGTTATGCTTCCGTCGTCGACGCTCTGGCGAAATACAACAACGTCATCGGTTTCTTCGCTGGCAATGAAGTCGTCCAGGCCGCCAACCAGACCGAGGCCTCGGCCTTCGTCAAGGCTGCTGTCCGAGATACCAAGGCTTACATCAAATCCCAGGGTCACCGCAAGTCCCTCGGTGTTGGATACGCCACCGCAGATGTGCCCACACGAGACCAATTGGCTCACTACTTTGCCTGCCAGCCTGAGGATGGAACGGACACCAGCATCGATTTCTGGGGTTACAACGTGTACTCATGGTGCGGTTTCAGCAACTACGTCGCTTCTTCTTACGGTGAGCGAGTAGAATTCTTCAGCGACTACCCAGTTCCTGTCTTCTTCGCCGAGTACGGATGCAATGAAAACATCCCGGGTGGCCCCAACCGCAGACCTTTCACTGAGGTTGCTGTTCTGTATGGCAACATGACTGAAGTCTTCTCTGGCGGTATTGTTTACCAGTGGTTCCAATCGGAGAACAACTTTGGCCTTGTCCAAATTGATGGTGACGATGTCAAGCCTGAGCCCGACTTTACATCGCTGATGAGCCAGTTGGCCAAGGTTACCCCTAGCAGCACCGCCTCAAGCGCCTACACGCCCACGAACACAGCTCCTGCTTGCCCAACCAACGACTCAAAATGGGCTCCCAAGTCTTCCCCTCTCCCCGCCATTGTCAACCCTGAGCTATGCGATTGTGCCATGTCGGCCGTAACCTGCACCATCGATTCCGACGACGCCGAGTCATACGGCGCCGAGTTTGGCTTTATTTGTGGTTTAGAAGACGGCAAATACTGTGCTGGTATTGTGCACAACGCCACTCTTGGTGATTACGGTGCCTACTCGGGCTGCTCGCCCAAGCAGCAATTGGCTTGGGTGGCCAACCAGTACTACGAGGCTCAGGATTCAACCAACCAGGCCAGCGCTTGTGATTTCGATGGCCTTGCCAAAACCCAGGCTGCCTCGACCGGCGGTTCCTGCGCCACCCTACTTGAAGCTGCTGGTACTGATGGCTCTGGTGACGTTGCCCAACCCACTGGCAAGGTGACCGGTGGCGGTGGCTCCGGCTCTGATACCAGCGACAGCGCTGCTGCTCCTAACGGTCTTTCCACACCCGCTTTCTTCAACTTCGGCAAGACTCTCTTTATTGCCTATGCCCTTACCGCTCTCGTATCCGGAATTGGCATGCTTGTACTATAAGACTGTTAGCTTTGATGTCAGCGAGAGAGGGTCTGGATTTTTACTTGTAGGAAACGAAATGATGCATTATACTGTAATTGATTTGTTTGGCATTGCCATTGGTCCCCTTAGTTGTGCTGTGGATGCTTAATTTTGGGGTTCCTGGTCAATATGGCTTGGAAGACTAATTTGGCCCATTTAGAGTTGAAGGAATGCACACTAAACCCGGCCACGTGGTTGCAAATCTTTCAAGAAAAGTTGATGTATGAAGGAACCATGATTTACAATTGGACTTAAAGATACAGGGAAAGCTTCTTCATGATTCTGTATACTTGCCAAGAGCAGCCTCTACTTATTCGGTGCAAGAGATTGCTGAGTGTGCCTATAGTTCCTTGTTGCCACCAGATTCATATGGAAAAGATGACAATTACAGGGGCTTCACATGAACCACGCTTTCGACTTCACTCGTCGTTTGCACCAAGCAACATATACAATTTCTTAACTAACTGACTGACTGACTGACCTAAACGAATGGAACTTGTCATGACCGAGGACGAAAATTATGCAAGTGAGTAGATAAATTATTTAAGAGGGGGGGCGGGGTTAGTAAAAAAACACAACAAGGTTCTCATAACTTCGTGAAAATATGATGCTTGGCCCTTTCCTTCCTTCCTTCCCCTTTACCCATCGTCTTTACACTCACTGTAAGGACCAGCCTTTTTGTTTCCTTTCTGTTCTCATCAAAGTTCGCTGACTTGGCTTATTATTTCGGCACTTGCACGGACAATTCGTATGTCGCGCCGGACTGGATCGATGTGAATCGGGCGCCCGGCAGCACGGTATTGCCGTGTTTCACGACGACCTCGTCCACGTCGGCCTTCGAGATATTTACGTGGAATGTCCCCCCGCGGAATAGACGCGTCGCTTTCATCCCGCCCCAGTGAGGCGGTAGTTGAGGTCGGATCGTCAGACCTTCGGCGTCCCCGCGTAACCCGCATAATCCCTCGATGAAGCATCGATAGGCCCAGGACACGGTCCCCGTGTTGAATAGCTGGCTTGATCGCCCCGCTGTGCGCGGATACTCGCGCCACGCGCCCCGGTAGTAGTTGGGTATGTACACGGGCATCTGGCCCCGCTGGATGTAATCGGCGTCGCTGGGGCCCGGGATCAGCTTGCGCAGGACCTCGTACGCGCGGTCGGCCTCCCCGATGCCGTAGAGCGCGTGGATGTAGAATACCGCTGCGTGGTTGTATACGGATCCGTTCTCGGCCGAACCGGGATACTTCTGCGTCACGCGCCCGACGTCCTCGCGCATCCCGCTGTACGGCGGGTCGAACATTAGTGTCCCGTACGGTGTCGAAAGATGCTCGTCCACGGCGCCCAGCATCTGTCGGATTTGGCGCGGCGACGCGGCACCGCTGAGAATCGACCATGTCTGTGGATTCAGCCAGATCTTCCCTTCGCTGTCGTCCGCGACGCCGAAGACGACGTCGTCGTCGGTAATGCCGCGCGCGAACCACGATGCGTTAAGGGGCCACATGTGCTTGTTCGCGGCGTCGTTGACGGCGGCCGCGCCCGCGCGGTATTTAGATGCTAGCGAGGTTTGTCCTTGGTGCGAACAGACTTCCGCCCATAGACGACATGCGAACCCCGTCGCGAGCGTCAACCACCCTGATACCCCCTTGCCCTTGTAGCCTACCATGTTCATCGGGTCGCACCAGTCGCCTTGCGCGATGTAGCTCAGGCCGCGCTCGTCGCGCGCCGAGAGAAGCCAGTCCACCGCGTGGCTTACGCGCGTGAACACCGTGTGCTGATCCCCGCGGACGTCGGAGACGGGCTCGTCGAGCAACGCGTAGTCCCCTGTTTCGGAGAGGTAGACCTCGAGCGCCACCGGGAGCCAGACGCAGTGGTCCGTGTGCGGGATCTGATTGATGTATTTCAGCTCGGCCCCCTCGGCGAGCAGGATCCCGTCGGGCATGGCGCCCGTGGCTTCCTGCTGGGACAGCGCCGTGAGAAATGCGCGGCGCGTCACGCCCGGGTTGATGTAGGCCATGCCCATGTTGTCCTGCAGGTAATTCCGCGTCTGCGGGTCCGTGGTCAGCCGGTTCACGTCCCCGTGGTAGTAGCATTGGCGCGGCAGCCAGTGGTTCACGAAGTTGTCGAGCGCGGCGTCCGGCGTGCTGATCTGTAGACACCCTGTCCCCTTCGCGATGTACGACGCGTATTCGCGGGCGCAGCGCGCGAAGCCCGCTTTGCTTAGGTACCGGGACTTCATCGTCGCGATCTCGGCGTCGTCGAGAGCCGGGCCGAGAAGGAAGCGCAGGGTATGGCTTGACGATGGCGACAGAGAGAGACGGTATTGTACTGCTGCTGCTGGCGTCTCGTAGCGCGCGTCGCTGCATCCTAGCTCGTCGTTGTCTGTGATTGCCGAGGGCGCATGCAGTCCTCCTTCGCCCTCGAAGGCGCTCTGTCTTGCCTCCCAGGACGTCGGAGCCGTCTCGCATAGGAAATACGATTTATCTTTCAGTAACTTGTTCTTGAAGTAATCCTCCGCCTTCTGGTACGGTGTGATACTGCTCGCTACGACACCGTTCAAGTCTGCGCGCCATTCGCCGGATTGGTTCATCCATGACATGTACCCGAAGGGGAAATAGGGGTACACGCTGATCTTCCGGGGCCGATCGCTTAGGTTCGTTACCGTGACGGACCAGAGCTCTACCACGTCGTGCGTGGGGATTACGAGGGTCATTTCTACGCGCAGGCCGAGACTTTCGACCGTCCAGCGGACGTCGCTTTTTCCTGCCGAGAATACGAATTTATCAATAGGTGCGGCGTTGTTGCGCACGGGTTCGAAGGGTGCGCTGAACATGTTTTGCGGGGACGGCATTTCTTCATCCTTGATGTATACGAATCGCCCCGGGTGGTGCGCGTAGTAGTTCTGCTCCGGCTGCATGAAGGTCCGCGCCTCGAGGTTCGGCGCGTGGATGTACTTGGCTGGCTCTGGCTGCATGAACTGCGCCGTCGCGTACCCCCGGCATGTCACCTGGATCATCATCTTCTGGTTCCATAGAAAGGCGCCGGCTTTGGGGAGCGCCGTTGGGCTTGTTAGCTCGTACCGGGAGCCGTCGGCCGTTGGACTGCAGAGAGGCGGCACATTGTGGTTGTTACTGATACCGTTGATGTTGTTATTATTGCCGTTACTGCTGCCGTTGGTACCATTGCTGGTGTTGCTAGTACCGTTGCTGCTATTGGTACTATTGTTTGCATTATTACTCCTAGCACCATTGGTAGCCGTTACCGGCGTCCCATTGCTGCTGCTGGCCGAGTTAATCGTCATTGGGAGAGATTTCCTACTTGGTGGGTGGCCGACTTGCTCCGTGACATTCAGACTACGTCCCCGATATCTGCCGAGTCCGGTTCGGGGTCTTACGGAAGAAACAGGGGGGCGGTAGGGTCTCTACGCTTCCGAGCCAGACAACAACACGCCCACTTTCCGCAGTGGAGATAATCTTAAGGAAATAGGGAATTTCCGAAAAGGTATTTCGGAAGGAGAGACAAATTCTTCGAATAATTAAAAGAAAACGGAAAGGGAAGTGAAGGGAAAGGGGAGGAAAGAAGGGAGAGAGAGAGAAAGAAAGAAAGGAAGGAAGGAAAGGGGAAAAGGGAACGGAAAATACGATTAGATCGACTTTCCTCTTGACCGCCTCGCATGCGAAAGTAGGAAAGGAAAGGGGGAAAAAATCTTCAAATTGTCATTCCAGTCCTTGTCATGCATGTGTCCATGGTCGACCGCCGAGTATAGCATCCCGGCATCGAGTCAACGAACGGGAGAACCAGAGAGCGAGACGAGGGCACGAGGTCACGGCTTGCTTACGGGTAGCTAGATTACATGACGTTACCTACATACCGAACCTTGCAGAAAAGAAGCGAGTACCTAACTAACCTAGGCTACCTTTTTCGTGCTGCGTCTGTCTGTCTGCCATGCAAGCCATGCCATTTTTTTCCTCTATAAATTTTTCCTCTCTTCGTATTTCTGTTCTGCCGCGTGGTCATGAGCCGATAGTACCGGCGCCGCCACCGGACCGTTGGGACATTGGCGTAATGCAATGTGTGCCATCATCATACAGTCATCCTACTTTATACTGTACGACAAACAGTTAACGAACCACTGTACAAAACTCGCATTGGCCCCCTTACAACCGCCCGAGAATATACACGCACACACCCCGAAAAACACGGTCGCCAGCCAGCAAATGCTGTAACCCCTGGAATGCCTAGCACGGCTAGCACGGGAGAATCCGCGGGTAAAAAGGTGCGGTGAGGCAACCCCCATCCCCCAGAACCATAAACCCCCAATGCAGCCGTCCTCCCCTCGCTCCAATGGAGTGTAGGTCAGCTGACTCCACCGAGCTGTCTCGTCGGGACGAGGGAAGGGATACGTATATGTACTTCAACTTTCAAGGTGGGAACGCGGGCTGATGAACGAGGTCTGGACAAGTGCTGTGCCTGTGCTGTGCTGTGTTGTAGCCTGTAGCCCGAAGTGTGTTTATGTCTGTATATACATCGTGCTTTGGTCTGCATCAGTTATCTCATGTCGGGTTTGGTTTCTCTTGTCTCTTTTGCTTATGTATAGGACCTATTAATTGTCTATGTAAGTAAGAGGCGCGTGGGGGACGGCGGGAGGGATATGCGACCTCAGGCCTGTATAATCATGCCCCTGCCTCCCAAAAGAGGTAGGTAAAAGTGGTTTGGGGTTCATCCTACTGAGAACATGTTTCTGATATAGCTGGTACCCCCGATTTCACGATGCTGATCATCGCGATGGGGCTTGGAGATTCAGATGTGGGCAATTGGAGTTCATGGCGAAATAGTTCACTTGCATTGCCTACCTACCTACCTAGGTACTCACGCTACAGTGGGATTGGGTTGGGGCTTGGAGCTTACTTTGGTCCTTTTTCTTGAACAAGGTAACGGTACAGTATATGTATTGGTCTACGAGACTTGTTCAATGGATAACGGCGTACTTCAAACCCGAATTCTTCTAGACAGACATGTAAATGAATGCTAATTGATAGGGCACGCAGCAGGTTTTTGTTTTACTAGTGGTGGAGCCATACAAGTGTATATAATAGCCTCGAGAAAGATACGCGTCATAGTCAGCTGAGGCTGCAATTGACGTTCTCAATACTTCAGGTTCTTCGGGTAAAGAGCTGGAATAGGTAATTCGATGGCTTTACTCGATCCAGGCCCTTGTACACTAGAGTAGAATCGATGTAGGACCATTGCCAGCCACACCCCGTTTGCCGGCCATCGTAGTGTACCGGTACTCTGCCTCCAACAATGAATGCCCAGAGTAGTAACCTGGTGTGTTTAGACTACAGACATACAAGGTACGGACCGATTCTCAAGAAGCTTCGACGAGGCTCCAGCTATGTTAGTTAAGGCGCCTAATAAACTGAGCTAGCTGGTCAAGGTACTCAGATAAGTAGACCGCGAAGTACCGTCAGTCGATTGATGGCCAGCCGGTATGGCGCAGCTCGCTTGCTCCGTTGGTTCCATCGCTTTAAGGCGTTATTTCGGTCCACTTCGGTTTAGCTCGCCCCGAATCGGCATCATTAATATACGGGGGGTTGCAAATGGCCGGGAGTGTTGGTATTAAGGTATGAATATTGTAATGGCTTTCAAGTCGATGTCATTCGGCTACCTACCGAAACTATCTATAGTAGCGGACCTGATGACGAGGTATGTGTCTTCTGAGACACGGCCGCATGAATTGCCCGGAGTTGCATATGCGTCTTTGAGTACGGCATATCTACAACAGCCAGGTAAACGCCTGGGCTTGAGAGCTAGGAAACTCGGCCCGGCGACCGTCAACTTGTCCATGTAAAGAGTCGATACCATGCCCTAGACAATGTCTTCTAAGTCATTGATGAGCCATCAGGTGATTCCGCACCTAGCTTTACACAATTGGTACTACTTTCCTACATACCCAGGAGTCACGACGCTCCGAGGTCGGTTGCTTGATCTGTGTCGAGGAGGTAGCACTGGCCAGGTAACATTGGGGGGCACAGCCCGGGCATTATGTGGCACGGTTGGAAGAATACTTATCTATACCGACCTTGTGTATTGATATACGACCTGTCATTTCCATGTCGGGATTAATGGATTCTCCGCTGAGGGACGACGAGGCAATCTCCAGCATTTCTGACGCACGCTTTCTGATAGCGGGAATTGAAGAGACCGCGTATTACACTTGATTAGTCGCCCGGCATCGCGTCAATGCTCGAACAGGGAACAGCCAATCTTCTTACTTCGTAGACGGATGCTTCTTTATTGCATAAGTCGAGCGGTGTCACACAATTGCTGCAGTGCGACAATGTAGACCGTGAGGTGCATTTGGCATTCTCTTTCTCTCGTCGCTTGTTCCAATATGCCACGGGCCACGGCATACACCGGAACACGATGCGCGACTTCATTTATAGTCGCGAGCTCACAAGGCCACATTAGCCCTTCAACGGATATGGTCGGCATATCCGCGTGTCTGAATCGGCCTGTCGGACGCCGCCAGGGAGAGTCCGGACAGTTTGCTTTTGCAAGACCTGGGTCTGGGTATGCGCTCATGGATATCAAGGCGAAGGGTTAAGATGTGTAGTGTAAACGACGGCTAGGGATCAGAAAGGAGGGCCAGGCCTCATTCGAGAGGGCTTCTTCTAAACACGAAGCGCTTTAGGAGCATATGTATGCAGGTCAGCGCACTTTATTTATGTCTCCTCCACCAATCCGTCATCAATCGTCAGCTTACCGGATTTCTCGAGTATCTGTCTAGACTATAAGGATATCTGAAGCGTGAGAAGCCTCCCATTCCCTGAAGGATCGCATACCAAGTCAAGCTAGGGGCTTTACAGTATCGTCCCTGTCGCCCACGCTAGGGAGGGATAAGGGACAGCGCTTAGTGTGTATATACACAATGCGTACGTAGTCTAGCTTATGTCCACCTCATGGTGAATGAGCGCCGATCATCCCCACCACTTCCTCAACTTCAGCCTCTACCCCTCGTTCTGCAGAATCACGGTTCATTTTCGACGCCATAGCGCCACCAAATATGCCTGAGACTGAACGTTTGCCCACCATCTTCTTTATCCCTGGTGCGTGGCACAAGCCTTGGGTCTTTGATAGCGTGCGCGGCATCCTCTCGGCTCGTGGCTTCGAAACCGAAGCGCTGGTACTTGCTACAGCTGGATCGTCCGATCCCGACATCGGTCTCCAGGACGATGCCGCCAAAGCCCGCTCGGCTCTCACGAAACTGATTGATGACGGGAAGGAGGTTCTTGTTGTAGCCCATTCATATGGCGGTATCGTTGCCTCCAACGCCGTCAAGGGGCTAAGCACTACGCAACGTACTGCCGATGGTTTGAAGGGTGGTGTAAGCATGGTATTGTATCTAGCGGCATTCATCATTACCGCAAACACATCGCTTGTGATGGCTGCTAGCCATTCCTCCTTTGGTGGTGGTGGTGGCCCTCCCGATTGGTGGGACATCTCGGAGGTACACGTCCTATTTTCATTTATAACTGTAGCGGGAGACTAATACCATGGCATACAGGACGGCAAATTTGTCACGCCCTCCGACCCGCGTGAAATGTTCTATCACGATGTCGAACCATCGCTAGCACAGAAGGCCATAGATGCTCTTCTGCCGATGCCTGTTCGATCAGCGGCAGATGTATCCCTCTTTGACCCCCGAGACGGCGGCTTCGAGGTCGGCTATATCTTCGCTGAAGAAGACAGAGCTGTTCCAATCGATGCTCAGAAGGGCTTATTCGAGCTATTTCCAGCCGGATCTTTCTCTGCTAGCCTGCCTACTAGCCATTCGCCATTCCTCAGCAATCCTGATGCTCTCGCTGATACTCTCCAGAAAGCCATCAAGCACCTGCTTACTAAGAGATCACAAGCATAACTAATTACTATATGCCCTTTTCATCTTTCCATACCTGTGGTGGAAGGATTATGAACTGAGGCTTTGCCCCAGACATGGCAGACAGGGGGGGTCATTCGGGGTCTAGATTCAGGTAGACAGGGTGTTATAGATACAGGAAGATAACCTTGCTTCTATCGGTCTCATATACATAGACTAGACATAGAACGAACTCGGTCGTCTGTAATAGATTCCTTGTTGATGCATCTCTAGACACTTCAGAAAGGATAGCGCGCATTTTCTCTACAGGATAGCTTGCTTGCTGGAGCTGCTAATGTTTTAGGCTATTCATTCACAGAGTAGCAAAAAGGCTCATGTAACAAGGGATATAATACTATGCCTACTGATCGACACGTGTATTTCTGCTCGAATATGTAGCATTGTGGCCTTTAATCAAGCGCGTCCATCTTAGGCGGTACTGCCTTCATCGATTGCAGAGGCGCAAGTTTTCCATATTGGTTATATCAGTTGATCAACCTAATAAATGTACCTGAAGTTCAAGTTCTCCTTATCCGTCATATCGGCAAACGCAGTGGTATCCAAGTCTCGCCCTTCGAGCCCACCTTCCATAGCAGCCTGGATCTTGTCTCTACGTCTATTTTCTCTCCTCAAGAGGATCCAAAATGTAATGATAAGAAGCACTTCGATGAGGTGGGAGACAATCATTGACCAAATTCCAAGCTCATAATAGGGTGCCTGGTTGGTCAAGTAGAAAAAGGGGCCAACAATCTGCGGAAATTTGTTAGTAAGGTAATATAGTTTCTAGAAAACCAAAGGTTACAGCTAAAAAGGTTATCGTAATAATAGGTCGGCGTCAGGAACAGGACGTACTATTCATGGTTAGCTTGATCCTAAATTCATATATGCGTGTTGCAAGGGTAACACACCATTACCAGTGCAATAACCCAGGAACAGAACGGCATTGGTGACAACCTTTTTAGTGTGGCCGGATGTGTTCGCAGTCTGGAGTGAAAGGATCATAACGAAGGCAGCATTGTACGGACCAGTCAAGTAGTACGCAATAAGTCTTCCGGCTTGTTGCTCGGTGCCAATGTAGCGTAGACCAAATGCCCCGGCAATATTGGGTATCAAAAAGATGAGAATGAACATACAGCGTCTGTTCACGAATCGGTTATTTAGGTAAACGCATGCCAGAATACTAATAGCGATCAAGACCCCGTAAGGAATCTGCAGTAATGTGGTGCCCAGCGTACTGAACCCGAAGCCCTGAATAATCAACGTGCCGAAGTTGGATATGCCTCCATTAGGGACGTTGCAAACGACGCCGAGGACAAAGAAGAGGTAGATCTTGATATCAAGAAATGCTTCTTTGACCTGATACGCCTTTAAATGTTTATTCTCGATTCCTGTCTGGTTCTCTCTCAAGCGCTGGACTGCCATGCGCTTTTCGGCCCTCGAGAGACCCTTCGCTGTGACCGGAGAGTCGGGCAGGAAGATGAACATAACAATCCCCCACGCGGAACATAATGCCCCTATGATTAGGAATTCGTACTTCCAAGACGGGAGGGCGCCTCTTATGCTACCAATCGCTAATACCCCAATTAGCTGTCACTGATCTCAAGGACATGAGATAGGCACTCACCATATCCGAGTAACCCGCCCAGAGCAATGCCAAAACCATTTGCAGTGTACCATAAGCCCATGCGCACAGGCTGCTGCTTTCTCGTATACCACATTGATGTAATCAGCATGAAGGAAGGATCGGAGCAAGCCTCTGCCGCGCCGGCAAGAAAACGAAGAGCTAATAGCTGTCCAAAATTCTTTGCGGCCGCCTGAAGCATTAAGAAAAAGCCTATAAGGGGTTAGCAAAGCCAGCGGGATATAGACGGAAGCACGTACCCCAAAAGAAAATATTAACGCCTAAATACTTTCCTAGTTGCTGTTAGATTCAATTTGCTTTCATCTGTAAAGAAACAGGCGCCCTTACCGATTGGTAAGCGCTGCATTAAAAAATTGGTCGGAAAGGCCCAGAACAAGAAGCCGAAGTAGAAAACCGAGCTCAACCAGTTATAGTCGGCGCCTTTTAAGTTGAGATCCTCCCGGATTCCAAAGATTGCTATGTGGTGTTAACAGGATAGGAGAGATAGACGAGCCCTTGGGAAGAGACGAACCAGCATAGGACAGGGTTGTTTTGTCGATATAGAAGAATGCGTAGCAGACAGCGAGATATGGTATGATCATGAAATCAATCTATATGATTAAGCATCAGCTTACAACTTATGATAGGAACTCGTCTGCCCCCCCGTCACCTTTCGCACGAGTTTCCGCTCTTCGACTGGGTCGAGCGGCTCGTGAATTTGCTCTGGCGAGTCGAACAAAGCCATGGCGACATCTGCATCTCGGGCAGCAATACCCTTCCGTGGCGGGGAGATGCTTGTGCGCTCATGGTGAACTGCCGAGGCAGGTTCAATATCGTCAGATTTTCCTGCATCGCTCGCCATGCTTTAACTGCTGCACCGTATTGAAATAACAAAGAATAATAGTGCCGCGCGTCCACGCTAGTTCCACCGGTGGTCTGAATGGCCTTGTGTCAAATCGAAGAGGCTCGATAGAAAGTCAGCTAAGATCGTCTTATGAGCAACTGATATAGCGCGGGCTGGAGCTTAAAGCTTGGGCTTCACATCAAGTCCCCCCCCCTTCAAGATGCATCGGGAAACGAGTTTAAATGAAAGTGATGAACTACCAGAACTAAATAAACAGGGCCTGGGAAAGGTTTTAACTCACATACGATTCTCAGCTGTAAAATCAGGGTTGTGAATATCAAGGAAAGAGACAGCAACGAGCTAGGTCCAACACGACGCGATGTTTATGTTGTACCCCTTCACTGAGATGACGCCCCCGACAATAGGTCTTCGGCAATGTGTGGCTTCCCCACGGCGATTTCCCCAGGGGTTTGCCTCGAATGCGGGGAGAGACGCCCACCATTGCCGATCACGATGAGGGGAGGGCATCATGCCACTTATCTCCGTTGATAGCGAGAGTTCCCCAACCTGTACTGCGAATGGGCGAGTATTGCTGTGAGATCAAGGGAAACCTATTCCGCCATATGAGGAAGCCCTCAGCATGGTGTCCGCATAAGCAGACTAGAATATTGAAGTGATAGCTGAAGGACACACTGGCATAGTTCCGATAGTGCTTCGGTAAAGTTAAGTATTTCAATAGATCATAGAGAGCCTAAAAATATGCTTGAGTCCAGAATAAAGGCTTTCCCATCTATCATACATAGAACTGCATCCAATTAGCAGATAATTATTTGGGGTTCTTGAGTTTGAGATTCCTACGTCACATTATTTTCGTGAGCGAAACTAGAAGGCAGCACGTTACCAAGAACGACTTTGAGCAGTCTGATTCAAATCAATCTTTATTAATAGCGATTCTGTAATGGGCAGCTATAGCGGCTTCCGGTATATATGCATGTGTCGAGTCCACAGTCAATCAGGCGCAGGTACGTTAATATCATCTGCATGATTGCTGTACATCGTGATCCATGGAGCACCCGGATCTTGTTGATGGTCGTCAAGATTGTCCGTGTGCAGCGTATCCTTGATATTCTATACCACCTTTCTTATTGCATACCTACCTATCAAACTGAAACCTAAGCGGGGTGTTGCAAGATCTCCCTAGCCTAACTCGATGAAGCCCGCAACATACTTACATGATGTCAAATTAGCCTGCTCTCGGCCATGTCGGGATGCCGGGCCACTCTTCCACGTCGACCGTGTCGGAAGAGAATATTCCACATGTCAGAACAGGCTCTGTACTCTAGCAATACCAAGGTCGTAGCGGATCGTTATTCATAACTCAATGCTATAGCTTGGCTTGCGGAACAAGACGAAATTGGGAAAGTGGAGAACTAGAGGCACACAAGAGAAACAGTCCAAAAGCACGGAATGGACATCATGAAGAGCTCTATATAAGTCAGGCGTGAGGGAGGTCACTGGGCCACACTCCTTCACTGCATCACAGATCACCTTGCTGCATCTTACACGAGGGTAAACAGCAACTATCCAAAATGGCCGGTCTAAACTTATTACTTGGTTTGGCCATCTTGGGTCTTTCCACGGCCCAGAAGCCTGTTGGCGAGGTCGATAATCACCCCAAGGTCACAACATACAGATGCACCGTTGCGGATGGGTGCAAAGAGGCGACTAACTACCTCGTTTTAGACTCGTCTTCGCATTGGGTTCACCAAGCCAGCAGCAATGCAGGCTGCGGTAACTGGGGAAGCGGTCCCGATCCCACAGCTTGCCCGACCGAGGAAGACTGCGCGAAGAACTGTGTTATGGAGAGAACCCAAGATTACAGTGCCATCGGTGTGACGACCGAGGGTGACAAGTTGCACATGGAACAGATTATCAACGGCAACGTTGTGTCTCCTCGGATATACTTGTTGAACGAAGCGCGAGACAAGTATGAGATGTTGAAGCTTACTGGCCAAGAATTCTCCTTCGACATCGACTCGACTCATCTGCCATGTGGCATGAACAGTGCCCTTTACATGGGTGAGATGCTTGAAGATGGAGGCAAGAGTGATCTGAACCCCGGCGGTGCAGCATGGGGAACCGGCTACTGCGACGCCCAGTGCTACGTTACCCCTTTCATTAATGGTGTTGTGAGTAAATTCTGCTCTTCTTCTCCTCCTCCGCCTTCTTCACATCGTGCGACTAAAGATAAGCTCCCACTTCTAGGGAAATGTCGGTCAAAAGGGTGCTTGCTGCAACGAGATGGACATCTGGGAGGCCAACGCTCGATCAACTCAGATTGCCCCTCACCCCTGCAACCAGACTGGTCCATACCTCTGCACCGGCGCCGAGTGCGCTGCGGGAGGCGTGTGCGACAAGAACGGCTGTGGTTGGAACACGTACCGACTGGACCAGAAGGATTACTACGGAGAGGGCCCCGACTTCGACGTGGACACGACGAAGCCGTTCACTGTAGTGACGCAGTTCCCCGCTGACGCCGACGGAACTTTGACTGGCATCCGTCGGCTATACTTGCAGGATGGCAAGGTCATCAAGGCCAAGGTGATTGAGAAGCAAGGCGTTCCGGCGGTCGATCTCGAGACCGACGATTACTGCAAGGCAACCGGTGCCACCGATTTCATGAGACTCGGCGCCATGCCCGGCTTTGGCGAGTCGTTGACTAGAGGAATGGTGCTCACATTCAGTCTGTGGTGGGACGAGGGCGGTTTCATGCAGTGGCTCGATGGTAGCGCCCAAGGTGCCGGCCCCTGTAACGCGACCGAGGGTGATCCCAAGAACATCAGAATCATTGAGCCGGCGCCTCAGGTCACTTTCAGCAACATGAAGTGGGGAGAGATTGGATCAACATTCTCCGAGGCGTAGGTAGACTCGGATCAGAGCGGAACTGCCGCCTGAGACGCACCCGGCGAACACTGGATGAGGAAAGCGTCTGTATCAATAGACTTAGATAGATGAAGTACCGTGCATTTACCTGGAGGCTGATGCTGACGGCACTACTGTATTCGGTGATATTCGGTGACTCGGACTAACGGCCCCCAACGTCATGATCAGCAGCCATGTGTGATGGTGCAGTGTCACGCTTCAACATCCGGCTCAATGAGGCTCTCGCAATGCTAACAAGCGGTGACCGTTTTAGCAAACGAATAAGCACCTCGTGTCCGCGTAAGCACGAGGTTGGCCCAATTCGTTGTGTGTGCGAGACGAGCAAGGATATAAATAGGGCTCATAGGTTGTAGTTGGTAACCGTAAGCTGACGGCGTATGCAACAAGCTCCAACAAGCTCCAACGAGCTCCAACGAGCTCCAACTCGGTGAGAAGAGAAAGCTGCCTGGCATGCTTGCACGCGGATATGCCTCACGGGAAGCCGACCGGGACCCCGAGTATAAAAAACGTGGTTTGACCGGAAAATGTCATTGATATCGAGATGACTCAAACTGCAAGGCTCTGCCCTAGCTTCATATAGCCATATATTCTCACAAACAAGTCGGCGCTCTTGCTTCTTCACGATACTCGGTCATTCTCATTCTACTTACCCGAAAAGATGCATGTGGCACAGTTTACGATCAGCGGCAAGCACGAGATTGCCCGTGGCCGGCCAACCTCTACTCATTCGTGGCGGTAATTGGATACCACAAATATAAAGGTCAGTCAAGCGAATATAAATTCAATGAGACATTTGCTCATACTGAACTTAGGCCTTCGAGGACGGGCACCACCTATCTGTCCAATACGGCTTTATGAGTTTTCAATATTCAAGCCCCTGTGCCATCAAGCAGAATGTAATGATAGGATATCTGTGTATGAAGGGAAGAGTATCGATTCGACAACCAGTCAATGATACCGTGCAGTAATGGTTCATTTTATACGTGCTGGGATACGAGGGTATGAATAAACACGCTAGGTAGTGTGTGATGACTTGGATGGTTTTACGAAGATGGCTAAAACGATCGCTATATGAAATAAGGTGAGAGAGAGAGAGTATCTCAATTTATCAGCAGAGGGAAACTATCGTCGGCGCAGATTGTGACAACGGGGCAGAGATATAGTTAATACTCAGATCTGAATATCAAATACCGTCATGAATTCCCAAACAAGGCTCATGTGAGATGTTTCAGCCGTTCCCTGCTCTGATTCTCAACACCAAAAGCAAGGCCGTGTGAATTTGAATGCCATTTGCATAAGACAATAACGCTCTCCTATTTTGTTACTGGCCTCCTATAAACTGTCGGGCACGTTATGAACTTGTTGTTTCTAGACGCCAGTGTTAATATTCGACTTTCTCCTTAAGCCCATCTTTACCTTTTTCAACATTGCGGCAGTGAATATTTGAGTGGCAATGTGAGTTATAGTGCGCATCATAGACAGCACTAAATCATTCATAACGTGAAACGACTGGTACCGTGGTACAGAATCTTATGCCTCTAACCCTCTTCACTGTTATCGCCGAATTGAGCTGATCTGTCATGTAAAAGCATCGCTCACAGCAGCATCTAATACAAAATCTCTAGAACTAGTTCTCCGTGCCCGTAGCTTGTACACATGAGATTGAGATGAGCGATTCAAACCTTGGTAATATTGTGACAGACAGCTGCATCAATAGCACTCTTCGACACCGTTGCGAGATAATTGACAAGACTCCAGATACTGAAGATAAACTGAACTAGAAAAAAACGAACGCTAGTACGCCAAGTAGATGAAAGCATGGCAGGTGCAATAACCATTCTCGACTACACATCAAAAAGTTGATGCGAAGCTAAGTTTCATGATATCGTGAGAGTAAACGGCGTTAGGGATTGATAGTGTATTGCAGCCAATCAGAGCATCCACTTAGAGCACTATCTGTAGTCCGCCCAGATGAGCCAAGCGTGGTCGCTTACTGTTTATCGAAGATCATCGCTGTGATGAAATGATTGAAGGGGTGCCAATAAGGACGCAGAAGGCCAAAGACAGCATTGGCAGGTGAATACTATATATCTATAGAGCCCAAGAAATGCTGCAAAGTAACGATCATGGCTCTCATGAACACTAGTGCAATCTCCAGAAGTTTTGAGTATAGAATATCAGTCTTTTTATCCCCCGTGCCAACGCGAACTAGGTATAAGCTTTAGTAAGCTGACAAGAATATGGGCTCATCAAATGAAGAAGTAAGAATGGCATCGTATGGTATCGTCTTTCGTAGCTTCTTGGCAGGGTTTAGATATCAAAGTCATCTAAAGACAACCGGGAGGGTGCTCAGGTTTTGGGACGCAGATAAGAGCATCATTCTCAAGCAGCCTACTACCCCGTAGTCTTCATTGCAGCTCACCACCATGGCCTGCATTAGGACGGATGTGCTAATCGTCGGCGCCGGTCCCGCGGGGGCAAGTTTGGGATGCTTCCTGACTCGATATGGTGAGTAGCATGAGAGCTTCGTTCAGAATGGTGAACCTGATCAGAATTTATTAGGGGTGACGGGCCTCATTGTTAGCAAGACATCTTCAACAGCAAGAACACCGCGAGCCCATTTTACTAGCAATGCAACATTTGGTATGCCTTCAAGGCCACGACTTCCCAAATGTGCGTTTGATTCTGATAGTCCATGTGCAGAATGTCTCCGAGACGCCGGCTTAGAAAATGAATGTCGGAGTGTTTCCACATCCAGGGAGCTCATCAAGTTCTATCGCTTCTGCCATACAATGGCGGGAAAAGAGCTGTCAAGGTCGTACTACGCAGGAAATGATCCACACAGAGAGGTGAATCAACCTCACAAGGCTACCTGAACCTTTTCGTAACTGAGTGTCATAGGGAGAATATAAAAGAGCCTCGCCTTGCGAACAGGCAGACCTTCCCCAGTCTACTCTAGAGCCGATCTTGCTTCGGGTAGCCACGCAGAATGGATTTAAGCTTCGTTGGGACTACGAATTTATTTCATTTAACGAAGACGAAGAAACTGGGAAGATCCATTCTACTATTAGAGATATTCTCTCTGGCAGTTTGTTGAAAGTGGTGTCGAATTACCTTTGCGGTGCCGACGGCGCGAAAAGCGTTGTTGCCCGAGAGCTGCAGCTCCCGTTCCATGATACTCCTGGTGGTGGTTTCGCGTTGAACGTGTGGTTTGAAGCAGATCTAGTATGTCAATCAACTATAATCTTGGACTATTACCGGACAGTCGCAGGCTAACACATATCCCCATTTCCAGAGCCATATGATGGCGCACTCTGCCGGGTTGATACATATGTTGTTGGCACCCGACAAACCTCAGCCAGATTACTGCGCTATTGCTATTACACGCCAAGTCAAGCCCTTCTCTGAATGGGTAATTAGTATGTTGGCTAAGCCAGGGATCGCGAAGGTGACGGCTAGCGAGGACGAGATCATTCAACATGTTAAGGACCTCCTTGGAGACCCCTCAGTAGAGATCAAGGTCAAAAGCATGACAACTTGGTCCATTCAGGACTGCTACGCTGAGCAATACGCTCGCGGAAACGTATTTTGCCTTGGAGATGCTGTCCATCGGCACCCACCTTTTAACGGACTTGGGTCTAACACATGCATTCAGGACGCATATAATCTTGCGTGGAAAATCGGATATGTACAAAAGGGGTGGGCTTCTCCCTCGCTCTTAAAGTCGTTCAGTGCCGAAAGGCAACCAGTCGGAAAGGCTGTTGTCAGGCGCGCCAACAAGACAGGGACTATTCACGCGCAGCTCTTCGCCCTGATGGGTGTTTTCGAGCCCGATCTAGCGAAGAAGCGAAGAATCCTTGACAGTTTGGAGGAAAACACTGAAGAAGGCGCCGAAGCGAGAGCTGCGTTTCAGCAAATCATTGAGAACCTCGATTCCGAACGCCATGGATTTGGTGTCGAAATGAATCAGTTGTATCAATCCCAGGCCGTATGGGCCGACGATGAACCGAACCCCCCTCCCAGCTTCTCTACTCCTGAAGAGGCGGATCTTCATTACTTAGAAAGCACCTATCCCGGCTTTCGACTTCCTCACGCCTGGCTTCGAACCACAAATGCAAAACCGAGCGACCCCATGATCTCAACACACGACTTAGCAGGCAAGGGCCACTTCACCATACTAACCGGGCTTGGTGGGAAGGCGAAATGGGCCTATGCGGCACTCCGAGTGCAAATAGATCTATCAGTAGAGATCCCAGTGTATAGTATAGGGGCGGGAGACTACCGCGACGTCTTCTACGACTGGTCTAAGAAAAGTGGGATTAGTGAAGATGGGGCAGTACTGGTTCGGCCGGATCGTTTCGTTGCTTGGAGATCTAATGGGGACGATCGAGATCCGGAGAGAAATGCAGATAGACTTATCGAAATTATGTCGCGGATTCTAGGTCGATGAAGAGTTTCTGAGCATGGCTCATACCTCAGGTTTGGATTTGGTATTTTGTGGCCATATCTACTCGCTACTTTGGTTACCATTATCTAACCATTTCAGAGGCTAAGGCTAAATTCTTAAACATAAGTGGATAGATTAGCTAAACGTCCATTCTTGCATTTTCTACGTAATGGTTTGATACGTTTGGTAAGATAGGATAATGTATGGAAGTTATCATAAATGAATCAACCATTGCTCCCTAAAAAATTCATAAGGAGGAGAGGGGGAAGGATAGCTTGGAAAGTTACAAAAAATAGTGTTTATACAGCCTAGTCTAACCAACTTTCTCTGTGTATTCGCAGTTTTTGCGCTTAGAAAACAATAGCATACCAGCCCGTTTCTTTGTACTCCCATGACGAATGAGACCGAACCAAACCCATGATTCAACTGTCAAGATTTCGTATAGGATTATGCCTTATAAATATGTAGTAAATGGGTATTCGCTGGCTGAAACCGAGGCATATGGATGTGATAGAGACTCATTGCTGCCAGCACAACGGGAACTCACTGATAAACATGAACCAAAGCTTCCACACTACGTAAAATGCCTGCTTTGCCCTACTGTAAAAGCTGGAGTGGCGCGACCAATATTCATCAATCAATCGCGTGTAATATCAGAGTAGTACAACGATTCGCTTAAAAGTAAGTTTGTAGTCTGAGAATTGTCAAGGGAGAGTAGCCAGAGGGGAAGAGTCAAGCATGGCCGTTCAAGGGGTCACGATAAGTGGTTTTATGTGGTCTCCAAGTTCCGGTATGATTGGCTACCGAGCAGTGTGCTCTTGAAGGGAGAATAGTCAAGGGAGCTCACATACTCTCACATCATCAACTCATACACATGTTTGGATACTAAGTACGGAGACAAAGCAGAGCCTACTCACGACTTGTTAATCAATTAACAAACAAAGAACCTGGAAGGTAGCCTCTTAGGCTCCATCACTTCTCTTTCATGCCCAGAATGGGGCAAAGATGGGAATTAGAGTGAAAATGGCATTGTTGAATAGATGCGCACTAAGAAAACAGAGTTTCTATTCGAATACTTAAGGATATAACTTCACCCAGGCAAACTCGTTCATAATAAACCAAACCGATAACTCAAACCAACCTACGACCAAAATCAACAACAGCAACTCGAAGCTAGCTTTCCAAACACAAAACTATTCAATTAACTTACCGATTATCGACAACCACCTCCACGCCGAAACTTACAATCCAAAATGCCTTCGTTCAAAGCTTTCCTGTTAACTGCCACCCTAGCGAGTCTAGCAGCAGGCCACATTGCCCTCGAGAACCCAAAGCCGTACAAGCTTGTTGCCGACGGTGCCACAAACCCGCTATTGTCGTCAGGAGCAGATTTCCCATGTAGAATCCCTCCGGGTAAGTCATATATCATTGACGGTGAGCCGACCGAGATGGTCATCGGCGAAGACCAAACCCTCTCCTTTTCCGGCCATGCAGTGCATAGTGGAGGCTCCTGCCAGCTCGCGCTCAGCCGCGGATTCCCGACGAAAGATTCACCCTGGAAGGTCATCCACTCGATCGAAGGCGGCTGCCCCGCACGAAACGTCAAGGGTAATCTCGATGGCGAAGATCAAGACAAGTACATTTTCCAAATTCCCGAGGGAATTGAACCTGGTACCAACTGGACACTATCATGGACCTGGAATAATGCTGGTGGATCTGCCGAGATGTAAGTAACTTTTTTTCTTGTATTCCACAAATCTTCATGCTTATTCAGATTCAGCTAACTTAGATTTAGGTATATGGCATGCAGTCCGATCACCATCCTTCCTAGCAAGAAGAAGCGCATGAGTCTGCCAGAGCGTCGGGATGCTTTGGCAAAACGGGAGACTAATTTCCCCGAGCTCTTCGTGGCGAATCTGGGCGAGTTCAGCAATGGCTGTTCCACTTCGGAGGCCGTGAAGGACATAATCGCCATCGCTTACCCTGATCCTGGATCATCCGTGGAGCGTCCTAACGGTGACAACCTTTTCAAGATGACGTGCAATGGCAACCCTCGTGCTAAGGGTGCCCCTGCTGCTGGCGCTGGTGGCGACGGCAGCGCTGAGACAGAGACGCCTAAGTCGAGCTCGTCATCCTCAGCCTCAAGCTCTACCGTCCCATCAAGCTCCGCATCCAAGAGCCCGGTATCATGCCCCCCACTCACGCCCCCTAGCTCAACAGCAGCGGCGACGACAACAACGGGACAAGCATCTACCACTGGCTCACTTATCCCCATAACCTCGTCTTTCTCCGTCTCTCCCTCCCCAGGAACATCTGCTATGCCCAGTAGCGAGAGTCACAACGATGAATCCTCCTCCGCTACAACACTGTTTCCCATCCCTTCTGCATCAACATCAATCATGCCCAGCGCTAGTCAAGACTCGTCCCTTCCTTCTGAAGGCAGCAAGTGTGTCGAGGGCCACCTAACGTGCTTGGACAACGGCCTGTTCTTCGCGACATGCACCGGTGGACAGCTTACCGCGCACCAGCCCATCGCGCCGGGGTACAAGTGCGAACCTGGTTCCGGCGTTGGGCTTGAGATCGCGCCTATGTAAGTAGATATCCAGACAGCCATGTACTCTTAGTAGCAATGGGCTTGCCGGCTTGTTTTTCCTTATGAACCCTCAGGCGCGTGTGTATAATCCTTTAGTTTACCCTCTGTTTCATAATCAATTCTGGAAATTGATTCATATAAAATGATTCATTTACTTGCTATGCCTGTGAAAAATGCATGTTGCGGTTGGTTATTAGGTATATGTTCGTATCCGTTTGAATTAAGAGATTGTCCAGTTGGTGCAATCTTAGCCGATCTGTTGAAGATCCAACAGGGGTTAGATTATTAAGCATCATCGCCCAACCTACTACGTAGACAAGTACACAGTAATCTCGATGTCTACCCTGACTGTCCCGTAGGGAAAGCCCTGTCTTCATCAGTTCAATGGGACACGCCCAGTGGATACACAGCCGCGCTCTCGGGATTTGGGAGCGGAGTTTGCTTGACGCACAGGAACTGGGCGTTGTTACAAAACGGTTGAGGTTTTTCCATGGGGGAGTTAGAGAACTCCAACAGTAGTGCAGTGTAAATTGCCTGGCCACATTTGCGGTTCCTCTTGCATATGGCACTGGAAACGGTTAAGAGCATGTAATATATAACCCTTGATAAGCAACCATTTCCTCTCTTTTGGGAACTTGCAGCATCTTACATAGACGCTAAGTGAAAACCCCCCGCGGAATGTAACCCTACCTAGTGTGAGGTTAGGCTTCCGCTGAACGTAACATCAACATCTGGCTTCCATCTATTCGACGTCTGAGGTCTAACTTGAGCGCTATGGTCACAATTACTCTTTAAATGTAACATGCATGTCTTCCAGTTCGATATATGATTCGCGCTCGGGTTTTCCAGCGACATTTCCTGCGTAAACCCCTTCGCCCGCCAAGTCAGATTGGCTATCGCGGGATTCATCAGATAAGAGTCGATTCCAAAACCGTATAATGGTGTCTGATCCCCCTGGGCACGGGTGGACCTGCGCTTCGCACCGGACTTCCCGGAATGTAGGTCCCGAGAGCCGCGGACTGGTATTGACGCAGGGGAGTGGCGAAGGACCGTTCGCACGCTACGCTAATGTGGTTTAGGGGCTTCGTTCTTCTTCCTCGGCAGAACGTCCCCTAGGAGGGGAGATGGAGACAAGGAGAAGCGGAGGGCGGAAGCAAAATACTCTCATAATTGGTAGACGGGGAATTAGCGTCGGAGATAAACGCTATGGTAATGGGATAACCTCCTTTTTGGGGAAGGAATGAAGATTGATCTGTTAGAGGCGTAAAGCAGGCTCTTCGCTAATAGTATCAGAACCTTCTCACTTGTATTTAGTAGACTGGCGCGGTAATACAGCTGCAGTAATGGGCGCTTGACTTTGCGGTTGTAGTGTAGATGCATCATTATGTATTGTAGGCGGTTGCTGATCACAGAGAGCACTAGAGAATACAGATCTCAGGTATGCAGATGATGAGAATTCTGTTGCCCATCCGGGGTATTTGCTGACGTACTGCCCGGCGTTTCCGCTCCCTCCCCCCGAGAAAAAGAAAGACAAACCCCTGTGACATCCGATTTTGTTTACTCCCCAATGAAACCAGTTAATCCTAGATAAACACAACCGTGATAATGGACAGGCAATAGAGACCATATTAAATTGACAGGAAATATCTTCTTAAGAGATAGGATGTATGCGAGTCTGATAATGCAGAAATAGCAAGTCGTGGCAGCGCCAAAGCAATGCAGTAAATGTTGTAGGTTTGGTCAGTTTCATGCGTGGATATAGCTCGATATAGCACGGATGCAGGCTTGATTGGCCGGTTTATTCCCCTTTGTCCACCGCTCAAGAGCATGCTACGCTCGTCGTTTCCACGACTTCTTCCGTCACGGTAACCTTGACAGCCGAATTGATGTCCCGAATGGCCTCCCACGGGTTGTCTTCTCTCGGCATCCAGGCCACCTCGATCTCTCCGCAGCACACGATGTAGAGCTTTGACTTGCTCGGATCGGTGGGATGGGAGACGAGGTTAAGGCCCGTGGGGCTATCCAGACTGCTCATAATGACATGGGATGTTCCGTTTCCTGCCGCCGAATCGATCTGCACCTTGTGCAGGTGACCGTCGATGTGACTTGCCACGTAAGCGTGCGTCTGGTCCGGCGCAACGGCCATCCCGTCTAAATGCGAAGGCAGATCATCGACGATGGTCTGTACCGGGCCTGCTAGGCGGATCGCTATCTCAGGCTGTGATGCATCCAACTCCACCGGCAGCCGACATAGCGTGCCGCCGCCCGAGTTCGTAAAGTAGACAAAGTCCCCAACAATCTGTAGCCGGTTCACACCGAAGAACCCTTCTCCAGTACCGCGCTTCATTGACTCGTCATCGGCAAACATCGTCTTTTTGCCCGTATGTGTATCCAGTTGCCATATGCAACCCGTTCTCCCGTCGGGTAGGAGAAGAACACGGTCCGATACGGCCCTCACACCTAGGCAATACCCATCATCTTGTACACTCGTGACACGGATTGTCTTGGGCGGAATGCTATCGTCGCTCCCCATAACTACACGCCAGAGCCAGACATCTGTATGACTGACTAACTCGAGGTCAGCAGTGCTGCAGAGGACGAAATACTCGTCTTCGCAATCCGGTATAGGGCAGATATTGACAAGTGAGTTGCAGTCGGGCAGTGTGCACACCAGCTGAGGAACGGCGTCTTGGTCGCCGGCCATGAATGTGTATAATTCAGGCTTGTCTAACCGTGTCGCCAAAACTTTGCCATTCGGACGGACCACGAACCCTTCGAACCACGACTCGGAAGGAGCCTGCGTCAATAACACGACGTCTTCTTCAGGCATTGTCTCTCTCCCGTGACAATAATGGTATGTATTCAAGAAAACACCTCTTTTTGCGGGTGTGCGTCAGATGGCGCAGAACAGTTGGGGAACAGGGGGACAGGGGTTAGAGGCGATTGAATGATTACGTGATTTCAGGTTGAGGTGAAGAGTGCGCGAAGCTTGAAGAACGCAAGATGCCGTCAGACGATATGGAGGAAGAACGGGAATGAGAGAGAAAAGTGGTAGTGGTATGACAGGTAGGGACTGTTTGAGGCTCTGGTAGAACTGTCAGGTTTCAGAAAATAAATCCAAAGCAAGCCGTTGCTGCTGCTACTTTCCCGCGATTGCATATGCGACAATCTTCCACGCAGAGAGAGAATCGCCCGCCACACCCCGGGCATATGACCAGGATCGTGACAGGGTAACCTTCGTGGTATATGTAGGGTAGGTATACCACCCTCCCCAAGTAAGTAAGATGTGCTACACTAAGTAGGTGGCCGTCTGGCGGTAGTTCGTGGCCCAGATGCTCTGTTGAATACCGAGGTACACCCCATCAGTAACTTGGTCTAACCTGGTCGTGTAAGACTGACAAGGTTACCTGTGTAAGTAAGTATGCCAGGGGCAGGCATCCCGAAGAGGACAACTATCAATCAGAAAGAACGTCAATCTAGGTACCGTAGCTGAAGATGTTGCTACCATGTGACCTAGGTAAGCCTCGTCCGTAAACCTCCCGGTGAGCGCGGTGGCATGGTTCCTACATGTACGTCGGTAGGTTGGCTAGTGTGCACTAGTTAGTAGAAACCTCGTGATCACGAAGTAGCCTTTCTGTCTACAATATCGGCCTAGATAGCCTGTCGTGTAGATCAATAGGAATCATCAACCGTTCCCCCTCCCAGGAGTTCACTCCATGTATCAAGTAAGTAAGCATGCCCTGTAGTAACAAGTTCGGTGACATACTCGGTGACATTTCGCTGCGCCTAGCACAAGACAAGTCTCGGAAGTCCAATCCATCCAGCTGAGTCGAACTGAACTAACTGTGTGAGGTGGGGAAACCGTCCGCCATCCAGGACGGGAATAGGCCAACCGACACCTGGACTGATCTGGGCTGGAGATGCGGAGTAGTCTACCGGCAAACTACCAGCCTTGGTCTCAGTAGACGTACATTTGACCGCCACCCTTTAGCCGACTTGGTCGATGGTAGAGATCTAGATAGTCTCGGTAGGTAACGTTAGGTAAAACCGGGTTAGAGCTGGGTAGGTTAGGTAAGTAAGTATCCTCTCTTTTTTGCATAGTTACTGCCGATGACATCCACCTCTTACTCATCGTTACCAGCGTGGAGGTAGGCGACTCGGCGAGGAGGTACCGGTAGCCTAGATCGGCCCAGTCTGACACACAAACTCCCAATGAAGGCAGAAGGCTTTAACATGCCAGCGCCAGGATCGACAGGGAATCCTGGAGTGCACTGACAAGCACTGACGCCACCCAGCTTGTGAAAACTACACCCTGAGCAGAAGAACTTGGGCATCTGACTTGGGGACCTAAGTATCGCAGTGGGAGAAAAGCAGGACCAGAGGGCATATAACAGCGTACATATACATACATGTGATTCAACTCACCTATCCCAGAAACCCATAGAATGCTGTTGGTTGGCTGGTAAGAGGTAAACGTACCAGCAATGCCTCGTTATGCCGGATACTGATATGCGCGGTACTATCATGTTACATTAATGTGTACATCTAGATACAGTAGGGTTGCTAATTGTTGCCGCTGTCAAGTCTGTCGGATGCGGGGAAAAGGCCTCGGATCTGCACTCCGGGCCCGAACCCTTCACTCAAAGCCCTCACTAGGAACCAACTCAAGACTGATCGACTAACAAATCTTCGACTCGAATGAATAACGGCGCGTACAGATTAGCAGTACTGCCCAAATACTGCTGTTATCTTTCTTGGCAGAAGCGTCGCTATCATCGTCGTTCACTAACATCGCACAACCCCTATATCACGTCTTCACAATGTAATCGCCACTTTATACAACGCAGCATGACGATAGCAAGACAGGTATCTAGCTGTACTATCTCGAGAGCTTGAATAGAAAAAAACTCGGTCTTCTCCGTCGCGCCATTTCCGGTTCATCACCTCATCGTGCCGAGACGGTCCTTTCACAACCGACATTGCTTTCTTAGTCAATCAGTACATACATCCCCCCCGCAACGCTCAGATCACCAGACCCTTCGGTTGGCACTCTAGAGAGAAGAAGCTATGCGTAGTTCCCCCAACTTGGTCTTTCTTGACAGTAAAATTGTTGGCTGCCTTGTCAAAGTAAGAATTGTCGGTACTCGGCAAACCCCCCATCTGCTATATTGTAGGACAGGCATGATATGCGCTAAGAGAAAGAAAAGAGTGTAGTACTAGTCGTCTGTGTACCGTATGACGTCTGTGTGTGCGTGTCCGTGTCCCGCGTCTGTGCCTTTCTTGTTCCAAACCAGTAGAGTATGTCTACCGGTATGTTCGTTCGTTTCGTGTGTCTGTGCGGAGGAGGATCTTATAATATCTGGCTTGATACATGTATATACTTGCCTATTTACTCATACAAAAAAAAAAAAAAAAAAAAAAAAAAAAAAAGGAAACTGGCTGATCGCGTACATGTATTAGAATTAGGTACCTATCCAAATTAACAATCAAGAAACGTATTCAAGGAGCACCTTCGTAGGTGTAATTAATACGTGTTTATTATATAAACACTATTAAGTAACTACCCATGCAGTAAATACCTATACTACTATGTAAGTAAGTAAAAACCATACAGTATAGTAATTAATGCATGAATAATCCTTAATTCTGCTTACTTTATTACATCACATCACATCAGAATATCTCGCTCTTTGTGCTACTCCAATTCAAGTTTTTTGTTCAAGCAAAATTTTAGCTCTTGTTAGGTAAGTTCGTTCTTAGTAGATTGGCAAAGGCAGTGTGCATCTATGTCACGGAACAGAGTAAGATTGTAATACTAAACCGCTACGCTATCTGTAAAAGATGGAAACGACATTATCAGGTCGAGACCCTGCGCGCCTACACTCACTATATTATACTGTGATAATCTACGTACTCCTTTACCTACCTACATAGGTGAGTAATGTATGCAGTTTATGTAGGCGGTTTACATATAACGATATACTCTTCCCGAGACAAAACGACCCAAAGGAAAGGAATAAACATTTCAGCAAATGATACTAGCTTGGGTAGTTACTCCGTAGATAAAGCAGTTTACACAGACCTACTGTAGACTGTCTAGATTGTCTGTCTGTGGTAGATAGTAGGTACGTGGCACTCCGAGCTACTCAATCAATCCTTTTCTTTTCCAGACCACATTCTCACAATCTCATTAATCAAGTGAACTATCATATTCGCAAAGTCAAAAGCCAATTATCATATCCTATCATAATATCTATCGTGTCTCTCTATCATGGGTATAATACTCGCAAACAGGGGGTGTTTTTATAAACAGTTGAACAGTTGGCAGGTAAGGCAGGCTCCCTCCCCTCCCCAACCTAACCCAACCGAATACCGAACAAACAAAGAGCAAGTGGTGGCATTAATTACAAGGTATTAAAAGCAATAAGCCAAAAATGCAAACAAGAAAGAGAAAAAGAGACATTATCTTTTCCAAGGGGTGTCGGTGTCCGTATTAACAAGTGGTTCGAATGCCATGCCTTATCTAGACTGCATAGAAGCCCTAGGGGAATTTTTCTGCATAGACGGTCTCGGAGACTTGAGCGACGAAGGACTCATGGGCGAACCTCTGGCCATATCCAAGCTGTCGCGGACAGGCACGTGGCTCTTGACAGCCTCGTCGAGCGTCTCGCTCTTCCGCGTATCTTCAATCGCTCGCTCAGCCTTAAACTGCTTCTCGATATCGCCGTCCTTCTTCCCTTGTTCGCGGATTTCTTTGAGGGCTTCGCGCGTCAGATCCTGGCGGAACATGCGCTCGACAACCTCCTTCTTGCGCGTCTTCCGCCCGCCTATGCTGATCAGGATTCCGGCCGTGATGTTAACGGTGATGGACACGCTGAGGATGGTTGCCGTGATGGCAGGGTGTCGCGTCCTGTAGTCGATACCCCAGGTTGTGGCGCCAAGGGAGATTTGCAAGCACGAGTGGAGGTCTAGGAGTAGGACTATGGTGATTAGGAAGCTCTGCGGGAACGCGTAGTGTGTCTTGGTCTCGTGCGGCCGATAAAAGGTATGTGATCTAGCGAACTTTTCTTGGTGATGGACAAGGGTAGCTTGTTCGGCCTCGGTCAGAACCGATATCTCGTCACGGGCAGCCTCAAGCTCTGGATCAGTGGGCAAGTCGTTCTTGTCCCGCAACTTGCCCATCTGCAGCTTCTTTCGGAGCTTCCACGTCTTTCGGTGATAGTGCCAGATGAAAAACATGTGATATGTGTCGACGACTCGGAAGGGCGCGAGGCCGTCACCCATGATAGCAAAGAGAGCAACAAGTACGTAGTCAATGACGTTGATAACATACAGTTGTTTAGCGCCTACATAGATCCAGCCGATGAGGAACAGGACCCAGGCGAGACCGAACAAAGTAATAAGAGTGGCATAAAGGGTGACGAAAAAGCCAACGGGCCTGCTCACGTATTTTCCAAAGGCCTTCATGGTTCGTTTGAACTTGTTTCGTCGTGAATGAAGCATATGCCGGACATGGTCATTGAGCTCGGCCATCTCTTCTGTACTCCATCCTTCCAAGGACACACCCTCGGGGAGCACGGCGTGATTGAAGTTAAAATCGTAGTGCTGATCCTCGATGTGTGGCGCCTGCTGAAACCTATCTTCGGGTCTCTGTCTCTGGGGCACGTCTATAGATGATGTTATTGTTCCACGACTAGGGGCACGAGTCAGGTTATAGGTGGGATGTCTGTTGATGAGCCGACCGAGAGACGGAATGAAGAGAGAATTCTGGATATTGGTAACATTGTTCAAAGTCGATACCTCGGGATCTGGCAATTCGAAGTCCTTGTTAGCGAGACTGGAGGAACAAGCCGTGATTGATAGATGTGGGATATGGGGTGTGTGATAGGAGGACTGAGAAGCAACAAGAGAACGTCGACTACGCACCAATGACATCCAGGACGTCGGCAAGCTCTGGGTTCACAGCATTACGGCCGTCGGGGGCGTTGAAGAAAGCCGTGCTTCCAATCCTCTTATCCTCGGGGACGTGGGCCAAGGTTGGGGCGGCGGCGGCATTTCCGCGAGGACGGAGGACGGCCAATCGTGGGCGTTGGCGGCTTCGGCCTGATGGATCGGAACTGGAGCGTCGCCTCCCAGAGTCGGCCCTGCTGACTAGTCCATCGTCGTCGAATTGGCCAAACTCTCTCTCGTGATTTTCGACGACTGACTGCGGTCGATATAAGCTCGGGCCGATATCGTCGTCGTTGTTATTGTTGGCGTTGCTGGCGTTGCTGTTCCTCTTGAAGCGGACGTGGCGCCCGTTGTCCTGCGGCATGATCTAACCTTCTCTCTTGTCTCCCCTCTACAACGTGGGCAAGGCAGAGCAGGGCGTCCAGGGCGTTGAAGCAAAGGGGAGGGGAAAGAAGCAAAGAATTAAGCAAATTACAAAAGAAGAATGACAGACCACAGCACGGTTGGGGAAGATAAGTATATGGAGAACATGGTCTGTCTAGCGTAGGCCGGATCGCAGGAAAGACGGCATACCTATGTAGGTATGAATGGGCCGGTAGTGCCGACTACGACGTAGCAAGGTGTGTCAGAGGTTTTGCTGGCGCGGACAAGTTGGCAACTATGATCTCATCGAGTCCCACCTTCAGCCCGCCGCCAGCCCACTGGACCCAGCCAAGGTGCTTGGGTACAGGCGCTGTGACACGGCCGCTGCGGGGGATCGGGATTATCTACCTGCGAGGCACTTGTAGCTGAGCTGATTGTAGTCTAGTCTCCCGCTAGACGCCTGCAGCTGCTAGGTACTGACATGTACTCTGCGATCTCGAAAGCCCAGACCAAACCCCAGTCCTGCAGTATCCAGTACCTTGGCTAAGTGGTTTGGGTTCAGGGATCGGGGAAGATAAGATACTACCTACAGTACTACTACCTACTACCATGTAGGTATTTCACATTGTTTGTCTCATCGACGCGATGGTAAGAAATCCTTAGCACGATACACTTCATGCGGTTTGATGATGTATTTATTGCATGGGGGATTTTAGTATAGCCTCAGTATTGATCACCAGGGCGTTACTGCGTGTATTCGCTAATGGCCAAAGGATTCCAAGGTTGCATCTACCATTTGTCGTTGATCATTATATTACTAGTACGGTAAGTAGGCTGCTAGCCTTGGACTAATCGCAGGCCGATTTTGTCATTTGTTTTTTACATGACTGCACACCTTCCTCTATTCTCCAGCGCATTGACGCGCTCTTTGAGGCTCTTGACGGCTTCTTCGTTAAGTCGCCGCTCATCATTCAGCATCTTCTCGAGGTCCTTGAGTCTCTCCTGATAGTGTTCCTTGAGCGCCTCCACCACAAGCTTGTTCTCGGCCGCCGTGTTCCGCATCGTCGCCTCCATGTCCGCGAGTTCGCGTTTGTGCTCCTCCTTCATCTTGACCAGTTCCATCATGACCTGTTGACCCGCCGCTGTGTCCCTGAGTGCCTTGTTATCCTTGCCCATTTCTTTCTGGAGCCGGACGAAGAACGGCTTGTTGGCCATGAGGATTTGCGCTATCGAGCGCGCTGACTCGGCCGTTCCCGCATATCTAAGGGCTTTCGCTTCGAATGCTAGCAACACTTTCCAAAATTTGTTCTTCAGCTCTTGCTCACGCGCCAGTCCTTCTTCTGGCGATACCTTGTCCCACATGCTCGTCGCCAGTACCACATTTTTCAGGTTGTTCTCTCCCGTGAGCTTCTGGAACATTTGTAGGTTCTTTGTCGCATGGTGAGTTACTCGCGTGTCGGAGATGGGATGCAGATAGATGATTCCTGAGAGCTTCATGTCGTTCTTGTACGCCGCGGCGAGGTAATCGGCAATAAGCTGTAAGACTTCGCTATCCGACAGATTGGTGTCCGAAAACCCGGGCGTGTCAACAAAGCGGACCACTCGGCCGTCGATTTTGGTCTCGATTACCTCGATATCTCGTGTGCCTGGAAACGGAAGACGAGGTAAGTATCAGTCCGGTATCCTCTCGCGTCATGAGCTATTCAGAAAACGTACAGGATGTCAGGCTATGCCCAATCTTCAAATCAGGACGCCCTGTTACTTTGGATATGAAAGTTGTCTTGCCAGAACCTGTCATTCTAGAGGCTGTAAGCATCTAAAGCTCAAAAAAGAATCTCACGAAGGATGGGAATCGCTTACCCCATGACGGCGATGAGTAGATCCTGGCCGGTCCAGAATCGCTGCATTACCGATTTGGTATATTTCAGGGCAGACGAGCCCTTCTCAGGCTCATCGTCATTCTCCGACATCCAACTGGAAGCTGCAAGATAGGAGTCATTCAACGAGTCCCGGGTACCTGGTGCGACTGGAGGCTGTTGGGCATGTTGGGAGGGTTGGGTTGGTTGTCCGTTGTCGAAGGCTCGTCCATAGTGTTCGGGCGGCCAATATTGATGTGGCGGCTGGCCATGCTGGGATACGGGAGAGGACAAGTCGCTCACAGGGTCGGCGCCTTCGACGACATCGAAGTCCTCGTCGTCGGAAACAGAAGGCCCGTTAATTACGGCCATCGTGAGTTGCTTGGTGTATTTGAGGTGGGACACTTAAACTAGCTGCGGTGTCGGTCAATATTTTTTGGTTTGGATAGGTAGGTAGGACGAGAGTAGCGCAAATATGGATCCTAAGAGAGGTAATTGAGGTAGGTGAACCAGGCAGCCATATTAACTCGGAGGTTATCCATCCACCCACTTGGAACTCTCAGGGTCCAACTCGAAGGTCGACAGGCTGGTGGCCTCTGGGGGGAAGGTGGGGGTGGGGGAAGGAGGGAATACCACCCAACGTACCTGGTACATGCAGATAGGTGGAAGAGACAGACTTTGTGCACAGGTAGGTATTAGAGCCCCCGTAGGTACTGTGTACTTCGTAGAGAGAAGCACATGCATTCGTCCATTTGGAGCAACTTGACGTCACAACTGCAGCCCAACGAATGTCCATCTAAACTGCATGTGAACATCTCAAGTTTTCCCCTCAAAAGCAGCTTACCAGAGCCTTGCTAAGGAAAAGCTTTTTTAATATCTACATGCAATGAGTTGATTGGATAGCTAGATAGGTACTACGCCATTGTCGCAATTTAAAGCTTCAATTCAGGTTAAATCATTCATGCGTCCATCCGTGCACAGATGGCTATTTGTCGGCATGATTTGCTGAAGAGCTTCGACCAGATGACACTCCTACTTGTAGTAGATGCTGATCCATAGATCGGTCCGCAGCATCAAAAAACCAAGCATCAGTAGGTAAGCTACACATGGAAGCACAGTGCCTCGTCTGTAATATGATGTTTACTATGATGTCTTTAAGAGATTGCGGGCCAATGACGGAAATAGGAATCGATATATTGCGGTTGCAATCATATGTCATCTGAACCACCAATTGGCCGAAGCGTTGAGTTCGGCTTCATGCCCAACGCTCCGAACGCTATGCCACCAGCCTTGGGGGATGAACAAGGCGTCGCCGGGGCCCAACGTGGCTTGCCAGACCTCCCTCGATGCGCCCGGGTCGCCCCATACAGCACGATGGAGCCCTTCTCGCTCGGGGCCATCCATCATCTCGGGACCGCGGAACCGTGAATTTCCGACTGCCCCGAGGCTCCTGCGAACATGTTCGAATACCGACAGTCCAGCTCTCGGGCGCAGGAGACGCACGGCTTTGGACCCGACCAGTTGGCAGAACAGGTTGGGGTTGGGGTCTCGGTGTAGTGGTGTATAGGTGGGTTGCAGTCCTAGCCAGATGCTCGAGTTGTAAATGTCACCTTTTCCGACTCGGCCCACGATGTCGGGCACGGGCAGGTCTTTCCCCAGTGCCGATGGGAGACTCCGGATATCAGACTGCGCGATGTAAAGCTGGCTAACGCGTTGCGAGGGCTTAATTTCCTTGCCTCTGTTGTACTGAGAGGCCTGGATGATGAGACTGAGCGGGGCGTCAAATTGTAGAAAGCGCGATTGACTATTCTCTGCTGACTCTAGCAATCGACTGATGAGGTTCTCTAGAAAATGGCTGTGCGGACTGGTCGACGCACGGGCAAGCCACGCTTGAAATCCTTTCAAGCAATCCGGTGAGCACCCGGAGGATTCGTCCCCGTGTGTTGGAGGAGGAGGAGAAGAAGAAGAAGAAGAAGAAGAAGAAGAAGAAGAAGAAGAAGAAGAAGAAGAAGAAGAAGAAGAAGATGATGATACTATCAGCTCATAGGATACAGTAGTATCAGAGAAAGACTCCAGCTTGTCGCCGCCGAACGCGACTAGCCCTGTTACTTGGTCGTTTGCCGTGGTCCAGCTCTTCATGGCTGGCAGCCGGTGGAACCTGTTCAGATGCACTGGTATAGCGGGCTCCCAGGCGAGCGAGCGGAAAGTTTCGACATCGATGGCTCCCGAGAATGCCGTGACAGGGCGGACTCGGTCACTGCGGTCCAGATGGCCGGGCACGGGTGTTACGTAGCGTCGTCGCACCTGTAGATGCCCCGCCCGGGACCATAATGCTTGGAATGCTTGGTACGCTGATGTTCGTTGCATTCTTTTCTTTACACTCTAGCACTATCATTGACAATCAATAAGAGGCCAATTGCATCATGTCATAGCTACCATGCGACTAGAGCATGTTGATTGCAAGCGCGTGTTGTCTGCGAAGGTGGTAGTGATAGTGATAGTGGTAGATGGTCTCGGCAGGTTTCGAGATCTACAAATTTAACCCCATCAGAACTACCTAAGTGCATATGTAAGAAGATAAAATTAAAACATTCATCATCTATGAACATGAGACTGCCCCCTTCCCTTCCCTTCCCTTCAATGGCGGATCATTGTATGGGCATTCTACCAGGTTGATTACCTAATACATCCATCTACATGCAAATTCCGCTTTGGGAATTTCCATTCCACAAACGCAATCCCCACTGGGCAACGCAATCGCTGGACATACATACCACCGCATCGACGAGACCCCATCCGGCATTCAATATGCGGCATTGGGCATCTACCGGCATATAAAAATGTGGCCAACCACTTCACTTCCACTGCCTACTTACCTACATGTGTACTTCGTATAGGTTAGGTAGTCTAGGTATCTACAGAGAGGTACCGGTAGGTAGAGACCATTGGCGTTATCGCTTATCGCTATCGCTAATCTGTGTAGGTACCTAGGTAGGCAGCTTTGATGATCTAAGCCCCCCCTTCTTAAGTGCCTACACTTCTTATCTGCCTATCTCCTAGGTACCTAGGTAGACAGGATTGCTGGCTACATGCATGCACCGGCACCTGGGGCAGATGCCGACACAACCTCAATCGCAGCCACACCACCTTGGCCGGGCACCACTGTCTGTGTCTACCTGGTTCTGCTCTGGTGCGAGACCCAAAAAATTAAAACATCAACGTCTATTTCGCACATTGTATCGTCACGGCCGAACATCATACACACCATAGTGCCTTGTTTTTCTCGGCCTCTTCCTCAGCCTTTTCCCCGTCTATCGGCCCGTCCGTTCGTCTGTTTATCTGCCTGCCTGCCTGCCTGCCTGCCTACCTACCTACCCATCTTCTCTCTCCTCAGCTCGACCCTCGCCCCGCGCCTCTTCCGACGCCGAACCACATTGTCTAGACTAGCCACCTGCCCGCGCGTCATGCAGGTGATATAGTGTAGATAGTGTGCTTCGGTCCCTCTTTCTCTCTCTCTCTCGTTTCTCCCAATTGCCCTGGATAAGTGGACTGGCCAGGGTCCCAGGGGTCTGAGTTCTAGGTCTGAGTTCTAGGCCTCTCTTCCACACCCCCGCCCTCCAGCCCGCCCTACCTATCATCGGGACCCCTCCAACGCGACATCGACCAAGCCGAAACGCGCCTCGAGCCCGATCCCGACCCCATCCCCATCCCCGATCTTGCTTTGGACTGGACCTGATCCTCGCCCTGAAGCGCCTGTCCCTTCTGCTGACACCATGATGTCCTCGTCATCGGGCACCCCTGAGTCCTGGATATCCTCCTTCTGTTCACTCCTCGGCCACGAGTACTTCGCCGAAGTCTCGGAGGAGTTCATCGAGGATGATTTCAATCTTACCGGCCTGCAGACTCAGGTCGCCATGTATAAAGAGGCGTTAGAGGTAAGATGGCTTATCATTGTTCCCCGGATTGTCTCTCCCAACCCCGTGGCTCGTGCTTATCGTCTCCTCTACGCTATTAGATGATACTCGACGTGGAACCTGAAGAAGATGACGAAGACGAAGAAGAAGAGGACGAAGAGGAAGATGAGTCCATCGAGGGTGTAGAGCGCATGCGGCATGGCGAACGTCGCAACCACAGCCGCATCGCGAGCGACCTATCTGTCATAGAGTCCTCCGCCGAGATGCTATACGGTCTTATCCACCAGCGTTTTATATGTTCGCGTGCTGGTATCCAACAAATGTCGGAAAAGTATGAGCTTGGACACTTCGGCGTTTGCCCCAGGAGCCATTGCGACCAAGCCCGCACTCTGCCCGTCGGCCTTTCTGATATACCCGGCGAGGAGACTGTCAAGCTCTTCTGTCCCTCTTGCCTCGACGTATATGTACCCCCTAACAGCCGTTTTCAAACTGTTGATGGCGCTTTCTTTGGCCGCACATTTGGCGCCCTGTTTCTCCTCACCTTCCCCGAATATGATCTCACCAAGCGAGGCGCTGATGTCTTAGCGGGCGCACGAGTTGCCGAAGACGACAAGGAGATGTTGAACGGCATGTACCGCTGTAACATAGCACCAAGTCTGGGCAGATCGAGGATCTACGAACCTCGAATCTACGGCTTCAGGGTATCCGAGGTTGCTCGATCAGGTCCTCGAATGCAATGGTTGAGGGACAAGCCAAATGACCTGTCAGAATTGGATGAGGCACGACGCTTTGCCGAGGAAAATCCGGAAAGCGATGATGACGACGAAAGCATGAATCTTAATGGGAGGCCTGTACGTCGGTTGCGGCAGCGGAGACGGAACGGGGCAGGAGGTGGTGGTGGCGGTGGTGGTGGAGGAGGCAGCCCGATGGAGACGAATGGTGCCGAATCCGAGCTCTAGAAAAACATGAAATACGCATATCATTATCAACCAAGCATTTAAGGGTCTTCCACTCCTATGACAGCATGACCGTCTGAGATCGAGACTGTGAAAGATGAAAATTCCATGCGAAATATAGGGAAATACCCCAAGTTCCGATGATAAAGGACAGGGTCGAGAGAAATTATATACTTCCCTCACCCCCTCTATAATTGTGTGAAGAAAGGGGATTGTTTATCATAACCCGTCCCTACCTACGCACAGTCACCGAAATGATGAAGGAGAAGGCAAAGAGCCCTCACTCATGCGGGCGAGGGATTTGGTATATGGCATGGTGTGACGAGACATGGAGGAGGCGAGGCGAGCGAGGTCAGGAGTGCAGTTGCATGGATGAGTCTGAATGAACTTGAAAAACTTGAACTTGAACTGCCATTGCGTAGGTTGGGTCAGGTTAAGACGGACTAGGGCTATGAGGTAGACAGTTCTATCTGTTCGTCTAGCTAATTGTCTGTCTAGACAAGCAGGTAACTATGTGGAGGGTGGCTGGGCTGGGCTGGGCTGGGGCCGGCGTTGGTCGATATGTTGTTATGTTATAGACTAAGTGAGCGAAGGGGAGAGAGTGTGAGGGTGTAGTCCGTGTTTTAATACATGAAACATTTTTTCAAATCATTTTTAGCCAATTTTTGAAAAGTCTTTGTGTATTATTGTTCATTGTATTCTGGGGTGGGATGGTGGATTTGCTGGTGCTGAGTACTCCCACTTATTCCGCTGGCTGGCTTCTCGTTCTTGTCGTCTTCTTGATTGGAATTGCTTGGCTTCGTTTGAAGTTTTAGGAGTGGGTTGGGATGGATTCAATGTGGTGTTTGGGAAGATAAGAGGAGACAGAAGTGAGAATAAGGCTAAGGGGTATAATTAGGTGTATTAGAGTGATTTTAAGGTAGTACCTATCTAGGACGGTGTTGTATATGTAGTTATATATATGTATATATACACGCATACACGTATACCTACACAGTGAAGAAACTTATACACCGTCAGGTACTTTGATGGAGTTCCTAATATCTTCATGGTATGTAGACGCGGATATCAAGAAGTAGGTAGATTAAGATAGAGAGAGAAACTATGACAAGCCGTAGTAAGGCTCGGTATTTAAGCTAGAATCATCTGCCACGTCTGTTAAGGTCCTAGTTGGCCGTGGCGGTACTATATAAAATGGTTATGAGTTTAAGAACGGGTTATTAATGTTGGTGTAGCTTGCTGAGTACTAGCTATTGCGGGAAGCGAGATGCTTCGGTACCTTAAGTAATCTATTGTATACGTTTATTCGTGACTACTATGAACTTTTAGGTTATATTATAATGAAACGAAATGATGGTTGAGAACATGACTAATGCCTAGCCTGTGCTTTTAGAGATGCGTAGGACGTAAGGTCTTACAGACGCCGATGAGGATACGGGTGCTCATTGTACAAAGGCTAATGGAAGGACATAAAGTTGCTAGATTATATGAGAGGTGGGCTATGCCTATGTTGATTAGGAATGGATATAACAACGCGACATAGTGTTATATCGCCTGCCTTGCCGGTTCGGATGAGTTTAGGCACGAGCTGAAGTTACTGCTTTTCAAGCAAACACTATGCTCATGTCATGAGTGATGGGATACAGAATATACTTTTTTGGGCTGGAGATGGCTGAGGGAAAAGGTGGATGGTTACAGACTAGATCTTGATGTTAGTTCAAATGGGGGGGAGGGGGGATCTCGGATCTCACGTAGAGTCTGAGACTTACAAAATATATATCCTTAGTTTTCTCTTTCTTTTGTTGGGGAGTCAATAAGTATATAGATCTTTTAGCATCATTTTTATTCTACTTTTTAGGTTTGTATATATGGGTTGGGCACCAGTAAAGAATGCCTCCTAAGAATGATGGGATTCCCAAAAACTGACTTTTGTAATCGCAAATAGATATATTTGTCACACACACACATACAATTGATAAAATACAAATTATTTATTTAGCTACTTGCCCTGTCACTTGTTCCTGTTAGAGATAGGAATAAAAAGTTCCAAGAAAGCCACAGGAAGTAATGCAGGCATTGGTAGAACTCAAGGTTGCGCTGAGTTTCATCCAGTACCGCCTGGCACTCTCCGGCCAGATTGGAGCTCGGGTACTATCCATACGCAGAAGCCTTCGGAAAGGAGTAATGCCACATCACGTGGAAATATGTGCTCTTGCTTATCCGAAGCGGCGGGAGGCGGCATAGATAGCAGTAATCGACTAGGTAGTGGCGTCTGAATACACCAGGCACACACAGCATTGGGCTGAGTGGCCCGTTTTTTACGAGACGCAGAAAAAGATAAAGTCCGCTGGCCCGATGTTACCGGCGATTGATGCAGCCGAATTGTCTTAATTCCGGATGTAATTCCTCAGATTTCACACTACGTAGTGGAATCCTATTATCTTGGTTAGCACTACCAACGGCAAGCTAGGTACTTACATAGATATTGAAACGAATACGGGCCTACCTTCTATATAGCCATGTTCTTGGGCAGTCCTACGATAGCCTGATAGCCCGATATACTGGTATCGGGTATGAACCGGCAATACCTAGATGGAGACTTGGGTGCATTGCATGCATCTGCGTAGAGCCAGTACCAAGGCGCATGATGCTTTCGTGTAATCAGTGATCAGTAAGCTATTGATGCTCGGCTAGAATTCGGTCGAAAATACAGCTCACTCTCCATCACGTAAGTGTCATGGTATGATATAAGACGCACCATTGTCGATCTCTGGTAACACAACTCTATATATGCAGGGGAGGGGCACGACATACCAAGACGTTGTTGAGCACCTCAGTCATTGCGCGACTGAACCCCCAACGGTGTCTGGGAGGGTATATCCCCTTAACTTCCAGCTCAACTCCGTGACACTTTTAATCGGGTCTTAAGTATCTTTTAACTTTGCTAACAGATCTAGTTACATGTAAAAGATTAAAACTACTTAGCTTTTGCCGATGATCTATACGTATTTAGTGTAGCGATAGGTATTTTCGATATTAAAGCTACTATAGTACATATGTAATATGCCTTAATTGGCTACCTATGTCGAATTTTAGCAGGTTGCGGAGTTGAGCTGGAAGTTAAGGGGATAGTATGAGCAAGATACTGTATCATACTGGTTTCCGATTGGCCCCGGCTGGGAATCTGGGTAAGGCGAGTGACGGATGGATAGGATCTGCATGTGTACTCCGAACTGTAGTCTATCCGTAGCATCTGCGACATGCATGATGGGTGCATGGGGAGAAACATACAAACGAGCTACAACGAAGCGAATGTCTATGCTGATACGACATCACATCAGCGCGTAATTGCTGTCAGCGCGCTATGGAAGCCACGACATGCTTCTCCTGTACCTATCGTGTGGAGGATAGATATCTACATGTCATGTACCGGTAGGCCATTAGGGAGACCGTGTTTCGTCTCAGGAATGAATTGAGACAGACTCCCATCCTGCAGATTTGTGTTGTGTACCTGTACATGGACGTGAACAGACTCAGCACCAACCCACGTGTTGAATGCACAGAACCTATATGTACAGTACAGTACCATGCAGATTGCCAACAATGAAACATCGCAGAGGCTAATAACTTACTGTATTGCAGCGCTATGCGATGGTGTAATACGCTGAGGGAACCCTCTGCTATTGCGGTAGAGAGGCAAGATCTGCGCCGCGGCGATCCGGAGGAACAATAGCTACCGATAGTAATAAACCGAGAGCCCGTCTTGGCATTCCTGGGTAGTGCCCCAATCAACGGGCAGAGGGGTTCTCTGACCTCGAAGGCGCCCGTATACCCGGATTTCCGTGCGCAGTGTGTTGCTCACTATGTGATACGCCGACGTGATGGCTACGGCTCTCTTAACTTCCCTACAGGTCTATACACTGGCAGTACTGCACTAGCTAAATGTAATATTACTTAAGTATAACTGGTGTTTGGTAGCGTGGTGTGTGGATAGGAAGTAAGTAGGGACTTACTATGTAGTTAATATACTCTACGCACGCCGCAGGGTAGGTGGCCAAACTGCGGCAATCGCATAATAACCCTGGACGGCCCGTATAACGTTGGCGGCCACGGGATCTGACGAATGGGACCAGGCAGATGGCGTCAAAGGAGATCAGATTCATAATGATTCATACGCCGTCAGCAACGGCCAAGACCCCCTCTTAGTGAATTTGTACATTTGACTTTGCCCACGATAACAATTCACTGTAGGTATTGCAAGAACATGTAGGGATCATCAACCAGATCGCTGGACGGTTTGAGTTTTATACCCTGTTCCCTTTCCTTCTTTCTCTCTCTGTTTGGTTAGTTTCTTTGTTCAGGATTCGCCCTTGATGATATGATGTATGAGGTGGTACACACAGTGGAGAGCTACAAACAGATGGGATAAGTATGTCGGTGCTGTTGTACAATGTAACTTGAAGTCCTCCTCTCTGATTGGTAGCATCACATAAGTCAACATTACTCATTATAAATCACTCTTGAGTGCGACATAGCGGACGTTCCTGACTCATGGCCGTAGGCGGGGAAATCCAGGGTACTTCACTAATCTGGCCGTAAGACTCTAGAGGAGAAAAAAAAAAGGAAGTAAAGAAAGATGAATGGTAGCGGGCTGTAGCGTGGTGTATGGGGGTGACTGTACGCCGGCAGTGTGGATGGTCTGGATCTATTCTAGAATGGTAAAAGTGCAGCCGTGTAGGAGTGGTAAGATGTTCCGACGCGATTCCAAATGTGACCTCAGCACCAACACCAGCTACTAGCGCCCGTTGATTGATAATCTACATCCCCTACTATCCTCTACCAAGACAACTAGAATGCTCCTTTACTGTGGCTACTAAGTAGGTTAGGTACATGTGCGAAATTGTGCCGAGGAACCCCTACATATCAGATAGACAGGGACCTCTTATGGTATGTACGTGTAGGCAGACTGACGACACGCTGCTAGTCTTTGGCAGCTTTCGGAGAATAACGACATCCGTCACTGCCATAATAATCTACGTCGTGTGTCGTATTAGATTGTATCGACCGGAGTAGTTGGTTCGCTTGTGATCATTTGGGCTACTACCATCTCACCTTAGTGTACCGTACCGTCTCCGTGGGGACCCCAAGAGCAGACCAAGAGGCAATATTCGGTATCATGGACAAGGAAGGATGCACGAGAGCGGGGACTACAAAATGACAAGACAGAAGAGGAACAGGGCGCGAGCGAGAAAAAATAATAATATCATTTGTAAGTTTTATCTCCGCCGCTCAATACCGATCAAGTGGGGGGAGGTTTCTGGCTTGGGTACGATTAACTCCCCGAATTCTTTGTTATACATACATAGCATTGGCCCTGCACCCCAAATCCTCCTCCGTTGTTGTTTTCGAACAATCTTGCCCTGCCCTGCCCTTCCTGCGCTCTATCTGTGCCTTGCTGGCCTAGAGCATTGTTGCGGCCTGGCTCAAGATACTAAGACATCGAGATACCGCGCCGCCCGTTTGTAAACTGGTTTCTTTCCTTCCTTTGCATGTCGGTTCGGCCGGTTTCTTATCACCGGAAGCTGGCCCCTAGCGCTTCATCGACCCGGTTCTGATTCTTAGCGTACAAGAAACGTGTCGCAATATTCACAGCATTTGGGATTCTTAGATACCCGAGGTAGTCGAAACAGCCGTTTTCATTAACTCACCAATATCGGTTAGGTTGTAGGGAATAGCCGGCCTGGAATCGATTCGGCTTGCTTGATCACGTCGTTACACAGTTCGGCCCGGCGAGGACTTAATACAGGCCCGTAAGCCACGTTCAACTCCGGACCGTTCGACATCGCCACTCAATTTACGCACCCTGCCCGGATCCGCTACAACATCGCGACCATGACCGAGGGAGTTAAGGGTCCCGTGGAGGGTTTGAGCGCCCCTGGAACAGGTCACAACCTGAACAACGATGCACAAACATCTCAGCGCCCGCCTTCATCAGCAACTTCAGTTCCCACCTCGGACTCTTCTGAAGAGCAACGGGAGAGAGCGCGGCAGAGTAATCCCAACGGGTTCTCTCGCATTCACTCAGGCATCTCAGTTGAGCAGGCTCAGGCCGACTTCGCGGAACTCCAGAGGGAAATTTCCGGCTTGTCGCGAGCTAGCCGAGTGAACAGCCATCACGCGGGTGACCCAGAAAAAGGAATGAAAGGCGACATCACCGGATCAGAAACTTCGGAAGAGGAATTTAATCTCGAAGAAGTCCTCCGTGGCGGCCTTAGCGCCGAGCAGGAAGCTGGCATTAAACCTAAACATATCGGCGTCTATTGGGATGGACTGACTGTCAAAGGTATGGGTGGCATGACCAACTATGTGCAGACATTTCCAGATGCGTTTATCAACTTTGTGGACTATTGGACACCCCTCAAGAACCTGCTGGGCTGGGGCCAACAAGGCGTCGAGGCCACCTTGCTAGACAACTTTCGGGGTGTCGTGAACCCAGGCGAAATGGTTCTTGTCCTGGGTCGTCCTGGGTCCGGATGTACTACGTTCCTCAAGTCTATTGCGAATCAGCGATGGGGCTACACTGGTGTCACAGGTGAGGTTTTATACGGTCCCTTCACCGACAAGGAGTTCAAGGAGTACCGCGGTGAAGCTGTATACAACCAAGAGGACGACATTCACCATGCCACTCTAAACGTGGAACAGACTTTGGGATTCGCTATCGACACCAAAGTCCCCAATAAGCTGCCCGCAGGCACTGACAAGGCCAAGTTCAAGAACGACGTCATCACTACACTTTTGAAGATGTTCAATATTGAGCACACTAGACACACTGTCGTGGGTGACGCCTTAGTTCGTGGTGTCTCGGGCGGTGAAAGGAAGCGTGTTTCAATCGCCGAGATGATGATTACCAATGCCTGTATCTTGTCATGGGATAACAGTACTCGTGGTCTGGACGCTAGTACCGCGCTGGATTTCGTCAAGTCTCTGCGAATCCAAACCAACCTGTACAAGACCTCAACTTTCGTATCCCTATACCAAGCTTCGGAGAATATCTATAGGCAATTCGACAAGGTACTAGTGATTGACTCGGGTAGGCAAGTGTACTTTGGCCCTGCGGCAGACGCGAGAGGTTACTTTGAGGGCCTAGGTTTTCTACCGCGTCCACGTCAAACGACACCAGATTACGTTACCGGATGTACCGACGAATTCGAACGTGCCTATTCAGATGGATATTCGCCCGCCAATGCGCCGCACAGCCCCGAAACTCTCGCTGAGGCTTTTGAAAAGTCTAAGTTCTCACAGCAATTAAGCGATGAGATGGCTGACTACAAAGCTCGCCTTGAAACTGAGACTGGAAAGCATGAAGACTTCCGCGTGGCGGTTCTGGAAAGCAAGCGTCGTGGAGCAAAACGATCAGTCTACAGCGTCGGGTTCCACCAACAAGTATGGGCGTTGATGAAGCGTCAATTCGCCCTGAAAATCCAAGACAAGCTGGGTCTCTCTCTCTCATGGCTCCGCAGTATCATCATTGCCATCGTCCTGGGAACTCTGTTTCTGAACCTCCAAGACACGTCCGGCAGTGCTTTCAGCAAAGGCGGTCTTCTCTTCATCTCGCTCTTGTTTAATGCTTTCCAGGCCTTTTCCGAACTCGGTTCAACGATGACGGGCCGGCCAATCGTCAATAAGCACAAAGCCTATGCCTTTCATCGGCCATCAGCCCTGTGGATTGCACAGATCTTTGTTGATACTGCCTTTTCTGCCGTACAAATCCTGGTCTTCTCCCTCATCGTGTACTTCTTGACTAATCTATCAAGAACGCCTGGCCATTTCTTCGTGTTCTACCTGCTCGTTTTGGTTGGAAATATTGCTATGACCCTATACTTCCGTATCATTGGATGTCTCAGCCCTGACTTCGATTACGCCATCAAGTTTGCCGTCGTCACTGTCACATTATTCATATTGACCTCCGGCTATCTGATTCAGTATCAGTCACAACAGGTCTGGCTCCGTTGGATATTTTGGATTAATGCGCTTGGTTTATCATTCGCGGGCTTGATGGCTAATGAATTCTCTGGTACCGAAATGACTTGCTCGGCTGAGTCGCTTATTCCATCTGGCCCTGGTTATGATGACATTCGATACCAAGTGTGCACCCTCGCTGGCTCCAAACCTGGAACCCAGACCGTTTTGGGCTCCGACTACATTACACAGGGATTTAGCTACCACCCTCAGGACTTGTGGCGAAACTTCGGCATTATCATAGCCATCATTGTTTTCTTCCTCATCATGAACGTCCTTCTTGGAGAATTGGTCAAGTACGGAATGGGAGGTAATCAAGCCAAAGTTTTCGCCAGACCAAATGCGGAGAGAACGGCACTGAACGAAGCGCTCAACAACAAGAAGCTCGCACGTCAAAAGTCGAAGACGACTGAGGAGAGCTCGGCTTTGAAGATCGAGTCTGAGAGCATCCTCACATGGGAAGACCTCAACTATGATGTACCTGTCCCTGGAGGTACTCGACGGCTCCTCAATAGCGTTTATGGCTACTGTAAACCCGGCGAACTCACTGCACTTATGGGTGCATCGGGAGCTGGTAAAACCACTCTTCTGGATGTATTGGCTTCTCGAAAGAACATCGGTGTTATTCACGGTGACGTTCTTGTTGACGGATCCAAGCCTGGTAAGGAATTTCAACGGTCGACCTCTTACGCTGAACAACTGGACATGCACGATCCCACCCAGACGGTTCGCGAGGCCCTGCGATTTTCAGCCGATCTCCGTCAAGCTTACGAAACCCCACAATCCGAGAAGTATGCCTACGTCGAGGAGATCATTGCGCTATTGGAAATGGAGCATATCGCAGATTGTATCATTGGTACCCCTGAGGCTGGTCTCACTGTCGAACAACGCAAGCGTGTCACTATCGGTGTTGAGCTGGCAGCTAAGCCGCAGCTACTTCTCTTCCTCGACGAGCCGACCTCTGGGCTCGACAGTCAAAGTGCTTTCAACATTGTCCGATTCTTGAAGAAGCTGGCTGCTGCCGGCCAGGCTATCCTCTGCACCATCCATCAGCCGAACGCAGCACTTTTCGAAAACTTCGACAGACTTCTCTTATTGCAGCGAGGTGGTCGTTGTGTGTATTTCGGTGACATCGGCAAGGATGCCCATGTTCTCCGTGATTACCTCGCCCGCCACGGCGCCGTTGCTGGCCCATCCGACAACATTGCTGAGTATATGCTGGAGGCTATTGGTGCTGGTAGCAGCGCGCGCGTGGGCAACAAGGACTGGGGTGATATCTGGAACGACAGCCCTGAACTGGCTAACGTCAAGGACAAGATCTCCCAGTTCAAGGAAGAGCGCAGAAAGGCCGCTGCTGAGATTGATCTCAGTTTGCAGAAGGAATTTGCTTCGCCGCTCTGGCACCAGATCAAGACTGTTGTCTATCGTACAAACGTCTCCTATTGGCGCTCTCCTAACTATCTCTTCACTCGCGTCTTCAACCACATTGTTATCGCTCTCCTAACGGGTCTGACATATCTACAGCTCGACGAGTCTCGGTCTTCACTGCAATACAAGGTCTTTGTCATGTTCCAGGTTACCGTTCTTCCCGCCTTGCTTCTGCCCCAGGTTGAGCTCATGTTCGTCATCAAGCGCGCCATCTTCTTCCGAGAACAGCTCAGCAAAATGTACAGCACCTTTACGTTCACTCTCAGCATGGTCCTGGCCGAGCTTCCATACTCTATCTTTTGCTCCGTCCTCTTTTTCCTGCCTCTCTACTTCATCCCTGGCTTCCAGTCGGAGGCCTCGCGTGCCGGTTACCAGTACTTCATGGTCCTTATCACCGAGCTGTTCGCCGTCTCGCTTGGTCAAGTGCTCGCCGCTATCTCGCCCTCAGCCTTCGTCTCGAGCCAGTATGATCCTTTCATCGTGATCACATTTGCCCTGTTCTGCGGTGTCACCATTCCTTATCCTCAGATGCCCGGTTTCTGGAAAGCCTGGCTATACCAGCTTGACCCCTTCACGCGTCTCATCAGCGGTACCATCACTACCGCCCTTCACGAGCTTCCCGTCAAGTGCACCAGCCGCGAGTTGAACGCCTTCGTCGCACCACCTGGAGAGACCTGCGGATCGTACATGGAGAAGTTCTTTGAGCTCGGCGCGGGATATCTCGTCAATAACGATACCTCTAACTGCGAGTACTGTGCCTACAAGAGCGGCGACCAGTTCTACCAGGCCTTCGAGTACACCTTCGACACTAGGTGGAGGGATCTCGGTATTTTCATTGCATTCGTGGCGAGCAACACAATTATCCTGTTCGTTGCTGTAAGTTCTTTTTGTATCCATGCTTTTCTAAGATATGTTCTGGGTTTTTACTAACTGTGTTACTTGGCAGACCCGCTTCTTGAACTGGAACAGACGATAAATCAACGCTATCGTCTTATCTAAGCTACAAAATATCACTAAAATATCCCGATCACTACTTCGGTGTATATTCCTAATAGAAAAAGAAAACGGACGAATGTACGGCCTTCACGCGGATAGTCTTGGTCCTTAGAGCAGAGCTTGGAGCGAGATTATTATTACACATTTTAGAACATAGACTGGCGTTGTTGGGATCTTCATTGTTTTTGGTACCTACGTACTTGACCGTCATGTCGAGTTGAGTTAGGGTAACCCCCGTACATAATTGATTTTGTTGCTACCTACCTATGTATGGATGGTGCACAATAGGATGACGAGGTCTGTGAGATATAGGGTGTAAGATTGAGTATTAGTAGATAGAGCTATAGCAAGCTTGATATTTAGTTGCGCTCGTTAAGTTTTGCTTCTATGTTGACGTGACTGAGCATTGATTGAAACCTCACTGGAAATACAGCCATCTCTGTTCTACAGGGACTATTAACATTTGCAAGTACGTGGCATTGCTGCCGCGGCGGATGGAAGTAGCCTTCAGCAACTGATAGCTTCAGCCCGTGTTGTAATTCAAGGCGACTTGAAAAAGAGTTGAGACACTGTACGTATGAACACCTAAAACCATCGTAGAAGCTTTATGAATATTCGCATTTCTCATATCTGAGATACAAAGTATTGCTCTTCGGATGCCCTGTGTACATGTCAGTCTGCTCAATGCCCCTGTCATCAACGATATAACTCGTATAATTAGAATAAATCGCTGCGATAGTGAGCTTCATATCTGGGTCACGTTAGTAGATAAAGAGCGATCAAAGGTGGATGTTACTAACTGTGCATGGCGAAGTTCGACCCTAGACACATTCTTCCGCCACTCGAGAACCCCCAGAACTGCCTGTTCGCAGCCTCGTTGGGTTTGTTAGCTAGCCACCGCGTGTAATCCCATTGCTCGGGACTCGGATAAGCTTCCTCGTCGCGGTGCAGGTTATACGCGGATGCGGATACGCGCGTGCCGCCGGGCACTAGGTATGGGCCTATCCGACTGGATGGGAACGGCACAACCCGTGGTTCGGGGCCACCGGCTGGTGCATAGCGACGCACGGTCTCTAGGATCATGGCATGGAGTTTAGGTAAACTGTGTAACTGCTTTGAATCCGGCATGTACATCCTGCCGCTTTTCATGACCATGTTTGGCTGCAGGGAGAGCAGCTCATTCCGCAGCTCGGCCTGGAGGTCGAGAGACTGTGATAGATGGTGCGAAAGATACGTCAAGGCTACGCCTGTGGTTTCCTGCCCGGCGAGCACGTGGTCGAAGACCTCGGAGGCAACGGAGAGTTCTGGATAGCGGATGGTAGTCGAAAGAAGAGGGGAAGCTTGTCCGTGAGTACTCTTCTCTTTGTCGTAGCCTGATAGAAGCGTCCGCACAACTACAGGGTCATTGGCAGGGTCCAGAGGCGCTCCCAACCCTTGGATGTCTCGCGTAGTAGCGTCGCTCAACTCTTTACACCACGCCTCAAGCTCCCGATTTGCCGCATCCACCCATCGCGGAGTCAGACTAATACCTAGATATCGCAGGACCTTTGAAAGACCGGGAAGCTCCTGCGCAAAGAACCCGTATCCCTTGCGCGTCGTGTATAGTTTAAGCCAACGCCTACGATAAGCTTCGTTCTCGATGAAATTAGCGCTGCGCCGAAAACCGAAGCAGTACGCCGAGATGAAATCCATAGCTACAGCACAGAAAAGCGAATGCACATCAATTCCGTGAGGCGCTTGACTTGGTGACAATGAATCTCCTAGTACAGGCATCAAGCTGGCATTGAGGATCTTATCTGCCTGAGCGGCTTGGGACACTGATGCGTTAATATACGACTTCGAATACACATGTGAGATCATGCGCTTTCTGAGTGAATGGGGTTTTGATTGCACAGAGGAGAAAGTGCAGGGGACTCTATGCGAGACTTAGTATTGCTCTACGTGTTCTATTCGACAAATCAAGGCCCGTCATTACCCAAAATTGTCAAACACAGAGTACCACGAGTGCTTGTCAAAACCGCCCTGATATATAACCCTGACGGCCTCGGGAGAAGTGACGCTCAGCTCACGGGGTCCGACGCGTATGATCTGGCCGTATTTTCTATGGGCGGCGTGTAACGTCCGGTTTTCCCTGCCACGGTATCGGGCGAGGAGAATCCAGGCATCTGAGATCGAACACGTCCAGTGTGGGGTGGGAATGCGAGCCAGAGGAGAGAAGAACAAGGGGCAGAGTATATAATGGTGTGCGGCGAGCAATGCCGCGATGAGGAGGGCGAGATGATACATAGTAATCACGAAGGAGAGACCTGGGGGGAAGTCGTTTGCGCAGCATGGGAATGAAGGCAGAATGTGTGTCTTGCTTACTTACCTAGATATCTATAGTAGACACCACCTGAGATGCGACATCGCTCTCGGCATCAACAGTCTCACAGGTTGGAGTAAGTTGGGAATTGAACGGCATTGCCTGATTGATTCCCTTATTCCATCCCAATCCTCATGTAACCAATTACACCTCCAGGAGCACCCCAGACTCCCCTAATACCCCAGATATATAAGTAGGTACCGGATGCAACATGGTACCATTCGCGGCATATATATACAGTAACACCATGTGCAGATATGTGTTCAGTGTTAAGTCTGCGCGATACTCTCTATGATACTACCTGTGTTTCTAAACCTCCCACATGACCTCATCTACTTTCTACTTAGTAACAAGCCATCGAGACTAGTTGATACGCCAAGGGAAATTGCATTAATCAAGATCATTTGTAATTATCGGGGCATGACGCAGAGACCGCTTGGCGTTTGCCGTCTTTGGTCGGTCATCTTGAAAAATAAGAGCCGACGCGAGAAAGTGTCTATAAAATGTGGTCAGCATTTATTTTCCTGGCTCGTGATAACCAGGCCACCGAAGCGTGTTACAATCCATGTCCTTGACAGTGTTTCATTTGGTTCGAACGTTGGCTCTCTTACTAGTTCTTTTTTCCCCTGTCACACTTGGTACGAAATGACTCACATGCGAAAACCATCCACTGTATTGCTTGCCGAATTTACATCTTGTTTCGCCAGGAGCTAGCAACGTCGTACTTATAAATGAAAACAAGACAGCTGCGGCGGTAGACAGTCACGGTTTCTTATACAACTATTTGTATATAACCAGGCGGTCTGTGACGTCTTTTTCACGTACAATATGGAGTCCTTATCGGCTCTTAACCTTAATCCTCCTAAACTCGATACATTGCCCACCGATATCCTGCTTATCATTTTGGGCTACTTGGACACGGCTCGGAGTATAGCCCACTTGGGTGCGACCTGTAAGGGACTATGCCAGCTCATTTCGGCTGAAGGTTGGCGCGTGTTTGTGAGGACCTGCTTCAGTAGTCTCAGGCTACCTGAGAGCAACTCTGCTGAAGAGTGGGCGCGTCTAGCACGCGTCCTCACCGCGCAGTCACGAGATTGGGATAGGCGAGCCTTCGTCTTCCATTCGCTCACACCGCCTGAAACGCGAGAGACCCGAAGACGCAATGACAGAAGACCTCAGACATCGCAGTCCATCCCAGGCAACATTATTGTCGATGCCCACCTACAGAGCCAAGGGCACTTTGACGAGGAGTTCGTGGCCTGGGGCGCTGGCGAAGATGTCGTCGCTCGTATTCAGCGAAAGAAGCGAAAGGGCCAAGCCACGTTAATATCTGAAGATTGGCATTTGTGTAAAGGCTCGGAAAATGGCTTTGTTGCGGGAAAGGGCGATACTACCAGTATATCAATTGTCAAAACAAGCCCTTTCGAAGATGGTAGAGATATGAGTGTCGTGGTCGGAAGGGCAAACGGTGATCTTCGCTTACTCTCAATGGATCACTCTACTTTCGGCCGCACATTGATGCGATTCCGCCCATCACCTGCTTCCCCTATTCACCAGCATGAGATACGAGCAGTTGACGTTGATAGCTCCAACATCATAGCAACCAGCACTAGAGAAAGTGTCTGGCTCTATCCTGCCCAGAACCATGACCAAGTACAGGTCAACGATACTGAAGATTTATTCATAGACCCGATCACTACGGCCTGTCTCAAAGACTCACAGCAGCTGTCCTCCTTTGAATTTATCCGCTCTATGAAAATCCTAAACAAAGAGACTCTTGCCGTGGCTTTGAACAGGAGCTTCGACCCGCTCCGTGTTCTCACTGTCACCCCGACCGGCTTGGACATCTCCAAACCAGCCCGGAACCTAGACGAACTTCCCTACATAGATGCAAGTCCTCGAACTGTGAGGGCACTTCTACCCGTAGATGTGAGGTCAATTGCGAGCGGATACGGGAATGTCATACTCAGCTCTTGGGATGATGGTACTATCCGGCTTCAAGACTTACGGACTCCGTCACCAGTGGACCAGATCTACCAGGATAACTTTGAAGTTGCCACTCCCATCAACGCGCTCATCTCTCACGGCCTCGAGAGGTTCGTTGCAGGCAGTGCGTACTCGCACATGCTGAAAATTTTCGACTTTCGTTGGCCTAGGGGGTATTATCACACCGACTCGTTGCCATGCACTAGCAGCCGGCCATATCCCACCCCCAGACCTCCGACCATCATTGACGAGCCCGAGTGTTATCACAGGCGGTCACTATGTAACCACCTGTTTGGCTACCGATGCCGATGGCACGCATTGTCGCGCCATGATTTCTACCGACCCAACTGTAACATCTACCTGCCATTTCGAAACTACGCGAGTTCGCCTATATACTCTTTAGCGAAGCCTTCGGATATTTCCCCTGTAGTCTACGCTGGGCTTTCCGGCTTGCTTGTCGAATTCGCACTGAAGAGCGACATGCATACTGCAACTGTCTCTAACCAACCCCCCCTTTATACTCGACAAACGGGCAAGGTCGCAGTCTTGGAAACAGGAGATGGCTCCCGTATTTTGGACGTCAGTAAATGTCAGCGCGTACCCGAGATACGTCGGCAGTCATTTAGCGGTATAGAGGGTGGCGGTATCACGGCGAGGAGACAGCATCGGCTTGACGAAGCTTTGCAGGATCCTCGCGAGTGGCAAGAATTCAAGGCTTCGCCTATATGAAAGTGACGAGTAGCGACCACTCCCTTGTCTATGAAGGCTACACAAGAGCGTCTCGGTAACGTCTCATAGTCACATACTTTCAGTTACGATAGAAACATGGCAAGGAAACCCCAACAACCAACAGCGAGCCTAGTTGCGCAATTTCATGTATAGAATCTTGGTCTTAGGCGAAACAAGGCAGCGTGGAATTGAGTTGAGACTTTGCTATCTGACAAGTGGTAAATGAGTGTCTCGTCATGCATCGCCATTCTCCCTTCCTTTCCTCCTGCTCCAGCATCCGGCCAACTGGCCTGTCCATCGAATCACACAGATATGGCGCAACCCCTTATTTCTTCTGGGTTTTGCTAGACCAGATAGGAGTTCCCTTGTACATGACCACGTTACCATCGTCCTACGGCACTTGAGTCAGTAATTACCGGAAGGAGTACGCGTTCAACACATATTTTAGGGCCATGGGAGGCGCAATGAGACTCGAAACCTGCCAAGGGGTGGTGGTGGTGGATGGCAGGATCAATGACTTCAAAGACTAACCTGGACCGCGATGATGCAAGTGCTGTCACCGGTAGGATTGGCTGTGTTGGTGTGCCAGATGGCTTTGCCGCTCATGTCGCTATACAGCAGGTTTTGGTCAGCGACGACGTACTGTCTCCCCTGTACCGTTCGCAACTAGCGATCGTCAAAAGGCGTCACGAGGGTACAGGATAAACTCACTAGATGCAAAGATTGCCGTCTCCTTGCATCTGGATGCCCTTAACGTTGTCCTTCTGCTCAGGAGTGTTCTGCCACTGGCATTTGCCTCCCCAGTAGATGGCGATCTTGCCATCCGCCTGCATTTTGAATTCGACAGAACCATCGTTGCTCCAGAGACTGTTGCCAGTGAGCAACCACTCTCCATTGCCAAGGGTGTTATGAGAAGGCATGGCGAATAAGTATAAAGAGTTACTAAGACTTGTGTAGATAGTCAAGTGTGTCTTGAGTGTCTGGGTATCTGGATGATGATGGATGATAGAACAATAGACTCTGTTGTCAAGAGAGGGTTGTCCTCTTTATATATCCTGCCGACTACTATTTGGACGGAGTGCATCTTTCCACTGCCTTCGGAATCTACCTTGTTTCATTCACATTGTGTCTCCCGGACTCATCCTCACCCTCCACGTCTCGCCCTGCACGCGCCCTTATCAGGCAACAACGCAAGCATTGGGTTTGCCTTCCCCGCTCGCAGCGGTATATCACAGCCGATCGCTTGAGCTCTAATCTCTTCTGTCTTGCCCGAGCTCGAGTCGAGACGCACGCCAATGCACGCACGCGGTACAATCCGTCGAATCCCACTGCTTCGATCTTTTATCGCTGCAGAGAACGCTTTCCATAGTGTCATTATGCGACATCCAGCTGGTCCACGGACGAAAGCCACTAGTGTGGCGTTGTCTAGATGCCCATGACGCGTCGATAGTTTCACAGCTGTTCTGATCTGGGTGCCGTTCAAAAAAGAATTTGTAATTAGACGGTTCACAGCGTGACCATATGTGAGCGTGCTACTCACGTTGTAAACAGATCGATGGAATTGCCCTCCCCCCGCCTCAACAGACACACGGAGTCTTGTCATCGTGGCTCTGCTCACAAGTTCCAAACGACATGTTCGTGAGCCAAGGACCCCGAAATATGCAAGAGAACCCGCTGGTAGGGGTGTCATGTTCTGCATCAAGATATGCATCATTGCGCTGCGCTTAGGATTTCGGGCAGATCTGGCTGCATCCGACTACCTACTCCGTCTCCGGCTCTTCCACGCGGCCGCTAGAGAGGCAACTTTAACCCCATTCAAACGTGGTGACAGCGGCTGCCGCGATGCTCGCTCTTGTCATACAACGCACTCGAACGGCCACCATCGTCATACGTAACACCCACCTCTTGAGTGACCAAATTGCAGATGTTTACGTGGCCCCTTCATGCACAATATAGAAAAGAGGAGTCGCTTGGGGTTCTCATAAGATGAAAACGTCTAGATTTGCAGTGTGCTTCTTTATTGCGGGGGACAGTCGTGCCATGCTGTGAGACCTAGTATTTTCACCGTTGCAGTCTTGGGGCACGAACACGTCATAAAATGTGCCGATATGAACGACGATGTGGTGTTTCTGCTCATGTTCGAAGAGGTACCGTGTGACGAACCAGATTCTCCGAGCGTCAATCAAAGAGTTCAGCGATCCCTTGTGACTGGGCGCACACCCGCAGATGAATCTAGTGTATCCTTGCTAGGGACCGGGCTGGACGATGAGCTTATGAAAGTACAGCTTTAAAGTGCATCTAAGATAGGTGCGTGAGGAGTAATATGATGTTGTCCAACCACTGCCCAGTGTTGTTTTTCTTATTCGAGTGCCGAGACGGCTGCATCGTGACAGCCGTCCGTATCTCAATACCTATCTCCAATTACGTTTGATTGAGGCGGGGGGGAAAGATGCGTCTCGAAAAAGGCACTTGGTAAGACATCAGTCAATTTGATTAACAGGCCGCATCTACTCATGTTACACCCTAGGTATTCCGCCGTAGTGAGCTCACCTTCAATTGGTCTTCAGCTAGTGTGCAAATGTTGTAATACAAGACTGAATATTGCAACATGCAGACGACAGCCATGACGCCGGGTCGTCAATTTATCTGGGCTGTTATGAGATCACCCTGTGAACAATCACATCAGACCATATTTGGTACCGACGCGCTGCAGCACCGCGGAAAAGCTGCAACGCCTCATCGACGTCGCAAGGCATGGAGCGTCTCGGGCCGATCCAATTGTGGCAAATATCATTCCCCATCGACTGGTCTAGGGCCGCCTCTTCACTTGCTTCCAAATATCACCGACTAGTAACCGTGGAAGATGGTATGCAGATGCGTAACTACTGCATTCGGTCAGGCTAAGTTGTATGCAGCTCGCCTATTTATTCTAGTGCTAGCTATACGTGAAGGATCCAGCAATATCAAGAGGTGTTCGTGTTGGCTATCCAGATAAAGACGAAATAGATGCGTCTACGTGTTGTCTGAGCAAGTATGGCTTAAACAATGTACTCCTCGTTAACCTGAATCTAGAAAAGTTTCTTACGATATAACTCCCAGGATGAATCCTGATGACCGAATATAGCGGAGAGCGCCTCATAGTATGTCATTGCCATGCTAAACTTCTAGCTTGATTGACAATTTCAGCTGTTCCAATGAATTGTACGTTCTGCTTCGTCTATATATCTAAATACAGTAAATGCCGATAGCCACACAAGTCATTGTAGAGACTTGAACAACTGCACCCAACGCATTGCCCAATAATACCAAAGCACACCCCCAAATGGCTGTATGGGTTACGATCCTTACGTAACGTGGTGCAGTATCAAGAACATCTTCATGCGCGTGTCAAAGGTGGGGGGGCCAAACTGTAATGTATCATGTAAGCGATCTCAGCCCAGCTCGTTGGCAGCTACGATTTAATGACGCGGATGAAGGATAATGCAAGATTCGCGCCACCTACGTATCGAAAAATTCTATACTTCAAGAGAAATCTATCAAACTGCTGTATTAGAGAAAGTAGCAATTGTACGATAGTCATGTGATTAGAATTTAACGAGATGGTAGAAGAAAAGGCTATGCGAGTCCTGGTTCGTATGCCTATGAGGCCATCTCCAACAAATTCCGAGGTTCTAGACTGTGTTCCGGCTCATCCCTTCTTACTCATATTGGCATATAGGGCCCCTTTTTCTTGAAGTACTCCTTGTCTAGTGGAACAACAAATGGGTTTCGTTCAATACCAATATGAGGCTTTCCGTCTTTGCCAATATATCTACCAAAGGTATACGTACGATTTGTGATTGTCTTATCGCCCGACTCTTGTTGGTTGATGAAGTCCTCAGTAGCTTGACTAGCAACTGAATACGCTAGAAGTGACCCGAGAGAGGTCGGCATTCTAGGGAGTAGTATAGCCAGTGCTCGGGTATACACAGCCACGGAAATGAGAAGATAGACAGCCAGAATAGAGATACTCAAGATGAATGCAGGCTCGGATAAGAAGATGCGAGTTTCGACCCGGAAGATAGAGGCAGGGATTGGATCTATTTTGTCTGTGGCCTTTTGGAAGAAGGACGGGTTCAAGCCAAACAAAGTAGCGGCTAGTCGTCCGTAAAGATCTTCTAGAATTGGACGCATTGTAGCAGGATCTGGAACGTCGTGGGCTGGGTCAACAAGCGATCGGTTGCCAATCATCAATGTCAACAGGTGGTTGGTCCAGTCTGTCGTCACTGTTTCGTTGTGCCAATTTTGGTTAGATTGGAGGTTGGTTCGAGCTACTTCATCGACAATAGATTGGGATAGATTCGCGGGCCATTGTTCAAGGTGCGTAATGGGATCGCCTATCTGCTCAGTGGCGATGATATTGTCATTGGTATCCACAGTAACGTCAAACACAGCGGCTCGTAAATGTGACTGGCATATGAGTAGCGTAGAGCTCAAGCTACGGTACCCCGGCTCTTGTTGCGTTGGGTGCACACGCATCCATCCCGCAATCAAAGGCGTCTTCGACCAACATACATCTCCCATATATGTATTGATAAAGGTAAGAATCATTTCCCGAGTAGAATTTTGTCTAGGGAATTCGCGATACACTGGGCTCTGAAGTATAGAGTTGCAGTCAACATATGAACCGTAAGCCACTGTGCGACGTCTTGTTGCAAGCGTTCCTGATTGGCGTGCACCCGCTGCTGCCTCTAGTTGACGTCCAGGCGCTGCGTGCCCGTTATGACGACTTCTGGAGCCAGTGTAGCCAGGAGCGGTCGCTGGTCCGTGGTGAATACGACTTTACGCTCTTTTCATTCCTGGGTCTCCTATGGGCCGTCTTGTACTGCGGCGCCGTGACTGCCCCTAGATCTGTCCGGGACGAGACCTCTTCCCTCCGCGCTCCCTTCCCCGAGGCCTTTCTGGCCCACCTTAAGTCCAAAATGGATGAGACGCTGTCATTATCGTGTTATCATGAGGTGGCGACCCTTGATGGGCTCGTTGCTTCGGTCCTCGTCTTTGAGTGCGACCCTGATATGGATGGAATTATAGGCGGGCCATCAGGTCTTTCACGATTGGTCCAAGCAGCAAAGACCCTGGGGATTGACTGCGAGAGATCTTGGAATAGGGGCGGCAAGAGCGATGTGGAACATGATATGGGTCGACGGGTATGGAAACATATTGTACACCTCCAGATAATGAGTGCCTTTACATCGGGAGGGCCGTTGCCATCACAGCTCGGCAAAATAGAGACAGATGAAGGTGACAACAGCGAGGTACTCGACGACATGACTTCGACGGCTCTTATTCTCGCCGCAGGGTGATACGAGACGGCCGGTGCTTTACGACATGTGGTGGAGAAGTGTTCAGATACTCAGAATGGAATGGCGACGGAGACGTCCGAGACACTCGATCGATACATCGCACAGTTTCATGACAAGCTCGATGACATGATATCCCGGCTATCGGCGAGCGGTCTCCCGGAGCATGGCCAGATCCCATCGCAGTTATTCGAAGCGAGCGCTCCAAATAATCCACGGCTGTACGGCGACTATCCTCGGCAGCAGACCGTCCTCATTTCGTTTGCACGCACTCTGCTCTCTATGATGAAATATCACATTTCGATTGTCTCGGGCCGCATGTTGGGGTCGCCCTGGAACAGGTAAGACATACCCAGATTCAACCCGGTGATTTTGATAGCATGCTAAAGCGGTGAATGCCTCCAGCTTAATACCGAACTGCATCCTCTTCCTGCATAATTATCTCCACGTTTCCCAGCTGCCTGCTTTCCACCCTTATCGCTGGCTCTTCCCGGGTAAGTTGCAGCCACTACACGAGTGCTTCGTCGTGCTCCAATACCTAAAACAACCCAACCAAGAGCACGACGTCCAGATTTTGCACAATCTCCTAAACGAGGTCTTCGACATATTCAAGCCTCGAGAGAGTGGTGATGAAAGTGGTGCCATCGAGCCTTGGCAGCGAGCTGCCTGTGAATTATACGCAGCACCATGGACCATACTGCGACAAATCCACGATGATATAGAGAGAAGAACATTCCGACAAGGCGACCCTTTGATTCATTCACCAAATGATGATGATGGTGATGGTGATGAAATGGGAAATATATGGAACGATTTCATATTCCTTGATCGAGGACAGCTATCGTCACCCACGGTGGTGTGAAGTCATTAAGATGTTTGCCATGAATGTGATATGATTTTATGGGGGTTCTAAAATCTGCTGTAGCCTGTATTATGTCTACGATTTGGAAACAACGGTGCCCCCGTTTTTTGTACAATCGTACAGCCTGATCTTCAGGTTCTTGGCTAAAGCTCACCTCTAAATCCTAAGCTCCAGGAGTTAAAATAGAGAATAGCAAACAAGTATCAATTAATGTGCCTCTAGAAACCTGGCAGCATTTCATCGCCTATCCAACTATGTGGTCTATCGTGTGATCTATTCATCTATAAGATGTCCGCCCGTGTTTGGTACGTAATTAAGCTGAGTGTAACCGCCTAAATTTGGGAAAATATAAATTAGATAGTGTTAAATAATTCTGTAATTATTGGATACCAGGAGGAAAGAAGAGAATAGGCACTAACCAGAAGACTGGGACTCTGAATATGTAAAGTGGTTTCTTTCATATACCAGTTAGTTACTGACAATATGCAACTATTAGTCTTAATAATGAAGAAGAGGTGGCTGTTTAAATCGATATTATCCCATTGATGAAAAACAGGAAGAAACAGGAAAGACTCCTTGTTTCCTAAAAGAAACGGAGGCTCTTTGATTGATAAGCAAACCAACCGTCACGTATGTACACACAGCAACAAGTGGATTCTCTCGGCCGAGAGCAGGCAGACACTAACATCATCGCTTCTGCTGTAGATACTACATATAAGAGACGGAATCGATCATGTAGTTTCGCTAGGGTTCCCCTAGCCTAATACATTACCTCTACTGACGCAAAATCACATACGGAATACCCCTCATTTCTCCATTGAACCGTTGACATGGGTGCACTACCAATCCCCCCGACTCCTCCTGGAACAGACCTCACGGGAAAGACGGCGATTGTGACTGGCGGCAATGCTGGATTGGGACTCGAAGCGGCTCGGCAATACCTGACTCTCAAAGCTGCCCGTGTCATTATCGCAGTGCGCTCTCCAGCTAAGGGGAAAGAAGCCATCGCCGAGCTGAAGGCGGATCCTACCGTGCAGAAATTAAACCCAAATGCGGCCATCGAGGCCTTTCCCCTAGACCTCGATGATTTCCAGTCTGGTGTCGACTTTGTGCGCAAGGTCAAGAGTGAGGTCCCGGAGCTGGATATACTGCTGAACAATGGCGGTACCAACATCCTCAAATACCACAAGAGCGCAAGCGGACACGAGCGCGTGATGCAAGGTCTCCCATTATCCGCTCGCATCCTGGTGACGCGCACATTGCTAATACGCGAAACGGCAGTCAACGTCTACACCCACTTCTTGATATCTCTAGGTCTCCTCCCGTTGCTTATATCCACTGCCGAGCGTCGTGGTGCTCCCACACATCTGAGCTTCGTCGGCTCTTCAATGCAGAGCAGCCACTCACTAACCAAGAAACCCCTGACCCCCAACGGGTCGTTTCTGGAGCACTTCGACGACCAGAAAACCTACGACGCAATGACCCGGTACCAAGACAGTAAGTTCATGGTCAACGTGCTCGTGCGAGGCCTGGCGAAGGTAGTGGGAGAGGAGAATCCGAAGGTCATTGTCAACCACATGTGTCCCGGCCTCGTGTACACAGGTTTTGACAAGAATCTTCCACTGTGGTTGAAACCACTCATGTACATTTATCGCAGAGTTTCGGCACGCCATGTCTCCGAAGGCGCTCGTACGCTGATTCACGCCACGGCGGCGGAGGGGTCCGAGTCGCATGGCAAGTTCTTGAGCAACAATATCATTCGTTCGTACGTCTTTTGCCCCTTTCCCCCTAATTTTGTGTCTTCTTCATAATTAGTTAACTAATGTTTCTTTCCTTCCAGTGGCGAGGTCCCTTTCCTGGATGAAGCAGCTGGTAAGGCTTTTACGGAAAAAGCATGGAAAGAACTCGTGGCCGAATGCAGCAAGTTTGAGCCGGGGCTTAGTCGATATGCTTAATCAACATCATAACATCGTGGACTTTGGAAGCCGCGCAAGCGGAATGAATATAGATTCTGGAAGTGTTGTATATAAGTTTAAGTTGTGTGTCTAAGCTGTTTTGATACAGATTTTTATGAATGGTGCAAATGCTAGTATAAGTCACCAACGCCTTTGATTCAAGGAACAGCAGCTATTGGTTCGATCACCAATTAAACCTGCTCCTTATACAGATTTAGTCTCGATGTTAAGCTCTAGATGACAATAAACAGTGAAATAACTGAAGGAGGAAAGCAAAAGGCTTGGGAAAATAAGGCAAGACAAGGAAGTGTACACGAAAGTTCAGAGAGGAAAACAGACAAGAAAATACACAGGAAAACCAAAGAGACAGAGAACTACAAGGAAGGAAAATATTATAAGCTGCTAATGGTTAGTCCCACCGTGAAATATCCAGATGCAATGACGTCCTCCGGGGCCTTGTATTGGAAATCCAGGCGGGACGAACGAATATCGCTCCCTCATTATACCCTTATATCGAGAGCCTACTGCTTGTGCTTTCTTTTAACTGAAATAGCATTGGGGAGCTTTTCCCTAAGTCTGGTGGCCAACGATGAGCCAGAAGGTTCCATGTCGGGGTAGTGCTTGAGGACTTCACTCCGCCCGTTCTCAAATGTTGCGAGCTTGACAAAGTCACGCTTGCCTTCATGCTCCTCATTCTCAAATATATCCTCGTCACTCTTGTTGTTCGCGGCATCGAAAACCTCCTTCGTGTCGTCGCTTATGAGCTGAGAAACGGCATGCCAAATATTACCGTAGCGCGAGTGACGAGTCTGGATAATGTATAAGACTGTTATTATGGCAACGTATAGCAAGTGAACGCCTAAGAGAATAGTGACTGTAACAAGCCCGTGGCATCCAGTCTTGTTACATCTCGACGGCGCTCTGACAGCAGTAGTTGAGACGATCTGGGCGTCCTGCAGCAAGCTGCGCGAGCTCAAATACTGGTCATGAATTATTATTGCGAGCGCGGTGTGATAGGCTAAAAGGGCATTTGCTGGCCGGCCAGTCAGCGCTATGGTATCGCTAAATAGGATCCCAGTTTCTGGGTGAATTTGGCTAATGGACGCATAACTACAGAAATAGCAGAGCCCAACTGTTTGGTTGGCGTCATATGTAGCGACCGCATAATGCACCCATTCCTGTAAGAGAGGAGTCAGCGTGGCTGCCGATGCGGTGATATCGTCGTCGTCAAACCGCCATTTAGTATTTGCTGGACTTGTAGGCGGTCCATCGTGAGGCTCGCCTAGGATATGCAGGTCTAAAACCCCTCGGTCGGCAGAGCTGCCGCGTGGCAAATTCGATCCAATCTGTCGTTCGACGTCAGATACATCATATGCAAACGATCCAAATGACCATTGCGTGATAGGTTCTTCGAGGTCCCACGAAGCTGCCATACTCACTAGCTTCCGGTCCGCGGTAAAGGCATGGAAGCATAGTGATATATTGACCCGTACTCCCGTCGCAATCTCGTAACTTCGCCACTCCCCATTGTCAACCCAAGGTGGATCCTCAACATGCCCTTGGAGCTGATGCACGTCCTCGACATTGGTCGACAAGATCAAGGAGATCGGTACGTTCCTCGACCACGGCTGTTGAGACGAGTTCCATCTGGGCGCATGCAACGACCAATCAATCTGGCCTCCTACAGCACCAAGGTAACAGGCCACAGACTGCCAAGAGGTTGTAGAATTGTCATGACCAACAAAGTCGATTGGACTGGAACAAAGAAAAGCAATCTCCTCACATTCTCCAAGGGAACAGGACGAATTCGCATCCACCTGTGCCCCACGAATGGTGAGTTCATACTGCAGTCGGCCTTCGATTTCAATCGCGTGATTACCTAAGTCGTCTGTGTAGTGGGTAAGAGAGATGCCATATATTCGAGGTCTCATGCAGGCTGTTTTCGAGCTCATCACTATCGCGTTACCCTTAAAATACCGAGTTGATATTCGATCATTTGGCCTATCCAGCGGTAAAAACGCTCGTTGAACTAATCCAGTTTGGCTTAACCCTCGCGCATCTGGGAGGACGTTATAATCCGTGTCCAGTTCCCCAAAAACGCCGTATACAGGTTTCGATGCCCCAAAAAGCCAGTTGATTACTGATAAGTCGGCGCCACTTGGATCAAATAGATCTGGCATTTGGGTTTGACGCATATTGCTGACTATGGCGGAGTCTACAATATCTGATAGCAAGATAGTTGATGCAAACTGTAAACCCAGAGTTGTAACAGCTAGCAAGGATAACAACCAAAATTCAATAGACCAGATGAGGAATTTCGAAGATAGCATCATTTGAACCATTTTCAATGGCCCGTCATTTGTGCTCCGAATGATCGAGAACCAAGCAACATCGGGTTTCGGTGTGAACTTCTTTTCTAGCACTAGCGCAGCCAGCATGGACGTACACACTGCAGCTTGCATAGAGATAATGAAGCGAAGCCCTAGAGACGTGAGAGTTATGGATTGTGTCATCCACCCTCCAAGTGCGATCTGTCTCCAGACCCAGGTAGCGTCTGCGGATTCGTGACCTCCGTGCCCAAGCCAAAGAAACATCAAGAAGCCCAGAAGAACGAGTGCCACAACCGAGCCGCCAATGATGGTAAGTGAGCCAGAACGGCCCAGAGATTCTTTGATAGGGAGTCGAGGTGCTGGTACCGGTTCGATACTGTGCACTGCCATGTTACTGGTATCTTGAAAGAAGTTGTCGTCTGGGATATCTAGTGTGGTGGCTCTAGACATAGGTCTAGATGAAGGAATATTTCCATCGGGAACTGAACTTATACCGACACGTTGTTCACGCTCCGTGAGCAGAAAAGCTGGCGTTCCTGGCCTTGCCATAATGGTGTCATTATATCCGCCGCTGGGGACTGGACTTAGCGAGCGACTGGCTTCAGGAACATCACCTAATACATCTAGGCCTCTGCTAGCCTGGGTGTCCTGATAGTATATCATTAGTCGTTGTCGCTACTAGACGGTGGCCAGTGATAGTACCTGTAGAAAATTTTACGTTTCTCGGTGTTATTTGATCGTTTCCTCGGGGTAATATTTGTTAGGTCTTCCATACTACGTGTAAACCAATTGGTGTGTTCACAGGAAGGTCGTAGACTTATTAAAAGGCCTCGAATCGAAGGCAAGATCGCACTTATTTAATGGTCCTCTATACTAAGATACCGATCTCATTGTATTGCCGTATATTACTCTAAATATAAATTCAAGCCCCAAAGAGCTAATTGTATTACAAGAGCCATCCGCAGACAACGATTCATCTACATATAAAAATAGCTTTGAAAGTCAACCAATTAATAAGAAAAGAAGGGTTGGTTTGTTTATTTGCCTTACTGGTTGTTGAAGGAATCGTAGCCAGGGCAAGAAAATTGCTGGCTTCATTGGAATATAAAGGAACTAGTAAGGTAATTGGTTAGCATTCGTCACCGTCGTATTTTAATGTCGTAGCCCCCTTTGCCTCTGAATACCATCAGGCTGAATAGCGAGGCATGATCTCGTGTGACTGTAGAAGCTTAAAGGGGGCGGTGCACTATTTAAAAAAAAAAAAATCAGCCGCAATTCCGTTGTTGGGGGCGCGTGTAGTTTTGCACCTAAAATCTGGAAGTCGGTACCCCCTTAGACTTGAGACAGTGCTTATGTTAATTAAAAACTTGGGGGTTTGGAGACAAGTGTTGCATGCGCGTAAGCCAAACATGCAGATACCCTACGGCTACGCGTGCAAAAGACCCTTCATGAAACTTCAATATTAAGACATGCAAGCCCGTATTGCTAATGTGAAGTTATACAGACTTCATTAGCAATGGCTTGGGAGATTAGCCGAGGCCGTAGCAAGGCAGAATTAGTTGTATATAATTAGTTCCCAACCCAGCCACCAAGGCCAGGAAGGGGCCAAAATGGGCCATACATCACTACACATATCCAAATAATCACCCTCGCCCTCGCACTCCATCCATCCTGGATAGTAGCAGCCCCTTTTTCATTCATCCCACTCTACCCCGTGTGTCTACCACATTGCTCATATCGCTCATATTGAGCGCTAGCACTAGCAGTACATTATCCCACTGCTCTCATTTCATCATCAAGTAGGGAGCAGAGGAGTTGGGGGTGTGTAAATCCGTGGCAGCAGGTAGCAAGACGCATCTACCCGACCGTAGCCCATCAAAAATGCTGATTCTATCACAGTACAGCCATCTTCGACACCTCAATTTCCGTCTTTGCCTCCGTATGCAGCCTCGTAGCGTTCCGGATGGTATCAGCTGCGTGGAAAGTCGTTCTCTCAAGTAACATGTTATAACAAAAACACTATATGATGGCCGTACAAAGTGTACTCTTCATTAACCCTCGGATCCAAATACCAAATTCCTCACCCACAGGAGCCGCTCCTCATAACAAGTTCCTAAAACACTACAAATCGTATGCAAGAACCTATGTCCCGCATCGCGGATCTGCCAAAGACTCCTAGAATGATGTAAAAGTGCCGCATAATGCGCGAGGATGACTAGTGCTTGCGGCAAGCGCTTCACGACAAGATCAATGAACTTGGCATCGACGCAGACGGACCAAATGAAGGCCATCTGGTGCACGCGCGTATGTGTCTTGGCGGCCGCTACCTCGTCCAGACCAACCTGTAATAGCTCTACCGCTCCAAGACATATCTTGAGGGTGTTCTCGTCTAACCCACGCGACTCTTCCTCAATCCAGCGACGGAGGTCACCTAGCTCGGTTCCGTACGCTTTCCTAGGCCGCTGGATACCGCTGAAGAGAAGGAGTGGCCATAATTCCGATTCAGGCAAGAGTTGCCATGCGTCGGATGCGATGGCACGCAGACCGCGGTGGACGTGCACGTAGCGACAGTAATCATCCAAGAGCACGGCGCCGTCCGACTCGATGCCTGATAATGTGTCTACTAACATGTGACGGCCGAGAATGGACGAGAAGAGTAGCGCGGCCGAACAGTTCCTCTCATTGATCACCAGTCGTTCCGAGTTGAAGAGATTGATTGCCTGCGTCTGAAGCTGGGAGGCTTCGGCGAGGTAGTGGCCGGCTTTGTCTGGCGTCACCACGGCCAGGTGTCGCGATGAGATGGCTAGTATCTCGTGAAGTAGCCAGGGAAACTCGAGAGCTAGCTTGTTCATTACTGTGGTTGCGATCGGGTCCATTTGCGTGTCTAATTCAGGGATTGCGATGGATGGTTTGTAGTGTAGGAGGAATTCCATGTGGTTCATGTTCACCACGTTACCCACCACTGCGCTCAACCCCGGACTGGAGAGAATACCCGCGCCATAGGGATTTCCATGTAGGCCCACGACGGTTCTGGTTTGTGTCCCGGGAGGAATGTGTGCTGTTGGCGTTGCGTTAGAATTCGGGCCGGGACTCGGGGCTTCATCTAGATGGCTTGTACTTTCCGGGCCGGTGGCGGTGGCGGCGGAAGCGGAGGCGGTGATTTCTATGGCCGCGGCGGGAGAAGCGACATATTTGCAGGTTCGATGAGTAATGGTACAGTGAGCGCAGGTTGGCCGCTTCTCATCACATTTGATGTGGCGACGCTTACACTCCTGGCAGCCAAGACGAGATTTCCTGTGACTTCGACGATTCATGTGCGCTTCACTGAAATGCAGGCAACGTATCTCACGGAACAAATGGTAGTTGTGACCATGAACGCGCGGCTCGTCGGGGAGGGACCTCGGTGGACGAATATTGGGCATGAGATGCGCTTGATGCTTATAGTAGTAGATATGGAGTAGGCGAGCACTCTGCGGAAAACCCCGTCCGAGCCCATAAAACTACTGCCTGTTTAAACAACTTAGCCTAGGATGTGCTGGGTGTCTCTTGGCATGAACAAGTGGACGTATATGATGAAGTCGAATTCTGCAAACAAACCGACCGACGCTGCGCTGCAAATTACATGTATGCTTTCCTAATACGCAGAATGCTATACTCCAAACAACACCAGTCGAAGTGACATGACATAAACCATTCCGCAAGTAATCGTGACACATTTGACTCATACGTGCGTCTCAGTCTTTTAATGGTGCTTGCTTGCTGCATATTTTCATCGCTATATGATCATCTCAATCCTTCCATCGTTAATATACCTAAATTAAACTTTCATACTTATCCAGACCGCTACTTTGCTGTTTCTGCTGCTGCTGCTGCTGTTGGGGTATCGGCGTCATTACATTCATCCCATTGCCCATCATGCTGTTCATGCTTCTGCTCCCGCCCATGCTATTCATGCTCCCAGTTGCCATGGGCGTAAGACTTGGTGACGATGTATGTCCCATTGACAGGGAGGAGGTCTGTCGTTGTACTCCCCCAGAGGGTGGTGGTGGTAGCCGAAAACCTGAAGACGCGTTGCTTCCACTCGACGGTGGCGGAGCTAGAGAGAAGGATGTGGCTTGATTTAGTGAGGGTCGCTGTCGGTTCGTGTTCATGTTGGACATGCTGGACATGCTGGATGGCATCATGCTAGTTGCAGCGCTCGAAGACGCCCAGGGGCTAGCTGTGGCGCCCGCAGACGATGACCAGTTGATGCTAGTCGAGACTGGCTGCATAGTAGAGTTGGCCTGCGCCGTAACTGGAGCAGGTTGTAGGGGCTTTGAGAATTGGGTAGTTTGAGGACTGAGCGGGCTGAAAGCTGCTAGATCCGGCGTCACGGTCCGGAACGATGGCGGCGCCTGTGCCTTGGGCGGATTGAACTGACTGTTGCTGGTTGGCGTAGGCGTAGACCACGAGAATTGAGCCGTGGGTGATTTGACAGCAACTGGAGAGCTGGCAGCCGGGGCTGGAGTCGAATCCCACCCGCCGCCATTCATCGGGTTGCTTGACGCTGGGGATGCCCTACCCTTGACGAGACGCTCAAAGTCGTCGTGTGTCGCCCCGTTCGTCGAATCGAACGTAGTTCCCGTGACACCTCCGAAACCTAAGAAATCATCATTCACGGCCGGAGCAGGCGCGGCTCCCCCGTTAGTAACAGCTAGCTCTTGCAATTTCTTTACTTGCTCGCCTTCAACTCTACGCGATAGTGATTTAATCAGCTGCATGAAGCTTTGGAATTGCTTGAGGTCTAGTAGCGGGCCGAGACTCATATTCCAAAGGATGGGTAAGATCTCCATCGCCACGAATTCTGCATCGGCAACGTCTCCAACAACTCGCAGAACATCTAGGGCAGCCATCATAACAGCCGGTTCTTTCGTCTTTATGACTTTAATTAGAGGGACGATTTTCTCCTGCATCGTGTATTTGTCGAGAGCACTGGAGGATGTCTTCTTCTTCTTCTCCGGACCTAGCCCATCGAGACCATCATCGCCAGAGCTTGATTCATTGGAGCCACCACAGAGGATGACGAAAGCACGACAACCGCGTACTTTGATTGCCAGGCTATTCGTCTTGCTGAAGACCGTAGCAACAACTGGGAAAAGCTCATTCTTGATTGTACTGAAATCGAGGATAGGCAGTACCTCTGGCAGCCCCCTCAGAGCCACATCGACCAGTGATGGTGTGGGAGATTCAATTGTAGCGAGAATTATCGGGAGAATATCTGGCCATAGTTAGTAACAACGCTGGATACATGTCTTGAGATCGCCATATGTCACAAGGCGACGCTTGATGGCGAAGTAGCATCTATAATATCAATGCTAACAACTTCCAAATTGAAGGCTTAATGGGACAGGCAGCAATAAGGGGGTCGAGCAAGTTCTTCGTTGGAGGAGTATAACACATACCATCTTTGAATTCCTTCCCCGAACAATTCTCGGCAATCAAATTGGTATTTTCTAGGACAACCATTAAGCCCGCATCCCGAGCTGAATCCTTCTCTTGGTTCTGTTTCACATTCTCGACGAATATCTCTTTAAGCTTGGGGCGAACCCTCTCACCAAAGGCACGCTGTGACGACGGCAAGAGACTCAAAATTTTGAAGACATTCTGAAGAATGAGTGAGAGTAGCTCTTTGTCCTTCATCTCCTCCAGCAAAGCTGGAAGCACCTTTTTCTCCATGACTGATTTCGGGAACGACGGGAGAACCTTGTTCAAACCTCTCATGAATGAGGATTTCTCACTGGGAGTCTTGGCAGGAAATGCATCAAGAAACCGGATTGTCGAGACAAGGATGTTATCAAAGTATTGACTTTCCTGGAACTCACGGGCCGTCATGCGCTGTGCTGGCCGCCTCGTGATTAGGCGTGGGAGAACATGGCTCACGAGATCCCTTGGCAAGGGACGTTTTGACAAAAAGTCATTACCGGAGGATGGCACGGTGGAAGATGAGGTAAAGATACGTCGGTAGGCGGATAAGCTCCCGCTCGTATCTATAGGGGAACGGTGAGGGGAATTATATAAGGAAATACATAGTAGGCCAAGCGAGAACATATCGGCGGATGAGGTAAGGTTGTTATCCAGGACAAAGTCCGGGGAGGTATAGTCTAAGTTGATTTGTACATAACGCGGCAAACGGGTGTCCAGATTCAGAACCTCGGAGAGATTGATGGGTTGGACGGATGTAGGTTTCGATGAATTTTCAGGGGGACTACAGAATGCGAGGCCACTAACTTTCCAGTCCGACTAGAGGCAATGTCAGTTCCGTATCGTTCAAGGATCTAGGTTGTGCTGGAGAAGAACGAGAACCAGTATCGTCTCGGAGAGAGGTAACATAATGTAGGAAACGTTCTGGAACAGGTGACGGAAGACGATCCAACGGACCTTTGCATTGATAAGAATGGCGTCGGGGGTAAGATTGCCGTGAACCAGCCCGGCATTCTCATGGAGAAACTCCAAGGCCTTGCTGACCTGAAGCAAGCCTTTCTGAATCTCGAGCTCGTCAATCTCTAGCTCACGCCTCCGCCTCACGCCGTCGGAATCCTCGGTGACATAGCGACTGGACCGACCCCCAATGCCGCCGGCCCTCTCTTGGTCGTCCTTCTCCTGCAGCAGGCTGGCAAGGGATGTAGTGACAGGCTCGGTGACAAACTGAAGTCCGCCGCCTCTCGTCTCTTCGACGGGTTCGACGAGTTCTAGGACGTTCGGGTGACGTAGCCGGGCCAGCGAGGATGCCTCTTTCTTTAAGCGCTCGATGATCTATTTGGCAGGTTAGCCATCTTGTTCATCATGACGCCCCGTTCCCGTCTTGTTTCTGGCCATGGTGGCATCTGTGTACAGTAGGTGGTAGCGAATAAGGTGAAGGGCCTGACCTCTTCCGTAGCGCGCTTGAAGGACGATGCGCTCGATCTGTTCAGTGTGCTCCCTATTCGCAGATAAACGGCATCAGCGGCGATGGCTCGGCGCGGTCGGGGCGCAATCGCGATCGCAAGCGGTCCTTACCATGGGAGTCCAGCGACTTCTTATCGAAGACGAAGACGGAATAGGGCTTCTGGGTGGATTTCTTCTTGGCATCGTAGATCTTCCAGGCGCCGGCGGTGGACGAGACGGTCTGGGAGACGGAGTAGTTGGAGTTGATGTTGGAGGAGAAGCTCTTTAGCGAGGAGAACATGTTGGGCGACGGGGCTGGGATCTAGGTTCGTGGGCGTTGACCTCGACCCTCATATCGCTGCCTTGGAATCGCTGCAATTCTTCCTGCAATGCCCCCTGCAATTCCGTGGCCGCCGTGTGCCGTCGGGTACCAAGTCGTCGTGTCGTCGTCGCCGCCCTTGCCGTCGATGTAGTGGGCTCTGTGTTCACTCGGTAATAGCGGAAGACGAATGAATTAATGGCTGATGAGCACGGTGTTGAATCGACAGGGCCGGTGATCTGTATTTGCCTACCTACTGCAGTCGAGATGAGGCCTACAGTTGCATACGTACCTAGGAGAAGACGGGAAAGTAGGTAGGGTAGAGTATGTAGATACAGAGAGAGAGAGATGGAGTGCTGTCGCGCGACGCAGGAAATTATTATTTCTTGTCACCCGCTTTGAAGTACTAGCGACCCGATCTGTACATGTAATGGAAGAGTGATCCAAAGTACTGAGTACATGCATGCTTTGATGTTTGTAACCTCCAGGGCTGTATCTCGATACCGGTATTTTGTATATTCGTACAAGCATGATCCACCCCTGCTGTACCATTACATAGTACCATTACCATCACTTATTCTCGTTGCTCCATTGCTCCATTTCTCCATGTAGCCATGATCTGGTCTGATCTGGGTTACCATTGATCCTACCTACTCAAAGTAGGCAATCATGCCCAGATGTCTGTGTGCTTCTTCATCAAGATATTCCAAGTTTGTAGACCTAACGAGGATCATCAGGATGTCCATGTCATCCATCCAACAAAGTCCTCCAACGAAATCCTTCCAATAGAGAGGCACCTTTATCGAAGTATCTTTACTCCGTAAGTAAGTCGGTCTTTAGCGCATTGACCCTAGCTATTTTAGATTCCTAAGCAGGCTCCGTCTTCCGTCTGCTTGTTCCGCTGTCCGCCCTTAGCCGCCTCGATGCGTCCCGTCTGTCTGGTCGTTGCTCCGAGATCGCAACCGGGACCCTTGATCCTGCGCTATCGTGGTCGTCACACCGGTCCAGTCGAAAACAAGCTTCATCCAGGTTTATTCCCGTCCGTGTCCTGTCATTCTACATTCTGCATTCTGCATTTTGCTTGTAGTGCTCGCCGAGCAGTTAATTGACTAGGTAACCGGCTCATTGGAGGGCACGCATTCGTTCTTGACGTGATCATATACATATTGCAACATCTTCAATATTTCCAATTTTCCCATTTTTCCCCCTTCCGCTTTCCTCTTTGCCCTACCCGCCAGCCATACTCTCAGATTCCAAAACATGTTGCGACCACTTCTCCCGCGATGCGCGAGGGCCCTGAGGGCGTCTACCGCTGCTGCGACTCCTTTTACACGCTCACCCTATGCTCTGTCCACATCGTCCTCCGTCTCGCGATGGTATAGCATACAGCCCGCCGCCGCTTCGACAGCCAAGCAACTCGACGTCGACCCTTCCAAGCTCACTATTCAGAAGACGACGGATCCTAAAACTTTGGTAGACCCGAGCACGCTGGTCTTTGGCCGACACTTCACAGGTAATCCTTTCCTCCTCCCTCCTATCAGCGTATGAACTGACCGGCTAAAAATTCCCCTCCAGATCACATGTTGACAATAGAATGGACGCAAACCGAAGGCTGGCGCGCGCCCGCCATTCAGCCTTACCAGAACCTCGCTCTTGACCCGGCCTCGTGTGTCTTCCACTATGGCTTCGAGTGCTTCGAGGGCATGAAGGCCTACAAGGACAAGGCTGGAAAGGTGCGGCTCTTTAGGCCCGACAAGAACATGGAGCGTTTCAACAAGTCGGCCGCGCGCATCGCCCTCCCCACCTTCTCGTCACCAGCCCTCATTGACCTCCTCTCCCGCTTTGTGAACCTTGAGGAGCGCTTCATTCCCGACAAGCGCGGGTACTCGCTCTACCTGCGTCCCACCATGATCGGCACCCAGAAGACCCTCGGCGTGAGCCCGCCCGGATCGGCCCTGCTCTTCGTTATCGCGTCCCCTGTGGGCCCCTACTTCCCTCTCGGCTTCAAGGCCGTATCCCTCGAGGCCACAGACTACGCCGTGCGCGCCTGGCCAGGTGGTGTAGGCGACAAGAAGCTCGGCGCCAACTACGCGCCATGCGTCGTGCCACAGCTCGAGGCCGCGAGTCGCGGCTTCCAGCAGAACCTCTGGCTGTTCGGACCCGAGCAGTACATCACCGAGGTTGGCACGATGAACCTGTTCGTCGCCATCCGCAACAAGGAGACGGGGCAGAAGGAGCTCATCACGGCGCCTCTCGACGGTACCATCCTCGAGGGAGTCACGCGTGATTCGATCCTCTCGCTCGCCCGCGAGAAGCTCGCGCCCGAGGGCTGGCTCATATCAGAGCGCAAACTCACCATGGCGCAGCTCGCCGAAGCCTCCGAGGAAGGCCGTCTGATGGAGGTCTTTGGCGCCGGCACCGCTGCTATCGTCAGCCCCGTGCGCACCATCAGCTGGAGGGGCAAGCCTGTCGACTGCGGCCTCCACGAGCACGAGGAGTCGGGCGAGATTGCGCTGCGCATGAAGGGATGGATTGAGGGGAGACAGTACGGTGACGAGGAGCACGAGTGGAGCTACATCTGCTGATAGAGATGCTGATGATAACGAGAACCATGCTTGCTGAGTTATACCCAGGTAATGCTGTACGGTAGAAGGAATAAAAAAAAACAAAAATGAAGAAGAGAAGGCATTAATTCTGCATCCATAGCGTCCAGCCACTTTAGCACTTTGTTTCCTCGGCTCGAAACACTGAGAGAATTATGAGGAAGGTCAAACAGGGGGAAACAGGGGGACATAGGCGACGCTCGATCAGTAGACGAGCAATCAGATAGACAGCAAGGGATTTGATAAAGAGTGAGCGAGCAAGGATAGAGATCATGGCACACTACACTGCATGGCGAGCTAGATGTACAGTATGAACAGTCAGCTTGCCTACCTGTCTGCATGCTTGACTATTTATCAACTGATCTACATCGTTAATGCCAAACCAGATTAGATTGCATAGACAGTAGTAAAACGAAGGTGATATCTGAGTACGTGGTAGAAGATCATTAGATTAGATCCAAGGCATCAGATTTGATCAACACTGTTTTTGAAACTATGAAACTATCTCCACTGTGCTCGCTCGCCTGTCTCTCCTCGTTGTTTTCTGCTATTATTTAGTCAATCTTGAATATACTAATGCGTGTGTATATATATTTATGTTTCTCTGTGTGTCTGAGTAGGTATGCTTTAGTGGCATTTAGATCGAGAATTTTAGTACACATTATGAAGCGCACGTACCTCACCTCCCACAATATTAGATCATAAGAACATGGAAACAGTGCACTCGTAGTAAGAGGTGTAGCATCGATCTCTTGTTACCAATCCTCTCAATTCTATTATCTTACGATTTCATCTGATCTGTTTTGATATCAATGATTTTGCAGGTCCATGTATAGGTACCTCTTCACCTACGTATGTCAGGCACGAGGGACCTACCACTTGAAATCCCTCATCATGAAGCGTAATGCAATGTGAGTTTATTTTATCCGACCTGCCATATATATAGGCAATCTCACATCCCTACTTATATTGAGATAAAATAGACAGATGGACACAATATATGCATCTATACACATACGTATATATATGCACATATACCGTCTATATACGGTTATCATCTACACAATAAATATATGTTCATCTGTCTACCTGAGTAGTCATCCCATTGAGATATGAGGATGAGTAGATGCAACCTTAAAATCAGTAACAGTATCTTTACCGAGGGAGACCAAGCCGACTAGGACGTAGCATTTCAACTCATCCATTCATCCTTGTCCATCTTATCCTAAGCCCGCAACGAAAATGAGAAACCAAAATATGAGGCGTGAATATATTATCACAGGAAAAAGAAAAGAAAAGGAAAAGGAAAAGAAAAAAGAAGGAAAAGGAACAGCCACTAGATACCCCATGCGTGGGCAGACAGACAGACAGACAGACAAACAGGCAGTATCCGTTCTATGTATGTATTGTATGCATATGATGTAAACTTGCGTTCTCTAAATTGATAAAAAACAAGAAACCCCTATTTATCCATTCACTTTCATCCACTGATACGACATTGTCTATCTGTGCATTCCCTGACACCCAGCTCATCCAGCTAGATGAGACACAGCAGCAGCCCGAGTAAAACAAGGCAACGGGAGTAACGGGGTGAATTTAGAGACAGAAAATAGGCCAGTATTTGATACCAGCAGAGTATATTGATTCATATATTTCTCTTCCCCAGCCAACATAACGTTGGGTGTTCGTCTAAGTACGTAAACCGAAAGAAAGTAATACACGTATCCCATATCCGGCAAGATGACATTTAGTAGTAGTAGTAGTAGTAGTAGTAGTAGTAGTAGTGATTCCGACGGTTCTTCCTTGACCTACTTCTTTGAAGGATCCTCTAGAATGCCCTCGGCTTCTAACCTCCGACGGGCCTCCTCGAGAGCCCAGGTTTGTATCCTGCACAACTGTCAATCAGCAGGAAGTTCATTACGCTAGGTTCATTACAAGATAGAAGACGAGGGAGAATGGGGAAGTCAAGGGAAGCGAAAGTAGGAACGAGGGGCAGAAACGCACGAAGTATCAGGCTTGAACCCATATGCCACACCAGCCAAGAGGACCGAACCGCAGAAGCCGTAGAAGAAGGGCGTCTCCCAGCCTTCCTTCTGGTATTTCTCGCCGGGCTTGACGCCGAACAGCCAACCCGTGGGAGGATCGTACTGCGGACCGTGAGACGCCGATGTGCGGGCGCTCGCGGTGAACTGCTGTCGGGTGGATGGGGTGGATTGCTGGAGGGCCAGGGCGCGCGTGGCTCGGGCGGCGGTGGTTGTGCGGATGGCGGACATGGTGGTCAGTTGTATGTGCCCTTTCCTTCCTTCTTTCTATCCTACTTGTTCTTTCTTTCCTGATATTCCTTGCGTCGATGTTGATGACCAGGCGATGAGATAAGATGGAATTGATGGGCGCTATTTATGGATGTGATGGATGCTTGTTTGTTCGATCCACGATACGGAAGACGTGGAGTGACTTCCCAACTGGTGGCAATGACGGAAGGGTGTTGCGGTCTTGTTGGTCAATGATCCGGCGGAAAGGAACAAACAAGAGATGGTTTGCTTGACTTGGCTAGGTAGCTAGCTGTCGGTCGAAATGGCGTGGCGGCGTGGCGGCGTGTGGAGGGCAGATTCGACACAACCAACGGAAGAGTGGAGATGGGGTCGAGGGGGTGAGAGGATGAGAGGTGCTTCTCTTCCTAGCCTTTCTCGCCTTTCTCTTTAATTCCCCAATTGACGACACTTCGGCGTAGTGGTGGGTTGGTGTTGGCGTGGGTGGCTGAATGAGGAGAGGAGAAGGATTCAATTAATTAGTTAGGTTAGTTAGTCAGTCAGTCAAGCCAGGTCCGAGTCAAGACAGGATACCAAGACATGTCAAGCTTGTCAGGTTGAGCCAGGTTAGAGTCAGAGGTCCGTCACCTGTAGCCGGCCGCTTCGGTCTGCCCACCTGCCCGGTGGAGACATCTGAGCGACTTTAGGTACTTGACCCTTCGTATTATGCATAGATGTATAGATGCATAGATGCATAAATATTCATCAACTTCAACAAAAATACCCAGGTCGACAGACAGTTACCACGTGACTCGTTCCTCATCCATATTTATTTGGATTCCTTTTTTTTCTGGTTTCCTTCTCGACAATCCCACTTGCATACTACACTTACATATTGCTATTTGCTCGACCACCGTAGATGTTTGACTTTCTTCTCAGCAGGTCGCCTCAATTGATCCAAACAAGCGTGAGTTCAATTCCTCTTTCTTCTATTCCAGCAATACGCGACGTTACGCACTTCCATCACCACCGTGGTAACCCGGAAAAATTATGATGATCAATCACTTCTAAGAACAGCCAACTGAATTCCTTCATGTTGATACTCTTAATATATCAAGCTCAACAGTCTGATGTTTTCCCTCCTTGAACTTCTACTCGTTTTCGCCTATGACTACACCCTGCCTGGCGGTGCTAATGCTCTAATCCAGGTTTCATGATGAATGTGTAATGCATGGTAGATGCTGCCTCCAATATATTGAAGAGGGATGACTGCATCTTTCCGTGAGGTGGATAAGACAGGACAACAGGTAAACAAGATGGGATAGTCGGGCACGTAATTTATATGGGCGGGTAGATCCGGCATTTAAGAAACGAGTCGTGGCCGACTGCCAAGAGTAGAATTGCAATCTCATAACACATATCAATAAATAATCATGCATGCACACACATGGAAAATTAGAATTTCGCACCCGCATTGTGATTGATACGTAGTAGTAGTAGTAGTAGTAGTATAAATCTCTCATCTTCCGTCCCCCCCCCCCCTCCATATCAACGCAAAGCTAACCCCCCCTGCCTTTCTTGATTTTAATTTTAGGTCATTTGTACGCTACCTAGGTACACATGAATGATCAATCGAACCACTCATCGAAGAGGACCGTTTGGTTTGTAACAAGAGGTCGCGAGACGAACTTCTTCAATTGGCTGCCATTCGACGCCTTCGTTGCTCGCTATATTCACGCCCTGTATTTATTTCACAACGAACCTCCCTTGCCTTCCACCGTACAGGAATAAAACAAGACGAAAAGCACAACAATAAAGATAAGGGAAGAGGAAGCAAGACTCGATCACTTGAATACACCCATGCTATTCCTTGGCATATGTCCAACCTTGCACCCAAGTTCCGTGTCTAGGTTCCGGCTCTACCATGGCCCGCCCGCCCACTAACAAGATAGCCATAGTTGAAGAGCTGGATTCGACCGCGGCCACACGCCCTCTCGCTCCCCCTCCCAGACCAAGCCCTTGGGTATGTCGGGTTGATGGCGAAAGGCAAGGGGAACCACCCCCTCGAGGATGCTCTTATGTAATCAAAACTCTATGTGTAGTAGCGGGGCACGAATCTCCTATAGCTTGAGTGTTCTCGTATCTCATGGACATTGGATTGGCGTCGGTTGCATGCGCGTACCGCTAGTCCCCGATACACTCGTGATAGAACGGATGCGCTAGTCATAGTCATCTCGTAAACTGCGCTCTCAAATCGATGATAACGGTCAATATTGTTGGCGCGAACACGATCGGTTGAACAACCAGCTCCACTAACCCCCTTTCCTCCCGTCAATACACCTACAACTCCTCGTCCTCAGTGATTTGCACTGCTGGCACCGACTTCTTCATCTGTTGATCTGCATTAGCTCTACCTAGCACATCCCCAAGAGCCGAGGGGAAATTCGCTGATCGATCCTCTGCCGTGCCGTCTGCACTGGCTCTGTGCTTCTTCATCGGACTGCCGATAGTAGACTCGGCTGTGAAAGCTTGAGACAACAAACTGGGCGCAGTGTCAGGAGCAGGTTGATTAGGCTGTGCTGTCTCTGGGGGTGTTGAATCTCCACCTTGAGGTCCAGCACTGGGTGATTTGCGATTGATAGAGTCAGGCTCCGCCGAGTGCTGACGCTTGAGCTGCAGATCAATCAAGTTAGGATAGACGAACAAGACAATAGTTATACAGCATTTTTCCAAAGAAGAAAGGGGGCTCACTCGAATCCTGTCAATGCCTGCCTGTAACTCTCCCGTCACCTTGGCATCCTCGGGCTCAAGATGCGTCTTGATGACCTTATCATCGACGTCTTCCATCTTGGCCAGCGGATTCTCCTCGTCGGCGTCATCTTCGTCACTATCATCATCCATCCCACCACCGGCGTAACCGTTACTCTTCCTCCGCGCCTTGCGACGATTCGCGGCTTCCGTTTCTTGATCTCTGAACGCCGAGAACCCCACGGTGCCTGTTGTTTTCAACGGGCCAAGCCCCGAAAAGTCCAACGTCGACCGTCGCTTACTGCCAGGTGTCTTCTGAGACTCTTTTGGTCCCGGAACTATCCCCATTTTCTGAAGTTGTCCTAAACATCTCTATGTAAGTAACTACGATCTAGCAACACGGGGTAGAAGGTTACCTACGCTGGCCGCGGTAGAAAAATGTAAAGACTGCATAAGGCTTTTCGGGGCCGTCGATACCTGTGACTGTCTGTGTGCTAATCGTTTTGGGGTCGAGCGTCTTTGGCTTCGCGAAGCTAGTAGTGTGCTCAACATCGGCGTCGATAGCGCCGTTACTTCCCTCCTTATTGCCACTATCGCTGTCATCATCGTCATCATGGGCATCAAACTGTGGTGAGTATTCACCCTTTTTTATCTCACCCGACGCAATCACTCTGAACATGGCGACCTTGATCTGGCCGGTAGCCTCGGGTGGCTCGTCGTCATCTGAGAGGGAGTCATCATCGTCGTCAGTGGTTCCCAGCGGGGCCTGGTCGTCCGAGCGGTAAGTGAGGGTGTCTCGCGTTCGGCGGGTCTTCTCAAGATCCAGGTCGTCGCCAGCCTGAGCGCTCGACTTTTGACGGCGGTGTCGCCGTTCGAACTTTTGCCTTCTCTTTTCTACCTTTTCAGCGGCATCATGGCCTTTTAGATCAAGACCATTGAGCCACCTTTCCAAGCCGACCTCGCGAAATAAGAATTCTCTCTCGGCAAGACCGCCGCCTTCGCTTTCAGGTACTTGAACCCAGCGAGAGTTAACCCAGGTCTCCTCACCAGGGCGCAGAAGTGTAGCAACTTCTTCTTTCGCTCGCCCGTCGAAGTAGATGTAGGCGGCAATGGTCTCATTCTCTGAGTGGGTCATGGGGATATAGGGCGTGACCGTGTTGGCATGTTTCGAAGGGTCTGTGCTCGAAGAAGGTAGAGGACCGGCGTAGAGGGGCTTGGGATTCGGGCAGTCAGGCGTCGTCTTCGGAGTGGTATAGGGAATAGGGTGACCGGGAGTGAGCAGCGTGATGGATATGGCGAATTTGGCAGGCTCATGCTTCGAAGTGTCAGGGTTTAGCTGGGGCTGAGGAACAGGTATATAGGTGCTAATGCGCGAGAGACGAGACTGCTTTTGCATGCCATACTCAGCAATAGGAGCCGAGTTGGCATGGATGCTGACGGCGATGCCCTTGAAGCAGGGCATCGTGGGTAGGGATAGCAGGGACGACGGCTACTACGACAAGGACGGCAGCGACTTATAGCAAACAGGAACAGCGCTGATGGCGATATGAACAACACAGTAGCAGCAGCAGAGGAGCCCAGTTGTGGTTGGTGGCCTTGCAAAGTCGGAAAACAGAAGCGGCACCGAAATCGCAGGGTGGGCCTTTGATCGAGTTGGCGGTGACGAGAAAGTGGGAGGGAGCTACGACGATAGCGGCAACGGGCACAACATGGATTGGCGAGCAGGCGCTGGTATAGTATCCATTCAATCGCCCCGGCGCTTGTTCCTGCAATCGAGTACGTGTGTGTATAGCTGGCGGCTGGCAAGTCGGGGGCAAGCCGTGAGGGTGCTATGTAATACTTGGTAGGCGGGGGAGCGTTTCTGCAAGGAGGGTCGAAGGTTGCTTGTTTGTGTAGCTTGCTAGCTCGGCTGAGGAGGGCAAAGGGGGGAGAAACGCGGCGGTTTCTCTTGGCCGTCGGGATGTTTCCCAGCTTCCAAAGTGACTATGGTGAGGTCTGTAGAGCGGTGTTGTATGAGCAAGCGAGGACAGAGTGTCGAGTCGGCAATGCAAGGCCCATGAATGGCTGTCGAGGCGAGGACTTGGACGTGGACTTGGGCTTTCACACACTCGCGGACTGGGGAGAGAGACTTGATGGATTGGACGGTCGGTTCACGAGCGTGACAAGTGCGAGGCCAGGGACAGGGGGGCCAGGACTGGGACCAGGATGACGATAAGAGATAAGAGAGAATAAAGAGAGAGAGAGAGGACGGCTCAAGACGAAACTGGACTGGACTTGGGGTTACCACATCCAGCCATCCATCCACATCGGACTCTGGTGCTGTGCAGTGCAGTGCTTCGCGTGTTTCCAAAGCTGGTAAGCAATGAATCTTTGTTGTGAGTGTTCTTGGCCGTGGTGATTTGTTTTGGGGGTGTTTGTGTTTCTCTCCAGAGGCGGTGGGGTAAGCTGGAGGAGTACATGCAGGTGCGCTGTACATGCGCTGTACTTGCGCTGTACATTGTCTCCTGTAGGTACTGCTACTAGTGCTGTCTAGTGCTGTCTAGTGCTAGGTACTGTACAAATACAGGTGCCTTCAAGCACTTGATATTCTGCTTCATTTCCCGAGACAACCTACTTAGTATGCATATATATATCTATTCCCTCGGCCAATCTCGCATAACGCAGAAGACTTTTAGATATCTGAGCTTTTTCTCACTAAGTACTTACCTAGAGGTAGGTATCTACATATATCGTCTTAGATGCCTGTATACCTATGGGACCTACCTGCTCTGGTAGTGTGAGCATTCCCTTATATACCTACCTAGGTAGTACATAGCTTGCTGAACTTCACCTATCATTTCCCCCACCGCTTGAGACAGAATTTTCGAGTCCAAAAGTGTTTCACCGCCATGTACAAATTTTCAAGGGACTGCAGTGCACTGGTAGGTACCTAGATACGTAATAATTATGTGTGCCCCTCAACCTAACAAAGGATGCATGATGAAAAAGAAACTCCTCCTCAAACAACTCAGATAATCCTCATCTGTATGCCCAGGCTTGCTGGTGCGTGACCAAGATGCCGAGACTTGTTCGATGTCGAGTATGTGTATATGTTATTAGATGGGTTGAGTTATATGAGATACTTGCAGTGTCTGGTATGTACCAACCAAGAATATATAAACAAGACATCGAACACACACACACACACACACACAGAGAGAGAGAGAGAGAGATAGATATATATATATATATAAAAAGATGTGAGGTGGAAAAAGAAGCATAACAAACCATGTTGACCATTAGGTACAAGCTAAACGTACACATACTGCCTTCCACAGTACTATGCCGGAGACCACCCTCAGATCCATGTGCCTGCTTTCCCCATCATGTCTTGCAAAAGGGTATCATTCCATATTATAACCATATTACTGTTCTCAAACACCATCGCCGCTGAATCGTAGGATAACAACATACTTCCTCCGTGAAACGATTGTCGCTTCCCCTCGGGTCTATTACTGCATGCGAGCTCATAGCATGACCCCCTAATACCATCGCTCATGAACTCCTACTCCCACTCCTCGACACTCTCCTCCGTAACTGACCTCCTCCTCCTCCACCATCCCGGAACCCCGAGCCCGTCCTAGACACCGTCCACCCTTCGTCGGAATCGCCCTCATCATCGGCGTCGCCCGCGTGTTGTCGGGGCGGCTGGTCGAGAGGCAGATGCCGCGACTCAGGCTCGGGAGTCTCTTCCTTGACATCAACGTCGTCGTCATCCTCTTCCGTCTTCGGGTCGTCTTCCACGTATCCCCCCCTTCGCACGTCCTCATATTTAATAGACAGAACCTGTCCGGGACCCTTAACCCCAAACGCGGCCCAAATGAATCCCATAGATACCATCTCAGCGATCCAGAACACCGCCGTGCACACCACGAACGACAAGATCCGGTGATTATACATAAACCATCTAACCCCTGTAAGCTGTGCCACAAGCGTCATCTGGCTCGAATAGACTTGTAGAGTCTGCCCGGCCTGGACATCGATTAGCACGGAAAGGGGTAGTGCCTTCTTGAATTGCACGAGCTCGCCCATGGGGATCTCCAGCGTGATTGTCTCGGCAGCCCGGTTGAAGAAGATATGGTAGAAGAGGAATAACATGCGCGAGGCTAGCGATACCAGCGGGTCTTCGTAGGGAATCAGCACGGGCCGCCGTGAGAAGAAGACGACGTTCTCGGGCGTTACGTGCGCGTATGGATCATGCGCGGGCGTCGCCGCGAACGCATATGGTAGAGCAGGATCAGCTAACGCCGAGCTCGTCGCGTAGAGCGCCACCATGAAATTCCCGCGCTCGAGATTCGCGGGGGAACGCGGTAAAGTGAGCGAGACGGATATGTCGTAGGCGGTCTCTAGCATAAGGTCCGGAGATAGGGATACGATCCCGTAGGGATTGAGGCCGGCTCTGTTGAGAGGTCAGGCCTGATTCTTTCTTCATGAATATTTTAGAAGATAGAGAAAGAGAGAAATAAAAGAAAAGAAAAGAAAAATGAAAAGAAATGTAAATGGGGAGGATGGAAGGACAGAATAGAAAAATGAACGCACTCATATTGTAAATGTACAGGCACGCTGACGAGTTTCTTAGGCACATAATTGAAATAAAACACGCCATATGCGAAAGCCGCGATGCCTAGCAGTAGTACTGACGCTGAGGCGAACAGGACAATGCCTAGATATACCCTCTTCGCTGTCGGCGAGGTCGCGACGCGGTAGGGCTCTTGTACGTATTGCTGATGGTGGAATTTGTTAGCGATGAGATAGATGCGTTGGTACTTGAACTGAATTGATTTGAAGTGAATGATGGATTGCTCACCATTGGCTCCTGGGCAGGTAGCAAGGTAGTGTAGGTCGATGCGCCCGGTCGGCGCGGCAGTGAGAGATGGAACCTCTACTCACTTCACGGGTAATAGTATCTTCGCACTTTTCAGTTCCTGTAAGTATCAAGAGTTCATCAACGACATTGCCGCCGTCGATGTAGTTGTTGTAGTTGAGATAGCAACTGTTCTTGATCGTGATGAGGTTTGGCTGGCCGTGTTGTTGACATGGGTTTGGCATGTGGTTGGCGGGGTGGGAGGGTGGCTTGGCAGCTGCCATGGAACATAACATCACGTCACTGGTTTCAGGGGGAGACAGGTTCAAGCCTGACTTTCGAGGCGACGAACTTGCCTACCGGTACCTAGTTAACACAATACCTATATTCAGGTCTTCTATCGATGGGAGCATCATATGGTTATACAGTCTCAATTCCGCTACACATAATGCAGTGTTTCAAAAACACTGAAAATTCATTTGCGCCATGAACTCCCTGTCATCATCATGTAATATGGTATATGCAGTGAACAAAAGCTATGCACTCTTCTTCGAGCCCACAATTCGCTATACATCGAGGCTTTCAATAACTCTGTTTCAATAACCTCACTATCGTATCAGCAAGGCTGCAGGTAATTGCTAGGAACAAGTCCACCCTGCCCAACACCATTGCCGGAATGGATCTCCGCCTCCCACCAGCCGTCGTCCTGGTGCCGAAGAACAGCCAAGATATCGCCCTTTGCGAACCCGAGCTCCTCCGGGATGGCCGCCTGGTACATGTACAATGCGCGTGCTACAGAAAAATCATGTTAGTTAGTCCGTAACAACTCACTTGACTATGGGAACAGCTTACCGTAGTGTAGAATAGCTCGTCCTTCGGGTGTATACTGCCGAGACGGGTCCGCCACGCTCCCGCTTCGCCATCGGTTGTCGCCACCGTCGTAAACGCTCGGGGCCCGGTAGCTGTGGCTCGTGCCTGGCCGCCCCCCGCCGCTGCCTCTGCTGCGCACCGACCCGTAAACGGACCCTTCGCCTCCCACTGGCGCAAGCTGAACCGCCATCGCACTAGCCCTACTTGCTGGGCGATTGTAGTCACCCCGGTATGGAGCCGGAGATGCCGTCCTGGAGTGGTTGCCACCTGGAGAGTTTGCTTGATAGTAGCTTTGCTCTGACCCGCGCTGCGGCGTCATCGTGGGCTGCGGGGAGCCTCCGTGTTGGCTGCCGCCGTAAGGGTTTGGTGAAGCTGACCGGGGTCCCTGCCTTGTCTCCGGTCGAGTGCTGCCACTGCTACTGTATGGATTCGGCGAAGCTGACCGTGGTGCCTGTCGTGTCTCTGGTCGTGTCTCACCCCGGGTTGTGGGTCGAGGGGACACGCTTCGCGGTGGTGCTGGGGAAGCCGCCCGCGGTACATCAGCCTGTCTCGTTGCCGGGCGCGACGGAGTGCTGTTGTAAACGGATGCAGGCCGGCTGGAGCTAAGCATCTGTCTCGTCTGCCCCGTATACTTCCTCGACGACTCTTGCATGGCCTTTGACGTGACAGCCGGGGGCGGTACACCCAGTCTCTGCACCGGCGGCGTATCGTAGGATGGAGGCGGTGTTCCTCTCAACCCGGTACTTGCGTCACTACCGGACCTAGGTGCTGGTACAGGCCGGCTAAATAATGGCGTCCGCTCTTGAGTCCTTTCTTGGGCCCTTTCCTGCGGTCGCTCCTGTGCTCTTGTTTGAGGTCTCTCTTGGGTTCTTTCGGCCGGTTGCGGATGACTTTGTGTCCGCTCGTGTGTCCGATCAGGAATTGGCGTAGAAATACCGTGATAGCGGTCGGCAGAGACTCGGGTTGCCGCCTGCTTGTTGTCCGCAGCGCCTTTTAGTTCAGCCAGTGCAGCCGCAATGGGATCTAGTTCCTCAGCCGGCTGGGTGTCTTTGGCAGTAGGTTGAGCACGCTTGTCTGTGTTGGCAACTGGGAAAACATTCTGGCCTACGTTTAATGCTAAGGACGCATTGGCATCTATCGGCTCAGGGCTAGCTGTCCTGTCCTTGAGCACGTTCTTCGTCTCTGTCGGATAGACTGAAGTCCTTGCCTCCGGCTTATAAACCTGGGGGGCGCGACGGGATGTGGTAGATTCTTGTGATGCCACGGGACCCCAAGTGTTCCTTGTTGATGGTCGAGCGTCTTTAGACACATCCTTAGTACTCTTCCTACGGAACGGGCTGTGATTTTGAAAGAAGCCGCTTTTCTTTTTCATCATACGCTTCTCCGGCTCGGCAGCTACAGGCTCTGCTACGGAGGGCTCCGGTTTCACTGGAGAAGTCTTCCCACTAGGCGGTTCTTGACTAGAGAACGAAGTTGGATTTGAATATTCGCTGTTGTCGTCGCCCGCAGAAATGTTTGAGCTAGTGGCCGAGTTGACGCCATCATAGCGTGCCGATATATTGGAGCTCGTCGCACTATTCAAGCCATCAATACGCGGTCGCGCATTCGACGATGTAGCTGAGCTGATGCCCTCGGAACGTGGTGATATGTTAGTGCTAGTCGCATTACTGATGCCATCAAGGCGCGGTTGTACATCCGAGGACGTAGAAGATCTCAGGTCCTCGCGACGTGCTGCTATACTCGAATTGGCCGCACTGTTCAAACCGTCGATACGTGGCTGTATGTTTGAACTTGTGGCCGAGGTTCTCATTGTATCCCACCGTGCTACTACGCTCGAATTACTTGCCGAATTTGTGGCTTCTACCCGCGCCGGTACTTCGGAATTCCTACTAGGCGCGAATGTTTCGGTACGCGAAGATACATTAGGTGCTATAGAAGCGGGCTTCATATTGTCAAAGCGTGATGGTTGCTTGTGGTTAGACGCCGAGTTCGCTCCGTCTGTACGACAGAGCATCGTCATGCCGTCCATGGGGTAGGGGTCATGAGGCACTGCAGAAAACTGAGCTGGGTCATATTGCTGCATCGAAGGGGCACCACGTCGATCTAGGCTGCCGTATGGGTCTTGAGGAACCATGCCTGGAAGCTGGGCATTCTGATGCAACATGGCCGAAGGATGAGTATTGTGATCCGGGTAGCTCATGGCTGAAGAATGACTAGGGTGTGCATGGCCAGGGTGAGGATAACTATTCTGACGAGGCGCGCCCACCGGACGACCACTCTGGTGAGACATCGCAGTAGGATAGCTGTTTTGTGGTGGCATGGTCGAAGCGGGATGGTCGGTCGGCGGAGGAATGCCAGCAGCAGGTTCAACATGTGATGGTGATATGGGATCCTGGTGACTCAGCTCCCGAGCGAGGGCGGAGTTAGGATCATGATGAGACTCCAGAGTTGAGGGCTGTGGTGAGGATGTTCGGAAGGCTGGATTAATGCTGCGCGGAAACTGGGCAACAGAGTAGTTCTCCTCATCTGAATCATCAGATTTGTGGTCATCGACATCGCCCCGACAGAAGTTAATGTATTTGGGCGGATCAGGAATCTCTTGACCGGTGCCCTTTTCCTTGATGAAATGAACAATGTCGTCCTCAACGTCCATCTTCTCGAGCGCTAGGCGAATCTTCTCGCAAGACGAATCGTCGCTGACGCAGACGGTGGAGGCAAGATTAGCGAATGTCCACAGGCTGCTTTTTGAGAAGTCTAAGCGCTCTTCCTCGAGGTCTTGGAACTTATCGGCAGCGGCCTTCCACTCGCGGTTCCAGCGAGCCGTCGTGTCCTCGAGAGCCTTGACTGCGGACTCGTACTCGGCATTCGTAGAGGCGAGACTGATCTGGGTCTTCTCCAACTTGGCCTTGTTCTTGCGCTCCTCCTGGCCCATGACCATGTGCCCTTGTGCCAGATAGCCCTTTATTCTGAGGCAGTCCTGCTCGTAGCGATCTCGTGTCTGCACAATCACAATTGTCTCGTTAGTAACCGGTCTTATCGACTGCAGTCCATGCCATCCGCACCTTATTCACAGTATGTGTTTGCTGTATTTTGACTTTCAATATTTTCTCAACCGTGTTTTGTATAATCTTCCGACGTTCCTTCATACCGCCAGCAAAGGCAGCCAGCGGCTCTTCGAGCTCTGATTTCATCTGGGCAGCAATGTTGGCGTGTTGCTTGGCCATGGACTCGACCTCGCCGCGGACAGTATCAAGCGATGTTTTTAGAGATCCCATCTCGTGCGACCCCAGAGGTTTTCGCGACAGGGACATGAGTTTTCGAGCGTAGTCATCTTCGAGGGATGCGCGTGCTGATGCCGAGCAATTCTAGTTAGCAGTTGCGCAAGGTTTTTTCCCATTGTTTCTTCATAGAAGACCGAGGTGGGCGAGGCGCAGGGAGAAAGAGAAGGGGGAAAGAGAAAAGAGCTTAGGACAGGATACTCACCGCTATAGAATGACCTCAGCTCATCGCTCGTCTGCTTTGCAGAGGCCATGCGATCAAGCAAGGGTCCGACGCCAGCGTCATCTTTGCCCCAGAAGTTGTTGGCGACTATGCAACGACGACAGGCGAATATGTTAGTGTTTCGATAGCAGAGCGAGGTGTAGGTGATCGGTAGGTGACTAGGAACTCACACGACAGTGCCACTGTCGGCCCTTCGGTATCGGCAGGCATCCTTCCTCCGCTCTATGACCGTCTCAATGGCGCGAATCCGAGACGATGCTGTTGATTTCTTGTTTGGAGGTTGGCGAGACTTGGAGGCGACAGAGGAATAGAGGAATGCAGGTATATACAGCGAGTACCAAGCTAGAGCCAGAGCTACTACTAGCACATGAGTCTCTTAGCCAGCGTTCGCAAGAGGCCGATCGAGACCTGCGAGAGGTAGGTCGCGGAACGGTGTTTTCGGCAAATTACGGGCGATGTACAGGTGATGGTGATAAGAGGCTTCGATTATTACTTTGATTGATGTGATGGGCAGGGAGATGTCACGACGATGTCACGACAGCTGGAGATGGATGGAGGGATCATATTTACCTGGGCCGTCATGCTTGCCTGTCTGGTTAATCTGGTTGTCCAGGTGACGGCAGGATGGGGGCGCCGCGCCTTCCCTGCACCACTTCAACACCACTTAAACACCACTTAAGCCTGGGTGGAGCCTTAGATGCGCCATGTCCCACATCTATTACTGCATTTGGAAGAGGCATCCCTGGTGGTGTGGCTTGTATGGCTAGTACCTAGGTAGCTACCTACATAGATAGTGGTCAGATTAGGTACCTACCTACCTAGGTAGGTAGTGGGTTTACCTACCTACCTAGGTACCTTAGGTAGGTAGTAGGTACCTATGTACCTACCGGTAGTGGCTAGCAGCAAGTTGGTAGTGGCTAGTGCAATGCCTTGCCCACCAAACTTAGGTAATCGTCAAGAGTTCATCTCTACCACATGTAGAATACCTATTTGCTTGGATGATAACTAGATTCTCAGCTTCAGTATTGTGGTAATAAGAACACCATGCAGATGTGGATAACCTTTTAATGAAACAAATCACTCTCATCAACTTAGGAGCAGCTAATATGGTTGTACGCAGAACTCGAGCACTCACAATCTTATGTCATGCCAACTATGAAGAAGTGAGAGTTTTGGGTATTGATGAGATAATGTCCCTCTTGTCGACACGTACTCCTATGAGCTTCAAAGATGCCAAGTGTGATAATGTTGGCGAATCTTCAGCATGGTCAAGTTTGTCGTTAATTACCACAAGCTAATGGAATAACAAAACACGAGAGGCGAGACCAGTAACAACAACATATGGGGGGGGGGGGCCCTTCTTAATTATCTACATTACGTGGAGGTGATCATAGAGCGACGTGTCGAGATGCCCGAAGCCCTGAATAGGGAAGTCGTCGACTCCGCGGCGGGTAGGTTTAGCTCTGATACCTTTTTCGAGATCGAGGATGAAGCTTTCATTATATTGACGAATAGGCTATAGGGATTTGAAGAGTGGAAGTAAAGTCCTGCTAGAACCGGTAATCGAATATAACATAGACACGAGAATTAAAGTATGCCCGAGAGAAAGCAAGAGATGACACGGAATGGTAGGAGAGAGGCGATCCGACCGATAGCGGCGTCGCATTGAGGCTGATAAACTGAGACTTGAGTATTGCCCTATAGAAATCTAACCTTACTTGGATCCCAAACAAGCCCAGGGACGAAGCGAGGGAGTGACATTGATGACGTTGCTGGCTGGCAAACTTTCTCCATTCCATTTACCTCTCTTCTTCGTAAACGCCTATATTTATTAGTGCCTTGCTTAATTATACCAGCGACATAATTCTATTTTAGCTACTCTGAAACAGATAGCTTGTATCACAAGCCGATATGTGAAATTGCATTTCGCCTAATGACCTCTCATGATACGTACTTGACAAGAATGGGTTGTAGATAATCACGGTTGGTAGGTCGTACAAATTTTGTCGTCACGTATCGGCCGAAAATATACATTGAAAATTGCATTGTCTATCATGTCAGCTCATTCAATGAAATAGCGCGGAGCGTGGTCTACATCAGAAACGAGAGCAAGCGATCCGAAACTGGACTTAGGTACCAGTGCGCCGGTCACGGTAATTAGTTCTGGCTGTATCCTGATGCATCCCTTGACCTCGTTGTGGAACTGTCCTGCCCTAGCCCCGTGACTACGGTGACTGATGAATCCAGATCCTAGAGGCACTCGGGTCATGCCGTCCTCGGCGATAAACGTACCCATCTGCCGTCTGCCGTCTGCCTAGATCCAAGGCTGAGTCTGGTGACTACGTCTCGTACGCAGACGGAGGCAAGCGCTGCCTCCCTCCTGTCTGTCATTAAACGAATGGATCGCGGACACGGGTCAGGTTGGAATCGTGTCTACCCGCGCGTGTTTCAGTACGCTCCACGACGAGCCAGAGAATCATCGGTCACGGGGATGGGGGAAGATTGAATTTAATCAAACGTCAGTGTGTCGAACTGTCGTCTTGTACCACGAAACAATCAGCCCCTTTCATTCGCTTCGGGGTATTTCAGTCTCATTGTGTACCCGCCTACGTGGTAACACCAAAGTCCTGGGAATCATGAGAAGTACATTCAGTTAATCACGTCTTCTTCTCGTTCTGAAGTATAAAAAGACATTGCGCTGGCAGCAGTGTTCTGGTTTCTCCCTTGCTTCCGAATCATCGCCGATCCTTCGAGAAAAAAGCGTGCTGCTAGGCCGACCGACTTACTTCGATGCCCGCGTGACTAACCCTCCGCAAAATCTCTGCCTTACTCTTCAGTAACTTTCAACACGGTCATTCTAGGCAACTGGCTTGCCTTTCACTTCACTACGCGCTTCATCGCCTTCTTCATCATATTTTCACTTCGCCCCTCATAATCTACATATCGCTAGCCAGCATTTGGCGGCGCGATATCAATTATTTGTCTCAGCGCTTCGCTCATTTCCCACCCTAAACCCCCTTGCGATAAATTAATATGAGTTCAGCAGAAAACTCGGGTAAAGACACCCAGGCAGGGAAGCAGGAAAAGGGTAAGACAACCCGGTTTCTAGTAAGAGCAAGGAAGAAAACCTTGACTAACCAAAATGCATGAAGAAGAGCCACCCAAAGAATGCGTCCCTAGCCCACCTCCGCCTAGCCCACCTGAGCCTGCACCTGAGCCTGCACCTGAGCCTGTGCCAGAGCCTGCACCTGAGCCTGTGCCAGAGCCTGCTCCAGAGCCTGCTCCAGAGCCGGCGCAAAGAGAATGCTTTCTGGACGGCTCCGAAAATCAATACGAACTACTAATCGGTGTCCAACACGGTGTGCCACGCCCCCGTCGCATGTGGGATGGTCCAGCCGCCCTGGCGACACAGTACATCTGTGACGAATGTTGGCGACGTCTTGGTCACCCCGTTACTGAAGGAGCCTAGTATCCGTTCCGGGTTCCTTCGATCTGGATGGCCAGCTTGGTTTGAGACGAGCATTCACTTCATACACCCTCCTGGGCTGGGCCAAATAGGAGTACCTATGACAGGGGAGGCGCGAAATATCCTGGGCTGGTACCCATTCTTTCTTTTCTATCGACTGAGTTGAGCTCGCTTTCGGGGAGGAACGGGGGCCTATCTGTTGGAGTCGGTACGTAGTAATGTAGTTGTTATCAGGATTCACGATTCTGGAACCAACGTCATGTTTCTCATCGAGACTGCCATTTTGGCTGTGACGCTATCATTTATGGTAGGGATGGAATAGCCCCTCAGGAATGGTGATATGATCTAATATAATCATAATTACCACTGCTGTCGCCTTGAGCCTCTGGCATTAGCATGAAAGCGACATGAGATTTATATATCGAACTGTGATTCAAACGTCCACTCATGACAGGTTGGCGATTTCAAAGTAGCAATTGGGCATATGAGATAGCAGGCAGTATCAAAAGCAGTACCGATTACTAACAACTTTTTAGTAGTAAGTCTCACATAGATGACATAGACCGTGAGCGCTGGAAATCATAACCCGTATTATTGAGGCAGCGCAAACCTTTGTAAGCATTTTCCGTCTCCACACTCTTCGAACCCATGAATCATGATCGTATTCACTTCTTCGCCGCAACCTTGGCCAAGTCAGCCAGGGCATCACGACGCTTAAACTTGGCATCTTCGATAACACCTGATTTCACGTCAGTTTGAAGAGGCACATCATTGTGTGGAGAGTTTAGCCAGCTCGCTCGCCCCGCCGACTGCAGCACTCAGGGGGGAAATGGGAAGATAATAACAAACATACCGGCATCGGCATCGCTCGAGAAGTTACCAGACCACTCGATGTAGGTGCAGCCCTCAAGCTCGCCGTAAGTGACGGCGTAGCATCGGATGGTGGATAGGACCGAGGTGTATGTGAGGTTAGGTTTGGCGGTGATAACGCTGTATGTAATGTAGTGGTTGATGGTCTGCGGAATTCTGTTCGTCAGCCATCTGGGCAGGCACTCTGGGGGTGACTTGACTTGGTGGCAGCGTACGCTGTGCTCCTCCTGCTTCACGTCGAGCTCGGTGCCGTCATTGAAGGTCCAGTGAACGACATCGGCCTCGTCGTTGGCACCCTTGACAAACTCGCTGGACTTGAGGGCGGTCCAGAAGTTGCTGAAGTTTTGGACTGGGGATGTGGCAATGATGGTTAGCTGAGTCCGCGATGAAGGTCATGGATAATAGGTATGCATAGTTTGTTTGAAGAAGACGAAAGAGATGCGACGTACGTTTGATGTGATGCCACACATGGCTCAGAGGAGCCTTGATGACGGCGGACTCCTTGACCGAGGTTGAGGTGGGGATCGACATGATTCTCAGCGGCTTCGGGGTGATTCCTGAATGATGATTCTACTCTCCCACAATGACAAGCTATTTTGAATTTCTCGGTGGTGAGACTGAAAGTGGAATGATTTGAAATGAGGTGGAAAATGAGATGGAAAATGAGAAATGGATGACTTTTTGACTGTCCTCACAAGCACTACCAGGTCTACATAAGTAAGAGCTCAGTTCTGTTTGCACCTGGCTGCAGTCAAGCGCAGTCTATACGTCATACTTAGAAATGTCATGATGAGGAGCTGAGGGGCCTGTGTAGGCAATTTCCTATATGAGTACCCGTGCGAGCCAGGCTTTACAGAGAGAGAGAGAGAGAGCCTCCAAATTCTTGGTGCTTGGAAATACATACCTACTTGATTATGTACCTATGTAGGTAGTGAGGTATCGTGATCGTGTTCATCGTGTTCACTGTCGCTGCAGGTATTCAAGTTTTGCATTGCCGCCTACACGCAACGACGTAGCTCTCCGCTCACTGCATTTCTGCATTTCTGCCCACTCACATGTACCTACCTAGGTAGGATATCCCACACAGATCGTTTTCACTCACGTCGGTGATGCAAGTCATCAGATGAGACAGCGTAGCTGCGTAGCTGGCAGGTTCCAACGGCGCAAACTCATCTCAGAAAACCGTCGAGACTCTGTTTTGCTACAGTTCACACCCGCCAGCGCTGGGATAGTTGATACCTGGGCGCTACTGGGTACTGAGGTAGGTACCTACCCAAGGTATGTAGCAAGCCCTGCCCACTAAAAGCTGCTTTCAGGCTCTAGATACCCTACCTAACTGTAAGTCACCAGGTGTTCTCCAGCATTCCAGGTCGGGCTACAGAGTGGCATGGCGAGGTAGGTTCGCCCAGAGTTCGCTCTTTTTTTTATTTTTTATTTTTTTTATCTTTTATTTTTTTTAACATCCCTGGCATCGGATGTAGATCCCGACTTGCCGTCAGATCGTGCATTCGCCCAGCGCCGGTTAGCTCTATTGGTGCGATTTCTGGGCCTCCGCACGTCGCATCACCGCGCCGGTCAACCACGCGGTGGAGAATCTAGGGCCATATAATAATAGGAGGTAGGTAGCCATGGCAGGGTCCCCGAGGCTTTGAAACCTCTAATCCGGACACGGAAACGGAGTACGGAGTACGGAGCACCGCACCCACCTCTTTTCCCAATTGCTCGCCACTGTTGCTCCATTCTACTATATCCCTTCTCCCGAAGTCACCGCTGTACTAACGGCGAGATGACGAGATGACGAGTTTCGATGACAAACGGTGGTAGCGCCCTACCATGTACTCATATATATATATATATATATATATATCTATCCCCCATGTCCACATTGGCACTTATGTTATCAGCCGCGATGAGCATTATCACATCTTGTGCGTCTCGCCAAGAACGCCCTCGGCAGAAGTGTGTCGGTTGGTTTAGTCGTAAATAGTCTTGCAAGATGAAATACTCTTGGCTTCTCGCCCTGGCTAGCAGTCGGCTCGCTGCCTGTGGGACAATGCTCTGGGACGGCCGCTTCAATGATCTAGCTTCATCGACTGACCTCAATAAATGGTCCTGGGCAACCCAAGTTGGTCCGTATCAGTACTACATCCACGGTAGTGGTCAGATTACCGACTATGTGAACCTCTCATCCGACTTCAAGAACCCCGCCGACACGGGCTCGAAGCAAGGCGTCAAGATCACGCTAGACTCGACGGCATACTGGAACGGCCAGATGATGCGACGTACCGAGTTGATTCCGCAGACCACGGCCGCCATCAACAAGGGCAAGGTGTGGTACCATTTCAGCATGATGCGGAGCAGCACAAACGCACCCAACACAGCACGCGAGCATCAGGTCAACTTCTTCGAGAGCCACTTCACTGAGATGAAGGTCGGCTGGCTGAGTGGCGCCAGCGGCATAGAGGACCCGAACCTCAAGTGGATGGCCAACAGCCAGGTGAAATGGGAGACCGAGTTCACTGCCGGCGTGTGGCACAATGTTGCCTATGAGATCGACTTTAGCGCCAATACGGTCGCCTTCTGGCACTCGACCGGGTCCGACGACCTGAAACTGACTGTCACGGCCGTTTCCGTGTCGGCGTCGAGTAACGGCGCTGACTGGCATTTGGGGGTGTTGGAATTGCCCCGCAACGGCTACCCCGACAAGGATGAGGACCTCTACTTCTCTGGCGTTTACATCGAAAGCGGCAGCATAACGACGTCTGTGGCTGGCACTGGTGGTAAGTGAGCCGGCTTTATGGTGTCATCTCTAGACGCTGTTATTAAACTCGCTTTCAGGTTCGTCCGGTGGAGGTGGCTCGAGCAGCACTACAAGGGCTACCACCTCGACTAGCACAACTTTGTCAATCTCGACTACGAAATCAACTACGACTACAACGTCTGCACCTGCTTCGACAACGACTCCATCAGGTTGTGTCGCTCAACAATACGCGTGAGTACCGCTTTGATCTCTGTACTGCGTATTAAGATTCTGTCCTTGGTCGTAAACCGCTGACTCGTATCTCTAGACAATGTGGCGGCATCAACTGGACAGGATGCAAAGCGTGTGCTAGTGGATTCACCTGCAACGCCCTCAATGACTACTACCACCAATGTCTTTGATCGCGCGTGTACGCTGTGTCTGGATTCATGTATATAGTTTCTTCGCTGCCATACATACTAATCACCCAACGTGTATTTGTGGTATCTAGAGGGATTTATCACTTTGCAGAATAGCCGTGGTGCGACCAATGCAGGGAATAGTGGGATCTTGATGCGCTTGACGACCCGATCTGTCTATCTTGTTTAGACAGTCGGGGTAAGAAGTGGATTCTCCCTTTTCCCACTTCGTTCTTTTGTCTTTGGGAGCTCATTCAAGACGTGGGTAGGGTCTAATTGATAGTAGAGGTAGGTACTCCATATAGCAGTGAGAGCTCCTATTGCTGTTGAGTGCAGCACAATAACGATCAGCACAAGGTGAAAGGAGACTCAGCAATATGTCTCTGACCGCCTTGCTAAAGTCATAATGAACTCGTATATGATTACAACTTCTCAGTCATGATCATCTAAGGTTTGAACAGCTAATAGAGATCTGCTCCTCACCTCTCAGCTCTCAGTCCCCAACTTCCCACTCGACATTGTTTGGGACCTCTGGGCTTGTCGACAATTCGCTTGAATATTAACTGCGATAGAGCAGTAGAACTACGGCGATTATAGTCTGTCACCTACAGATCGAAGGACTATCCTGTATGCTGTTGAACCTTGACACGACAGAACGGGAAGATCCTTTGATGGGGAATGAGTAGTACAACTTAGCTATCTGTTACGTACGCGTTCGCCATGCCGGAACATGATACTGCTGTATGTGATCGGAAATAATTTGTCTGTTGGCTGGTAACGCAGCATACCGTATAAAACTAATTGGTCCTCTCCGGCAATTAAAGATGCAGTAATTACTTGGCAAGCTTCTATAGTGGAGAGCAATGAGGCTAGTGATGATGACACCAAATGGAATTACCGACAATTTCACTAGCCCGGCCCGAAGTAAGGGAGCTTGAAAGAGGGAGATATATATGAGCAATAGAACAAGACTACTGAAATTCAAGACAACTCCAAAAGAGGGATGGCTACTATTAAACGCCGAGCACTCTGTTCTGCTCATTGATTAGCGGGGTAGTCTGCGTGTGTGCTACTACGTATTTCCTTCATCCAGATGAGTCTAAATAACCTCTTACTAGTCGGAGATTCGTCCAGTGGCTGAACTGAGCGGGGGCTAGATAGCCTGCCGACTCCGGCGATGCATTGTCGCTACAGCGGACATATGTATTTAAGTAACCATGATATTTCTGCCGGAGTTGTGTCTCTGCTTGTTTTCGTCGAGAATCGATCGCGGGTTCGAGGACCTCGCTGATCGTCGTCTAATTGGGTCATGGACCGATCGTTATGCACCACACATCTCACACATTATCGTCATGCGCTCGTTGACGATGGTCTGCGATCTTTGAGATGTCGTGCGTGGTCGGTGTGTCTCAGCCAGCCACAGAAGCTCTTGGACGTCAGGAATTGGATGTCTATGCGCTCCCAAGTAAAAGACCACAGAGCTAATGCAGCCAGACGTGAACTTAACACAGTGCATGGGATACTTGCATAGTTTAGGAATTCGGAGCTACGCATAAGTAGCTGACTATCAACTGAAGCTACAGTGCTAGCAGATCGCGACCCGATCCGCTTCGGCTCAGGCGGATCGGCTTCTAGCCCCAGATCTGGCCAGCCGGGTGGAGAGGCGGAAAGAGAGAGAGAGAGAGAGAGAGAGGCCCACAGGGTGTTTGCTTTTGCTTTTGCTTTTATGGAATGATGCTGCAGTGAGCTATCACATTCTGCTGGATCGCAATGTGAGGGGCCAGGAATCACTGACAATCAGACGTGATCAGCCTGCCGTGCAGTAGCGCGGAGCAATAACACGGATGGGGGCGATACGCTACAAATGCACGTCGTTGATCGTGATCCGAATTCTGAGCCAAACAATGCCATCATGCTGCCAGCCACCGACAACACACCTTTCAACTATTTGCTGCCTAGTGCACTTTAGAACTAATCTCGACTTGGTCTCTGTTTCAGGCCGTGGAAGGCCATCGGGATGCTATGAGTGCTAGAAGTGACCACTCTCTGCATATATAAACCCGGACGCGGCGTGCTCTTTTCTAGTCATGGGTGTCAAGATTGATTCTTCACCAGCGCTCGATATTGACTGAGCACAACCCAACATGGGCAAACTACTTCGTACTTCTCTCTTGCTGGCACTCAGCGTAAGCATCCCTGCCGTGGTCATGGATAAAGCGAGTCCCAGCTAACCTAACTACAGACCGGTTTGGCCTCGGCTAGAACTGCGTGTATCTCGGCTGTCTCTTGGGGTGACCCTCGTGTTGACATCTTCGGCTGGGCCGACGACAAATCTATCTGGCACAAGTTCTACACTGGATATGACTGGCAGCCCGAGAAGTTCGAGCGCATCCCCTCCGAATCGACTAGCTGCCCAGCAGTTTCTTCCTGGGCCTATGGCCGTCTTGACCTTGTCTGGGTCAGCCATGCCGATGAAACCGTGATTCATAAGTGGTTTGGCGGTGGCAGCTGGGGCCCATCGTGGAAAGAAGCTAACAATCTTGGTGGCTATGGCGACATCGACTTGATCGAGACTATCTCTTGGGGCGAGAACCGACTTGACATCGTCGGCAATGCCTTCAATGGCTCCTTCCTGCACAAGGCTTGGACCGGTGACAGTTACTACCCCTCTGGTGAAGAATGGGAAAATCTAGGAGGCAACTTCTCTGGTCTACCTAGCATTGGATCGTGGGGTGAGAACCGTCTCGATGTCGTTGGAATCTCAGCTGTGACCGGTTCACTATTCCACAAGTACTGGGACGGTAGTGGATGGAGCCAATGGGAAGACTTGGAGGGTGGTCCTTTCATCGGAACGCCCGCCGTCTCTTCGTGGAGCTCGAATAGGCTCGATCTATGGGCTCTTGATGAGAATGCCGAGTTGAACCACAAGTTCTGGGATGGATTCCAGTGGAACGGCTGGGAGAAGCTTGGCGGCAAGTTCACACAGACCCCACGAGTTGCTCACTTCGCCCCTGGGAGAATCGACATTGTTGGCAGGAACGTTGACGACAACAAGTACTACCTGAAGAGCTTCGATGGTCATAAATGGAACCCTAATGTAAAGGACTGGTACGACCTCGGCGGCCCCTACAGTTCAGAACCTGAGATAGTTACGAAGGCCCAGGGACAGAGTAAGTAGAGCTTCCGAGCTTAAACTTTGGATGATTTCTGACTTTCTACAGACTTCTTCTACGTGTTTGGAGTTGATCCTGAGGATAGTCTGCGAATGAAGCTTTGGAGCGGTTGGGACTGGCAGCCTAGTGCCGATGGGTCATGGCCACTTGGAAATGTGTCTGACCCATACCCGGAAGAGAAGAACTCCTTCGAATCTGATGCTCAGCATGTGTTACTTGGCACTGAGCTCTAGTTTTGCCTGGGGGTGGATTCACGTAGTACATCCAACGGACCTTATCGCAACATCGGCAGCAGCAGAAGGTAGGACTGTACCACACGTACACTGGTAGCTATCAAGCAAGTAAGAAATCACTGCATGTGGTTAGCACGACTTGTTCACTGCCATTCCACAATCGTACTTCAGGTGGCGTTGAGCCGATGATTGTGACATATACATCGGATGCTAGTTCTCAGCTCAGTATGCAATAGCCCGTGGCCGAGCCCTAGTAGAGCAGACATCATGCATGAAAACACATCAAATGCATCGTGACTCTATAAACTGTAGTATTAGTACGGTGTATGTAAGTACTAATGTGTAGCGCCCCCTGTTCACGCCGCCAAGATTGTGGTATAAGAAAGCATTTGTGCTAATTGACCTGGAAAAGTTATGGCAGTTTCTTGGCCCCGTATCATGCCGACACATTAGAAGATGCTCTTACGAGTGCGGTCGGTTCTGAACATGATGGGAACATGCCTTTGGTAGTCACATCATATTCTTTGGATCATGCTAGTCACCATATTATGGCATCTGGCGCCATGACGAATGCTATGCTTTGATTGGCTAATTATGGAATGCCTTGTATTATCTTATCGTGCGTGACATAGTCGGCGCTTCTCCGCACGCCACCAGTTCTCCAGGTCAGGATGGCTGTCAGTCATTCCCGGAGGTACCCAACTAACCAGCATTTCCATCTGCGAGTTACAAACTGCATTTACCATGTAGCCATGACGACGTGCAGGCCGGCTGATTTATGTTAGCGCATACTTATGCGCAATATGTTTTGGGCGTCATCGCGAGCATCTTAAAAGCAGCTAGCGCTAAAAACAGACAAAGACGAACATGACCGATAGCGCCACTAATATTCACAGCTCCTTCTGCATCAGCCATTTGGAAGTCAAATGGTAACGTAACGAGCATGCAGTTCACTCGCTACCTACTCATTATATAACACCAAGCACAACCACGATTCAAGCTCTCACCGGTCGGCATCTTTGCCGCCAGGTAATTACTAAAGTTTGCCTCCGAAAAGACACGATATCTCCATAGTCACGGCGGCGTACATGATGTGACCATGAATGTAACGCTTAGATACGATAAGTTCGATTGGATGATGGGCCTCGCCTGTTGGAGACGTGAATTTTCGATCAAGACAAACTGCCAGCAGCGAGCAAGATAGCTATTTAACCAGATTCAGAAAATTAATGCATAAGCTACGGGAGAGTACCACTGCTAGGCCCATACCATATTCATATAGACGCGTTGGAATTCGTCAATGTTGCGGCAAGATTGGCGAGGAAGGTAAGGGATGTGAGCTTTGTATAGATAGTGCTCTCTCTCCTGGTAATGAAAGATTTGATCCGGCTGAGTCGCGCTATAGACAACCCACATCGGGAAACAGAGTCCATAAGGCTATAAGGACTTTATACACCTCGTGAGCGCCCAATGTTGGACCCTAGTCTCCTGATATCTAAAAGGCTGCCTCCATACTCACCTCGAATGCAACTAAGCTCCCGAAAACTCGCTTGTTTATATGATACTCAGATCATATCACGCATATCGGAGCTATAGCACCGGGTATAATATGACTCAGATATAGAGAATGATAGAAGACCGATATGAAAAGGCCGGGTACTGAGTGCTGATCGTCTCATTAATCATTGGGGGTGAAGTATTGGCCTCGAGGGACGATCTCGATCAGAAGTAGTAGAATATATTCAGAGCTCATTCTCGCTATTCTAAGCAATCCAAGCAACGGTTGCTTTTATAAACATTAATCAGAAACAAACAAAGCATTGTATGAAGTAGAAGCAGCTCCGTTAAGGCATAAGTACTAAATGCAACGAGTTATTATGAATTCCCTGGAGCGCCCGGTCCGACCGGGGCGCTTCCTGGTGCCAGTCAGCCCTCTCGTCACATTGGCTGTCATTGTTGTGGTGGCGGTTGACTAGGTGGGTGTTGCATGATCATGGGAACTGGTGTTGGAGCGGGCACCGGAGCCGGAGCGGGTGCAGGCAGAGGTACAGGTACAGGTGTAGGCGCAGGTACAGGTGGTGGTGGTGGCATTATCACTTGAATTGGTGCTGGCGGTGGCGGCGGCGGCATCGCCGGCTGTACCGGTGGTGGCGCAGGTGCGGGAGCCGGTGCCGGTGTATACACGTAAGGGACTGTTGGTGCTGGATAAACCTGCAATGGTTCTGGTGCTGGTGGCGGCGCAGGTCTAGGAAACATGCCACCCACAGACCATCGGATCAAAACCAACAAGCCGACTATTGTCCATTGAAGTCCTTGAATGGGGCCACCTGGGAGGATCTCAAGCAGTGGAGTTGGGCCGGACAGAACCGTCGTTGTGTAATTCAAAGCGTTGGCAGCCTGAGTAGTAGAATACGCTGCCGCCAGAGCAAAGCCGAATGCGTATAACATTGTAATGGATAACATGGACCTCATAAAAGCCGGATTTTCATTAGGATTGGGCATGATTTGTTTCATAGATCGCTTAATGAAAAGCATCGCGATGACGCTGAGGAAGAACAGCGCAGCAGAAGCCGCGATGAGGGGAGAGAAGATCTTTGTCTGGAAGATGTACGCGGCTTCGAGAAGATGTCCCATATCGTTGGCATAGGTGCCATCTGGAGTCGTGCTGCTGTTGCTGAGAAACTCGTCCTTCAACTGAGTCTCTCCAAATGAATAGCTAGGCACGCATTTCAATTCAATCCCGGAGGGCTGAGAGGCGCATATTCCTATTTGGCAACTGATATTAGTTTCGACTGTAAGTCGGAAAAAAAGAGTCGCATAGAGAACATACCATAGTAGCCTATCCGCACTTGCAAGGGTTGTGTTTGATTGGTTTGGAGTTGAAGAAGAAATAAGTTGGGGACAGACGGCGAAGTCGACAAGCATCCAACAAGGACCAGAACTAGTGCAATACATTAGTTTAACCTAATAAGTATGAATCTAAGAATGCATATCATACCATAGAAGGTTAGAACTATCGCTGACAGGATATATGAGAGAAATCTCATATCAACGCGTTCTGGACTGGATTAGTCGTATACTTTTCGTTTTCGAGGGCTAACCTACGGAACGCTTTGTGATTTGCAAACATCGTGGCGGCAATAAGATATGTCTACGAAGAGACAACAATAACAACAACACAATAGTCACCTATAAGGAATGAATAGTGGTATGAGCAAAGGGAAACAGTAGTAGATATTTAGTGCAGGAGAACAGAAGCGGTCTTATATTTACTTGAGCATACAATACATGGTAGTTTTCTGCGCCAGTTTCGCCCAAGTTTCCTAGCTTTGGCTTTGGCTGTCTCATTGATACGCCTAATAGGCGCGCAATGTGTTTGTTCAAAGGATGCTTTCGTAGGCAATCGCATTTCTGTCCTACTGGAGCCGTCCAAGCCCCAAGAGGTGATTGGGATACCGATCAACTGGATAGAGCTATTCGTGCCTAGCAAGCGCTCGGGATCAAAGTTGGTAGACAACAATCTATTATTATCCTAGGCCCGGCAGTTCTGTAGGCGGAAATAATACGAAAAGTCAGCAAAACGTTACGGGCACTCGATGATCGATAATGGCACATACCCTTACGCTTGGGCTTTTCGCCCCTACATCGCTTTGGACTAGGGTGCGTTCAACATGGGCAATGGGGTCAAATGCCCTTGGAGCTCGACGGCCTGACGGATAATGGTGGTCCATAGAGTAAGGTTCCAGATCGCCCAAATATAGAACGACGGAAGCAAACATGTATTCATAACAACCTCATCCATAGTTACAATGTGATATCCAGTCACACGTGTTTAACAGCCCGAAGATTACTTTTCGCGGTCATGTATTCATTAAATATCCAGGTATTTAGTTCGCGTCGTAATAAGATATTGGCTGATTATACTTAGGTAATTATTCTCATTTGTGGTGAAGCTAGCTCCTGATGTCACAAAGGAGATGCACCGTCAGACTATGTTGCCAGCCTCCTGAATCTGGATATAGGATATAATCAAGAAGATAAAAAGCAGTAGATAACCGATGCATATTATCTAAAGGGTTGTGGCACTTACGATATGCGAGATCATCATTGACGCTTGGATACTTAAGACGACCAAGATAGAGAGCGCGTTTGTAGTAACACAGCTTTACTAGAAAGCGTGTTAAGCGCCCAACCTGTCTCACTCTGTGGTGTTTTCAATACACATGTATACCTTTCTGCTTTATAATTGGCTTGTGCAGTCTTTATTTTGGTAATCGGATCACGCTATTGGTGTCCGCTGACTATCTCGGTAGTCAATAGAAGACCCAGTCGCTTGGAACCGTGAAAGGCTTTCAGATCCAGCGGTCTGTATCTCGATACGCTATTGGCTAAAATGCTGCTTGGTTGCCTAAACTCGCTCCTTATCTGCGTCCAGCAGTCAGAGTGATTTTTCTTTCAACCTACTAGACGCCACTTCTATGCGATGCTGAGATAAGTATAGGTCCATGAACTAACAGCCCTTGAGCCAAAGCGAGCACTTGACAGGATATTGGCACGTAATCCCCGATACCAATCCATGGGTTAGTAAAATGATCTCCCGCAGACTTGGTTGCGTCTGCTGATGTGCGTATCCCGTAGTGTTCATCGAATTTTCTTTGACTGAAGACATAATGCGCCCTATTGGCGGCTAGGAAGGGTATTCTGGTCAGGCTATGACAGTACTCTCTATCGATGATTATTCTCCTGGGGCCGAAGTAGTCTGGTGCAGGAATACAGCTCCAGGTAGCTTAAGCAGTAGTGACAAGCCCACTTTACCTGAAGTACTATAACACATACAGCTACATAGAGGCTGAGTTATAGTCACGGGACTTCTGGTGTCACTCCATGACTCATAGTCACATGTTACTTGACAGGCCGAAGTGATGAACAGTGTGTGTCACTCTTCGCTTTAGGTAAGGATATCCAAGAGCTGTTTTTAGAAAAACTTAATGTTTATTTGGACTGTGAGGTTATTGCCGCTGACAAGACTTGGCCATTGCTCCACTTCCAAATCAAAACAGCATAAAACTAAATCTGTGTAAGGAGATTATCGGCATCATTGTTTGGAGTAGACGTCGCGACAGGAGTGTATTCGGTCCCTTGACCGGACGTGTTACCTGGGGCAGTTGCCGTATCGTGAGATAGGTGTTGCGGTGGTTTATCCGGCTTGTCACCCTGAGAATCTGACAGCCGAAGATTGCGGAGCTCCTGGCTCAAGGACACTGCGTCAATGCGAGCTGAGGCTTTAGTTTCCAACATCTTCCCAACAAGTTGAGCTAGTTTCGTGCTCTTTGGTGTAATGAATCTCTGTCGTACACTTAAGATGCAGTTGATCCAACTGTCCATTTGATCCATCGCTTTCTCGTGGGCGTCAACTTGAGTTCCAACAGGACTAATATCCGGAAGCTGCCAGCCCTCGTAAGTTCTTTCGGGCAGGCCAATGTATCCAAACAGCCACAGCATGATGACACCCAGGGCCCAAATGTCAGTTTCTGGCCCTTCAACTCTACCGCTCGTCATGTACTCAGGCGGCAAGTACCATGGTGTACCACAGCCCCGACTTTGGGCTGAATTCCCGACTTGAAAACTCAGGCCGAAGTCGATTAGCACCGCGCCACGATCGTTATTATAGAGAACATTGGCTGGCTTGAGATCACCGTGTATAATTTCTTTACTATGCATATGTGAGAGCGCCGAAGTTAACTCTTCCATGATCCTTAGCGCCTGCTGTTCAGTTCCCGTGAAGTCTAGGTCCGGGCTAACCCAATGCGATAGCGCTTTGGCATCAATATACTCGAGGTAGAGGCTATGGAAGCGGGCGTCGCATCCTAGTAACCGCACAATGGAACGCTGCGACCAGTCAATTAGCGCACTAGTCAATTACCCATGGAGCAGTCACCGATGCGGAGCACTTACATGATGTAGACATGAGTGTATGGTGTATTCGCGCAGCCAATTCTTAGAGGTTGAGGCTACCCACCGGTCATCGCTCCGTCTGAGCTTGACTACCTTCACCGCAATGTCCGTATTAGGTACTGATGAATGTCTCGCTCGCCATACGGCGCTGTATTTAGCATCGATAATGGTGTCCAGACGAGTGAGCCAGTAACCGTTCTCCCGAGGTCCGACATGTATCTTCATGCCTTTCTCGAGCTTGACCAGAGCATTTTCGTCTAATTCAGACGGTGAAGGCTTATACAGTGGCGCCACGAGCTTTTTAGAGACCTTGAGCCTCTTGGACGGGTTGCCATCCGCAGAGGCCACACGTTTCAAAGGACGATCGCAGGAAGTTGGCCAGGCTTTACGTTTCATCACTTGGACCTCCAATATAGACTGCCCGTCGAACACAAGATCCCAAATTCCAACGGAAAGTGCTCTGCCTTGACCACCTGGTATCTGATACAACGTATTCCTACCACGCTTAGTAGCCAGAAAGTGCCGAAACGAGTGGTTGCAAATATAAACACAGTCTCTGGAGGGGTCGAAGTAGAAATAGAAAACTGCGTCGTGGTGGATAGCCGTGCAGCCGATCTCTTCGTGCCCTGGCGCAACAACAAGGACTTCAGCCGGGGTTGACTTGTTTTCCATTGTCATAGACATCCACGGTCCAAAGTGTCCAGTACCATTAAATGGATTTATATTAAAATCTTTGACCTTGGGATATAGAAGCATACGGGCACCGTCAAGTTGTGGAAGGGCAGTATCTTGATCCAACTTGGTCCAGTCTAAATATGTTGTTGGTGGCCCATCAGTTAGGTAGGTTGTTGCTGGGAAGGTTTCGAGTCTAGCCTCAACATGTCCTGGAGAGAAGAGCTGTGTTGATTGTGTACTGTCGTCGACGGTCAGGTCTTTTGGAAGTAATCGTGGTACAAACTCATCTGCCATCTTGCTGGGGCGACGTCTTCATACGTGGGATTTCGAAAGCTAAAGGCCTGGAAGAGAACAAATTCGTTGAGTGTTCAAACATGGTACATTCCCCGAATCCCCTTAGGCGGGCACCCTCTCATTAAATGTATAATTTCAAACGCTGTCAGCACCCTGCTGCTGAAGCAAGGGATAAGCTTTTGTAACAAACTCCTATTTTTGTCATTATCATCGCATGATAAGGACGTCCTTCACAAGGCCACTCAAGGGCAAAGGGGTCGGTTGACTTAGCAAGCATTGCTGAAACTCGTAGCATGCAGCTAGCCAACCATTAATATCGTGTTAAGTGCCTTTCGGCCGTAAATTTACCGCGTAGGCTGCCCGGCGCGAATTCTTGTAAGATCCTGTCAACCAATGGCTTCCAAGGGATGGACTGTGACACCAAACCCCACAAGTGCACGAGCCAAGCACATTGCTGGCCAGGCCGAAGATCGTAGAATAGAAATTTCTTCCATTCCCAACACTATCTAACAACATTTTCGCGTTTCTTGATACCGCGACACATCACAACTTGCGTCTCATTCATACAAAAGTTCACCATGAGTTGGCGTGAAGGGGAAGCCCCCACCATTGACTCTCATTTGCATTATCATACTCCCATTGTGTACGAAGACTCCGATCAGTGGGATTGGCCTTACTGGAAGTTTGGATACAGAACCCGCGAAGCCCTCTTCGAAGAACTGCACGTCGAATACAATTCGATTAAAAGCGCAATTCAAGACCCTTTTAGCTGGCATCTAGATGTCTGCCAAATAGCCGATCTTGCAAGCACCAGGGAAGAGTTTGAGACCTTGCTCAAAAAACGACGAGACGAGCGCTTTGAAGAACTAATAAGAGCATGGGATGAGATAGCATTGATGTTGATTACAGAGTCTCATCGGTTCATGCTGCCTCGGAAAAGAACCGACTACTGGGCTAGATTCATACGCATTTCTCGACACTTCTCGTATGACGCAATTGTTGGATACTTTGGCGCGTATTGCAAAGAGCAAGTTGTGCTACCTCCACCCGAAGATGACGAAAACAACCCCTTCTTGACAGAAAAGGCAAAGGAGCTCCTAAGACAGCAGAGGCTTGAAGTTGAAAAGCAAGCTAGAGTGTCCGAAACGGAGTCTGAGAATGCTGGCACAGAACGCTTCTTGCTGGAGACTGTTGCTGGGCCTAGCACGCAACGAGGACCTCCCGAACTTCAAATAAAGGAACCGACTAAGAGGGATGGGAAACAGCCAGAAAATAGTTACCGGAAACCCCAGATGGTGGACAGAGCCACACAAACAACAACACCCACAATAATGGACAAAGTGGTAGCTGACGAAATACCATCATCCCAAGCAACCAACGATCAGAAGAGGGGAGTTAAGCGGCAGAGACAAAAGAGTAAACCTATAATAAATAACCCACAAGGGGTGCGGAGAAGTGCACGTTTACAAGAGCAGGCCGAACGACAAGCCAAACGCAGAAGGCTGTGATAGCGCACGCATACCTACCACAGTTCGACGCCGCACATTGCCACGACCTCAGGCGAAAACCCCTTACGCCGTTGATATAATTAGAAGCGGATGTATGTATTGTATCAGTTAGTTCTTTATCCGAGTTCGGTGAAGCTGTCCGAACAGCTCCGATGACACTCTTCGAGACTCATGCATATAATTTTGTTGGCGAGAGACGTCATTGTTCCTCTCAACCGGGCTTAATATGGAGGAATTGATACTCAGTCACTATTCAGATTTCCCCGCCGCATTTGGACCCCACGTTGCAGCGGATGTTTTGGTACCTCATGGGCCTAGGCCAAAAAGAGGGCTCTTACATGTAATTAGTGCAGGTGTCTCCTGACATCCTATCACCTAATGTGGCAGTCTACCTCCTCGTAACCTTTCCACCTCAATCCCACTCAAATGGCGAGTTTGATGCTTCGCGGGCTATTATTTCTAAGTTTACAGTTTCAATTAATCGTAGCCTCCGACTTGGTAAATTGTGTCGCTCACACTGCCAAGGCTCATATCAATGGCCACATAAGCATCCCTGAATCCGTATGCGAATGGTTGGGAATCCCATATGCGTCTCCTCCGACCGGCCAACTTAGGTTCTCACTGCCCAAGAAGTTCCAACTTAAGGGATCTATAAATGCTGATAAATATGTAAGCAAACTTTGCCTCTCGGCTGCTAGCGCTCACAGGCCGGTAGGGCTTTGACTGTCCGCAAACTCCGTCTAACTCATTTGTGTACCCGAATGCTACATTGCAGTATTTGAGGATATATGCCAACTTCGTCAATCAGCTTAATAACACACAGAGTGAAGATTGCCTAACGCTTAATGTCTGGTCGAGAAGACCTAACTCTGGGCGCACATTGAAACCGGTGATTGTGTGGATCCATGGGGGTCGCTTCGCTACTGGCTCAAGCCACACGCCATTCTATCATGGCGGAAACCTTGCGGGTGCACAAAACGTCGTCGTTGTTACATTCAACTTTCGAATGAATATCTTCGGATTTCCGGGTTCACCCGAGACAGCCCATAACATCGGCTTCTTCGACCAATATCTTGCCGTTGAATGGGTGTACGACAATATCAAGGCATTTGGCGGTGACCCGGGGCGCATTACGCTCATCGGACAGTCATCTGGTGCGGTGGCTGTCAGCAATTGGGCGTACGCTTTCAGAGACAACCCTATCGTTGCAGGGACAATATCTCATTCAGGCAGCATATTCTCGTTCCCCATTCTCAACGCCGACTTAGCTTCTGCCAACTGGAATCACGTAGTATCGGCACTCGGCTGTGGAGCTTCCGACTCGGCGCTTTCGTGCATGCGATCTGAAAACATCTCCTTTGAATCGATACTGAGCGCTGTCAAGACCGTGCCACAAACAGGGAGCTCCCCTACACGCTCGGTGCCTCCATTCCAAGCCACCGTAGATAACATTACGCTATTCTCAGTGTTTGAGTATGTTTCACGACTTAGATCCGCCAAATTTGCCCCGCTACCTCATTTCCAGATACATGGAGATCACGAGTCCGGATTCTATCGGATATCGGCCTTGGCTCAAGGGCGGTCACTGTCGGAAAGCGAATGGGCTAGATTCGAGCTTGAGTCTTTCACATGCGCCACGGCTGCCGAAACGTACTGGCGGGCGAGAGCCGGCGTACCCACCTACCGTGCACGGTACATGGCCGACTGGGAAAACCTGAGGCTTTACTATCCGCCGTCAAGCGGTGCCTACCACGGCGTCGAGGTCAACATGGTTACAGGAAATTCTCAATCTATAAGCGGCATTCCGCCTTCCCCATATGAGACGAAACTCGTAGGTATCATGCAAAAGGCTTGGGCAGTCTTCACAGCTGATCCCGTACGAGGATTACTCACCCTAGGTTGGCCACATTACCAAGCTAGTGGTGAATCGCTAATTCGATTGGGGGTTGACACTACGCCAATGGTTGACATTGTCTCTTCTACAATGTATGATAGTGCATGTTCTGCCTTAAATCTATCATTTTGGGATGTTTCCATCCCATATTAATAGGAAGAGTCATGTCACATTCTAGCCTTGCATTCTAATCATGTGTGGTTCTGGGACGAAACTGTGTCTGTTGACTTTTCGCGGCCATGTGGGGGCGATAGGGGTGCTACTCAGTGCTCACCGTCGCCCTCTACCGCTCTCAGCTTGTAGGCGTCAGGCCTTCGCTTTGGAATTGACGTTGATACCCTACCGCAGTAGGATAATAGAACGATCTAGCCCTGCGTACTGCTCCTTCTACTCCAAACCCTACCACCTTAATTAAGCCCATCGTCGTTTGCCTCGCCTATTGGATGGAATATTCTAAGCTGACCATTTGGTTTCAAACTCATCATTTATGTTGTCCCATTAACGCTCTAGGGCGCCTTGCAAAAGGCATCCAGCGAGGATCTTGCCTTATAAATAATGAGAACAGTTGATTTATAATCTTTATGCTTATTGTTAGTTAGTTATTTTTAATTCATTGAATTATTATTTTTATGAGTTATATTGAAGGAAAAGAGGATAATATTAAACAATGGATTTGAGGCTGAATACGAAAAGATTTAGGGGAAGGATAATACACGTACCAGAATACGACAGCAGAGCCATTTCAAATATTATGCCGCTGAAGAAACCGGTATATACCATCACCAGCAACAACATAGTGGCAGAGCGGGAGTAGAAACATTAATTAATTACCGGGTTATTCCGAGATTCCAATATTGTAGCTGCGACTTATCCTATCTACTAAGTGACCTCCTTATCGCTTGTTGGTTCTTTTGGCGCTTGCGATCTCTAGATGTCGTAAGAGTATGCTACATGCAGTCGCAGTCCTAAAAACCCGGCCCCAACGCTCAAGGTGGTAGTGTGTTGACCTATAGAAGGGTATAAGTGCCCAAAATTATGCCTAAGCTTCCTGATGAAGTCCGGACATTCACTTACACTGCCATCCGCAGACGTGGGCTGCAGCAGCAACTATACGGGTCTCGTATATCACATACTGCAGTCTTAAGCCCGAACTCCAGACTGGTAGATAGTTTTGATACAGAGTCCTAGTACTCCAGTTGATGATTAATTACTTGTCTGTTTACCTCAAGGTCCCTTTTTTAGAGGGCTAATCTTATAATTATGCCTACATATATGCCTTCTGAATCATACGAACTATACGATACACACAGCTTTGGCTGCGCGAAGGAATCCGCTCCGGCCATTCCAAAATCCTAGGCTGCATAAACGTCAGGTGGGGTGCAGTCCGAGGTTTTGATACGGCTGTCTTCGGGCCCGGAAGTCTCCGGTCTTGTGTCATGAATGCGACTATATAAGGCTCTTGAGACTGAGCTTCTCTTTCCCTCAAAGACATCCCTCCATCTCCTGCTCTTCAATTGAGTACTTGAGCCAACGTCATAATGAAGCTCATTGCTATCGCCCCTGCCTTCTTTGCGGCCCTCACCGTAGCTGATCAAGTGTGGCCACTCGAGTTGGATTACGATTATTCCATCCCTACATTTTCTGCCAGCAAAGATATCACCTTGACGTGGAAAAAGGGTTACTTCAGCTATAACCTTGGGAATGACTACACCCCGAAGTACTTCACCTTGTTGGTCGCGGCTTATAACAATACTCCAACCGGCTACTACACCGATTGGTCTGGACACGAACAGCCATTGTACGAGGCAGTCACAGCAGTCGAGATAGACAGTGAGTAAATGGAAAGATATTCTCCTAGCCGTGAACTTCACACTTGCTAATTTGATTTCCTTATCCATCGCTTAGCCAAGGCGAAGACAAATGCATTCAGCTATGTCTGGAAGCCTAAATTCGTTAATGGGTGGAAAGGAGACGGCTACTGGTATCTATTTCTCACGAAGTGGGTTGCTACCAATGGAATCCCAGAATCGGCTGGCTCGAAGCTCTTCTACCTAACGGACTGAAGCAATTTATCTGGGTAGATTGGGCTTTGTCTCTACATTGTGCCCCTGAAGTTAATGTGTGGTCTTGTTGTGAAAGGCGTGCCAGGAGATGCACGAGGGACAATGCGAACAATGTTGGAAGGGTCAAGAGTCGCGTTATGTTAAAGCGGCGCTATTAGATGTGTGAGGTTGAATGGAACTCATTTCCTCCGCCTGAGTATGACATCAGGTCCCTGGGTCGGCTAGTTTTTATAGGGACCAAATGTTTAGTCGAAAATAGGAGATAATTTCTCTGTCTAAAATTGTAGTGTGTGATTGTGAAATGGAAATGCCTTAGTTATATTATTACTAATCAGTGATAAAAAATCCCTACATCGTTAATAAAAATATCAAAATTAATCTTCCCCTCTCACCAAAGTCCCTCCTCCCTTTATTTAGGGCGCTATAAGACCACCTAGATACGGATTTAACACTGCCCCAAGGCTCCATAGTCAAAAGAAAATGGGAAACCCCAATTTACAGCCTCCCACATCGTTACTGTTAACATATACGACGGCCAAGTTTTCTAAGCGAACTCGACATTGCTAGCTGGCTGAGAGTTGACTTTTAAGCCAAGCAAGTCAGGTCGAGAATAGTGGCCGACAACATCCAAATATTGCTTGGCGCGCCCCTTCTGTTGAAGGTCCACGTCAGCGTACAGAATAATTTCTTGTCCAGGGTCGGGGCGATCGACCAAGGGTTCGCCTGTAGGCCCGTAGATCATAGAGAATCCACCACCGGGGGCTTTAACAAACCGCAATTTATCAGCTTTAATTTTCACGAGATTCTCCGCTGTGACAACTTGCGAGCAGATAGCGGTGAAGCAGGCACCTTCCATTGACATAACTTGAGTCAGACGGTCGCTCATCGTGTTCGACATTGAATAAGACATCTCATCACACTTAGGAAACGTCGGTGGCCAACTGGCGATGTGGATGTCAACATCCTGCACGTATTCGTAGTAGCGCAGCAAGGGCTGGGTGTGTTCCCAGCAATTCAAGCCTCCAATATTACCAAATGAGCTTTCAACTACGGTCTTTAGAGACTCAGCTTGGCTGTCGGCCCAGATGCTCCGCTCTACGTGTGTCGGCTTAATTTTTCGGCGATGATGCACAATGTCGCCGTTCTCATCAATGAACGACTAGCAACTACCTGTTAGTCTGGATTCTTGCTATCAATTCGAGATCGCAAGTAGTTATTTCTGCTCTGACCTGGGCGATATAGAGAGACCCTCGAAACTTTTCGCTGTAGCCTAACACACAGAAGAGCCCAACTTCCTTCACGGCGGCACGGATACGAGTCATCTCTTCCGAATCTTTTTCCATGGAGTTTCGAAAATACTCGTCCATGAAAGCGACGTTATCTTGGACCGACTGACCCCATATGCTCCTTGAAATGAGTTCGTCAGCATACGCTTGTATCGAATCTGAGGGACTAGAAAGGATCTTATATTAGTACCATACCATGGGTAGCCAGGAATCCACACTTCAGGGAAGCCCATAACATTAGCACCATTTTTTCCAGCTTCTAGAATTAAACGAATCGTCTTATCGACTCCCTTTTGTAAGTCGTTCCATTCTGGCTCGGCTTGGACAGCCGCCACGCGGGTAGTCTTTGATGGGATTGCACTCATAGTATCCAGAAATTGACAGCCAGGAAAATAAATGATGGAAGAAGAGCAAGTTGCTATCAGCGTTGTCTTTTAAAAAACCGGCGGAGAAGGAGCCAATTTCTACACATGGGTAACGCCACGTGATGTAATAGCGGAAGAGGAGGGGTATGCTTCTTACTGTGGCATTTCCATAGAAAGATCGTATGCAGTGTGATATTGGTCGGATGCTACCCGGAACAAACCCAACCAATGAATGCGGTCATCACAGCACACATAAATGTTACACATAGAGTAAGGTGTATGCTAAAGAGGCGGGGTTTATGGCCTGCCTGGCTCTATGTGATAGATGTATTAAATTAGTACATATTATTATAACTGACCAAAAGGGTAAGATCACTAATCATAAGAGCGAAATAGCAGCTATAGCTTCTAGACTCAACACTGGCGTATATGAAAGATGGAATTACTTTATGTCTATAAAGAACCCAAAGCGCTTTACCTAGAGCGATCCAACAACGCTTAAGAATAGGTCGGAATGATAAGTGCACGTATAAGTGAGTAAAACTACACCCGGGATAAATTATATCCTAGGCATTACAATGGTGTAGAAGGTTATATAGAGCGGCGTTAGCAGGAAGGGCATTATTCTATTACAGGCTTGAAATTTATAAGCGCCCAGCCTCCTTTAGTAGAGTAGGAAATGTATGTTCAACAATTACTCATCGATTAATATCTCTATATTTATACATTTCAATTTGTAGTCAGCTCTTTACCATTTAACAGATTCAGTATTATAGCGAGACACCATTGAAAGCGAGGAGGTTATTAGGTGATAGAGCTAAAGATACAACTTTCGGTGTGGCGAGCTTCTGTATACGTTTGCAGAGGGCGATAGGATCCATGGCGCCCTCGAGAGCCAAAAGGTATGCACCAAGGCCAGCGACATGAGGCGCGGCCATCGAAGTACCGGAGATGGTGTTGGTGCCGAGGTCGTTCCAAGTTGATGTAACGTCGACGCCCGGGGCAAAGACATCGACCAGATTGCCCCAGTTTGAGAAATTAGCACGCGCATCCTTATTATCGGTGGCTCCGACGGTGCACACGGTCGGCTCAGAGGCGGGGGATGAAAGGGATGCAGGCAAGCCATCATTACCAGCGGCTACAGCGAGGAACATGCCGCCGGCGACCATGGCAGCGGCTGCGTCGTTTAAAGCTCCCCCCAGCAGGCCTAGTAGGTTAAAATTTCCGAGGGACAAGTTGGCAACTGACCTCCCAATACCTACTTTACAGTCTACGATTAGCACTTATTTTCTCAAATGTAGAGAGACTGTTATAATTGCTTAAGGGGGTGTGGCTTACGTCTTTTATCAGTAGCATCGTGAAGAGCCCATTGCATTCCCTCGATAACACTACTTGTAGAACCAGATCCGCTAGCGCCAAGCACCTTGACCGCAATCAATCTGGTCTTCTTTGCAACACCCCAGGTTTTAGAGCCAATGGTTCCAGCACTGTGAGTGCCATGGCCGTTACCGTCGCCTTCTCCCTCCCCGTCGACGAAGCTGGCACCAAACTCAGCGCGGCCCTCGAAATCGGGATGGTCCGTCGCAATGCCAGTGTCGATGCAGTATACGAATATACCTTCACCGGCGCTGTCGTTATATATGTACAAGTCTATTCCTGGCGTACGGCTTAAGATTTATATTAAAATAAAGGATATATTAATAAATAACGCGATATAGGGGGTAAGCTATAATAGCTCTAACTTTAAAGATCTACCCTATAAAATTACTAATATATGCCTTAAAAGTAAAGTAGAATTTACTTAATAATAATATATATACTTTTAACCTTTTAATTAATTAATTTACTTATTTTAATAATTAAAAGTTTTATATATTTAAATATAACTTTATTACTTTATTTTTATAAGAAAACTTAACTATATATTAAGGTTAAATTTTTATCCTATATAAATAGCAATATTTATGTAGGCTTTGGGTTAGGGTTAATAGCATGGCCCGTATTGGACTTGGAGAAAAAAACGTTAGATTTTAGCTACTTAAAGCATATAGAGCTAATTAAAGCGTTGGATTTTATATTGCTATCTTTACTATTATTTACTTCTTTTATATTACTATCCTTATTATTTTATATTATTATCCCTATAATATATATACCTTTAAAATATATGCTTTATAATTTAACTAATTAATTAATTTAACTATTACAATTATTTTATTTAACTTTATTTTCTTTTTTACCCCTTTATTTAATAGCTATAATAGTTCTTTATTATTAATTAATATATTAGAAGCATTATTAATTAATTAGGATTAACGCTATCTTTACCCTTAAATAAATAATTAATAGGTTAAAAGTAGGCTATCGATTAACTATTTATCGTTTAAGCCTTAATACTTATATAAGTTAAATAATTAAAATATTATATTAATATCTTTAAGCTTTAAATCTTTTAAGTATATAAATTTATTTATTATAATTATTATTTAATATAGCTTTAACTTTAACTTTATTATAAGGTCCTTTAATATTATAAATAAAAATAAAGGATAATAATATAATTAAACATTATATATATACTATTTTTCCAATTACTTTTATAAGTAATTTCCATTATTGCTTTAATAGGTTATATTATTTAACCTATACCTAATTATAAAAGGCATTATAATAAAGGGTAATTTTAAATATAATAAAGACTTTAACCTTTAAATAATTTAACCTAAATAGAATAAATTAATTATAATATACTATTTATCCCTATAATTAAATAATTAATTTTAAAACAGTATAGCTAAATACTTTAATATTTAAATCCTATATAAATAACTTATAATAAAATAAAATGCAATAATATAACCCTTTTAACCTTTAAATTATATATAGATAATTTATTATTAAATAAAATAATACTACCTTTTTATTAATATAATTACTTTAAAATATAAATTTTAAATAATAAACTTAAAAGGAAATATATAAATTATATTCTTCCTATTTTAAAAATATAATATTTATAAAAGCATTTATATAAATTAATATTATTAAACTATTTTTTATTTATTTTATTATTTATTTAATTTAATATAAGGAATATTTTTATTATATTAATACCCTTTTATAAAATCCTATTAATATAATCTTTATTAATAATACCTTTAATTAATATTAAATAAAGTTATTAAAAGTGGAAAAAAGTATATTTAAAATAAAAAACTGCATTAAAAGCGGAATCCTTATAATTTAATAGTTAATTCCGTTTATTAATACCCCTTAACTTTTAATAGATATTTAATAACCCTACCCCTTTTATAAAAAGCTTTATTAATATTACCTAATTAAGCTTAATAATAAAGGTTATTAAACCTATATATTATTTATTACCCCTTTTTAATAATTTTCTTTATTATTGCTATAATATATAATAAAGGAAATAAACATTAATAAAAGATTAATTGTTAAATATTATTATTTAATTATTTTTATTAAGGATTAATTAAATAAGCTAAACTGCTGCCCTTTTAAATTAACCTATTTAAAGATCTATAAGCCCTAGCCTTTATTAACTTTTTAAACTATTTAAATTTAAAAATAATATTCCTCCTATTTATAAAGGATTTATATTATTAATAATTAATAATAGTAAAAAAAGTAATATAAAGCAAAATAATATTATAATAGAAAATAAAACAATTATAGCTATTAATATTAAAATAGTATTATTTATTATATATAATTATATTATTACCTTAAATATTAAAAATATAAACATTAATATAAATATAAATAATAAAGTTTTTAAAATAAATAATAACCTTAATATTTATACTTCCTATAATAAGGTATATAATATAAAATATAAATAGCAATATCGTTAATTAAGTTAGCATTTTTTATAATGCCCTATATAAAATAATAATATATTAAAAGCTAAATATTTATTATATTTAATTAAAACTATTATTATAATAAGCTTTAACTCCTTTAAAAAATAAATATTTAATTTAAATTAATATTTATTTTTTTAAAGCTATATTTATATTTAATATCTTTTATTAATTATCTTTTTATTTATAAATAAAGATAAATATTTAAAAGGTTAAACATTAAAGCAAATTATTAATTTTATTTTTAAAGGGTATATTATTAAATATTTTAATTTATTAATTAATATTAATATTAAGAATATTTTATTAAACTATATTAATAACTATATATTAAGCTACCCCTTTTAATATTAATTTAATAATATTAATAAATTAAAACTTTCCTTATTAATTATATAATAAAAGTATAATTATATTATAAAACAATTAAGCTTTATAAAAATATATAATATTAATAGCTTTATATTTAAACTTTAATTATTAACTACCTTTCCTAATAATGTTTTTTCCCTTTTATATTTACCCTTTATTAAATTTATAATTATAAATAACCTTTATTATTCCTTTAATTCTATTATATTATATAAAATATATAATATATTCCTTAAAACATTTAGGTTTAGCTATAATAATATTACCTACTTTATATTCCTATATTTAATATTTATTTAAAAGAATATATCCCTATACCTTTTATTTAAAATATAATAATAATTTATAAATAACTATATAATCCTAGTATTATATTAATTATATTTATTAAATGTTATTATATAATACTTTATAAGCTTTATTTAAGCTTAAGTTAAAGTTAAGATATTTTAATATATTTATTAAAATATTAATAATACCTTATACTTTACCTATTTATAATATAATATATTATATAAATATACTTTATTATTTTAGGAAGATTTTAAATTGTTATATAATAAATATAATTTTAAATACTTTAAAAACCCTATTTTAATCTTATAAAAATATAAATTAAAAGATATTACGTTAAATTTATTAACGAAGGGGGCATTATATAAATTCTATATTAAATATTTTGCCCCTATAAAGGTAAACTACCTATATATAGAAAATATATAAATAGATTTTACTTTTTATAATATATCTTATATAATTAAACTATAACTATTATTAAATATTAAAAACCTATTATTTTTACTATTCTTTAAATTTAATTACCTATTAAAAAGTATTTACAGCACCTTCCCTATATTTAAAGGGTTTATAACTTATTACTATATATAATACTTATTATAAAATATTAAATTAATAGAACTTATTAAAAAATCTATTAGCTTAAAGGTAGGAAAACCAGCTTTATATTAAATAAAAGCTTATAATTTATATAAGTAATATATATAAACTTTTAATAAAGATATAAAATTGTTTAATATATTATAATTTAAACTATTAACTTTTAAACTAAACTTAATTTAAACTTATTATTTAGGTAAAAGTAATAACTTAACTTATAGGAAATTATTACCTATAATACCTTTTATCCTATAAACCTTTTAAATGGAAAAAAGTAAGCTATATAATATATTAATTAATATATTAAATTCCATTATATTAATTTATTATAACATTTATTATAAAGTATAGGTTTTATAATTCTATTTTATTATAGCTATTAACTTTTATAATATTATCTTTTAAAAGACTATTTATACATTTATATTAATAAACCCCTTTATATATAACCTATTTTTTATTATATTAATATAGGATATAAATAACTTTATTTTAATCTTTATAATATAATTTATTAAATTAATATAATGTTTAATAATATTTATATTATTTAATTTAAAAAGCTTATTAAAATAATTTAATATAAAAAAGCAGATAAGGAATATATATATTAATTAATTCTTTATTATATTCTTTTATATTAATTATACCTTATATATCCTATTATATATACCTTAGGTATAAAATATAATATAAAACAGCTATAAATAAACGTTTAATAAAATTAAAAAGTAATATAATTTAAGCTTAAAAAGTATTATATAAAAATATAATATATTATAATTTTTAAATAAAATACTTAAATAATATATATTTAAACTTATAAATAATATATTAAAAAAAGTATTAATATTATACCTTTAATTATAGCATTATATTAAAATATTAATTTATAGCTATATAAAAGGTATTATAAAAAGAAATATATTAATAAAAATAATCCTAAATAATAACCTTTAAGCTATTAAAGAATATATTAATTTATTTAACCTTTATATATAAGCTTAAACTTTTTAAAATAAAACATTTAAATTAATACTTTAATAAATAATATATATCTATAACTTTAAATTCTTTAAAGTATATAAGGTATTTATAAAGGAATTAAGCTTTAATATCTTAATATATAAAAAAGCATTATATAAAGGGCCCTTTAACTATATAAATAAATATATAAATATTTTTATACCCCTTACCCTATATATTATTTACCTTAAAATATTTATATATATAAGTAAGCGGAAGGTAATATCGTTAATTAAAGGCTATATAAAGCTATTTAAAAAAGGGGTTATTTTAATATTTATATTAACCTAATAGTAAAAGTTAAAAAAGAATTTTATAAATAAGAACTTTAATAAAGATAATTCCTATAATTAATTTATTTATATTTATATTATATTAAATAATATAAATAATATAAAAAGTTAAATTATAAAGATATTTATATAAAAGTATAACTATATATACTTTATATAAAAAAGCCTTTTTAATAATGGGGCTATTAATTATATATTAATAAATAATTAATTAAATTATAATAAAGCTTATATAGGTTTATATATATTTATCACCCTTAGTTTTAAATGATTAAAGCTTTTTTATATATAAAGCTTAAAGTATAATATCCCATTAGAGTTTAAATTCTTTACCTTAATATATTGCTACCCTGATATATTTTATAAAAAAATCCTTATTAAATAGCTACTATATATTAAAATATTTAATTTATTATAAAAGGCCCTATTATAAAAAGTTAAAAATGGAATACCGGTAAATAAGCTATAGCTAAAGGTAAAGGCTAAGGAGGTATATTAATATATATATATATATAGGGGAACATTAGGGATAGGAATATACCTATACTATATATTCTATCCTAGTTTCGTACCTTTTATACAATTCTTCGTATGTTTAAATGGAAATAATCAATTTTCTATAGCATTTTAACAGCCTTAAATCCTAAATAAAAACCCAGTTTTAAAACTACCCACACCTTATAACTAACAATTCCACATCTTTTTAAATAGCGTTAATATATCTTTATTACCTATTAATATATTTATAATTCTAAACTTTTATAGGACCTATATAAACCCTTTAATATTAAATATTTAACCTATTTAAACATTTATATAAAAAGGGAATAAACTATTTAAAATATATATAATATAGCAAAAAGGTTTTAAAATATAACTAATTCTATTAATGGATATAATATAGTAAAACCGGAAAAGTTAAAACATATTTATAAAAGATATAAAAAATAATAACTTAAAGGAATTTAATAAAACATTAAACTATATTACTAATAGTAATAAAAAATAAGCTAATATAAATAATAATAATAAATTAATTATTAAGGGTTATTATATATAAGCCCTACCTATATTTAATAAAATAAATATAATAATATATAAAAATAAATATATAAATAATTTAATAAAGTAGGTAACTT